GCACTCAACTGCTGCGCCACCAGGGAGGCCCCCCTCCTTAAATGTTTTGTTGCACTTTTTTGATCTGGTTTTTAACAGCAGAATTGCTGTAAGACTCTTTAAGGCTTTGGGACCCTGGGTGTGAGGAGGCCCTGGGAATCCAAGTCAGAATTCTGAGTTGCTCAGCCCTCTTTCCTGGAAAAGGGTCTTCACACAGTGTGTTCAAGGTTTGGGCTTGCGTCTACCTGGGTGGACTTGCATCAGCAGTCAGAGGAGATAATGAAAGGTTAGGATTATACACCCATTGCCTCAAACAGGTGGTGGGAATCTGTTGACTATTTTTTTAATATAAAGACCTTTGTTGAGAAATTGTTTTCAGTAGGCCCAGGGTTTTTAATCAGGTCATTTTACTCAAGATGAAGAGAAATGCATTCAGATATGTTTGTGGGTAGGAAAAGCAGTCTATTGTAGCAATACTGTGTGGTCCTTGAGTATTTATTTGGTGCGGTGTACCAGCACGGTGGGTCACGAATTCCACATTAGATGTTGTCTTGTGTTTTACACTTCAAACTCATAATCAGCCACCGCTATAAAATCTGCATGGATTTTGCTAGATGGGATGATGGTTTAAGACCGGAAAGAAACACTTTAGTGAAGGTTAGCACTTTAGCATTTCCTGGTTTACCTGGGACCAGCCCAATTCTTACCTACCATCCTGGCTTAATTATTAATAGTGCCCCACTTCACTCTCAAAAATGCCCTGATTTGGTGGATAAGTTTATGGTATTCTAGTTGAGTCTGTTAAGTTTATGGTATTTACTTGAGACTGTTGTAATTTTACCTATGGGAGAGTCTTTTGATACACTTCTTATCCAAACGAAAACATTAATCAAGCAATGATTGTCCTTAAAGTAAAACCTTAGAGCTTTTCCAAAGTATGAATTGCTTCATTTACTTACTTGATAAAATTGAGAAACAGTGGTGCCCCTTAGTTAGGGCACTGGCTCTGGAGTCCTACAGACTCAGTTTTAAAATTGGGATCTGAAACATACGAACTGTGTGACTGGATCAGTCAGGAAATAAGCAAGTGAAGGTGTTGATTAGCATAATGCTGGGAATAGAGTAAGCAACCCAGTAAATGGTAATAATTCGTAAAGATCACAGATCTTGCTGTGCCTTATCTATGCCAGACCCAGAATAGATGCTAAGGGATTAAAAAAAAATCTGACATTCTCACACAAGATACTCTTTTTTAAATTTCCCTCAATATCATGCAACAGTCTCTTTGTAAATACTAAACGTCTTTATGCAACTTATCCTTCATTCACTCAGGTTTACATCTGACTGTTGCCCTGCCATTGTTTGTTAGCAGTTATCACACAACCACCATGTGGTACATTATACTTAGAATAAAAAAGTAGTGGCTGCCCTCAGGAGAAGCATATATAGGTCTAGTTTATTTTAAGGAAACAACAGATACACGTTTTTCTGAGAGCATTCTTTGAGTTCAATATCCTGCAAGTGGATAACATTTTATATTTCATAGTATCCCATTTTTTAAATTATTTTAAATAAGTTTATTTTAATTTATATTTTACATCATTGCTCATTTTTTGTATTCATAGCATCCTATGAACACAATAAGCACAGAAGGGTCTACAGTATTGGAGCTGCATCATATTCACATTTACTTCATTCAGATTGACTATACGCCAGACCGGGGGGGGGGGGGGCGGCCTGTGAAGCTGCAGTTACCTCATCTTGTCATCACAAGAGCCTGGTGTTTAGAACTGTTGTTCCTTTGACCTGCCTTCTAAAGTAAGGGAACTGCTTTGTCGATTCTTAACTGAAAAATTTGTTCCGGTCTATCAGAAAAATGAGTTGTGTTGCCCTTAGAGCCAGAATGTTAGTATCCAGTATACTCTGCCCTCCCCAGGGCTTTCAGAGGCAGTCTAAGAATTGAGCTGACTTGAGATCCCTGGTTCTATAATAAGAGAAGCCAAAATTAATAGAGCCTGAATCGCTGCCTTCAAGAAGCCTATAATCTCCCAGAGGGCGGGGCATCAACACCGGAAAGGCCATTGTTGGGCAAAGAGTTGAGGTTTTTGGCTTAGAAGGGCATGTGAAAGAGTGAAAATGGCTTTAGCCATAGATTTCTAGGAAGTGTTCACCTGTGATTTAGGAGGTAACTAGAGAGGGATGAAAGGCACAGGGTGTCTCACACAGGCCGAGTTTACAAGCAGTCAACACGGAGGTGTCTCTAACAGGAAGCGCTGTTCGGCTTTAACTTGGCAGGATGATCAGGGCCACCCTGGAGCATCCCAGGAGAGGAAGGGGGCAGGGAACATGACCTGCAGATCCGGAGTTAGCAGAAATGGGCTTGCCTGCAACACTTCCTCATCCGGCTGTAATCATTAACTGAGGGCACCGAGGCCCATTTCAGTTGCTTTCCAACTCATCTCTGGTTGCATTTCAGTTGTGAATTTTATGGGAAACAGCCTTTTTTTTTTTTTTTTTTTCTTTTAAAGATTTATTTATTTATTTATTTATACAAGCACTGGGTACAGTCAGAAGCGCAGGAGGGTGAGAGACTTCACCAGAGCGAAGAACAGAACAGGCAGACTGACGAAGTACACTGCTAAGGGGAGCAGCGGGCGCAGCAGGAGAGGTCTGTCGCACCATGTGGGACCCTCCCCGGGATTGAACTGGTGACCCGGTGGCCAGGGATCGAACCGGCGCTGCAGAGGCTGCGGGCAGCTTCGCAGCCCAGTGCTCAGCCACTGCGCCACCAGGGGAGACCCGGGAAACAACCGTTTTTTAAATGATTTTTTTTATCTGGTATAAAAATCAGAATGGCTATGGCTGTGTGATTATTTGTAATCCTTTGTGGGGTCACTGTAACAGTGGAAGAAACGGGTATCAGGAAATGAGGGGACTGTCGCTAGCTCTGTGACCTTACGTCATCTCTGAAATGATAGACCAGAACCAGAGGCTCTCATGCTATACTTTCTTTGTTCTTTTTCTGATCAATGAAACATTTTACAAATGAAGCTTTACTCAAAATCCTGTGGTATAAAACAGAACTGGTGTGCTTCGTGGGAGATGGGGAGCTGGAAGCCCAGCTGCCTACCGGCCTCTCCTCCCTTTGAATCCTCGCCTTCAAAAAGCTTAGCATCTAATCGGGGAAATGTTAAGTTCTCCTGAAGAGCCCTAGGGCTCTGAAGAGCACAGGGAAATCCTTGGACTAGGTTCCCAAGCCCCTTCTAAAACTAGCACTTTCTGATACTTACATTAATAAATGGAATAGAATTTCTTAAAAGCAATTTTGAAGTAAGGCAGCACTATATGCACACCTACTCCAGGTAAGCTGCTACTAGGTGCAGTAGGCAATGTGAAGAGAAGAAGATAAATACACTTAACATAAATTTGAAAAATAAGAAGGATCAAAAGAGAGTGTCTACAACCTTATAACCCCACCCATACTCTATAGAAATCCAAGACAAGGTTGTCTCCTAAAAATTGCGATGAAGGGGCCTCCCCAGTGGCGCAGCGGTTGAGCGCTGGGTTGCGAAGCTGCCCGCAGCCTCTGCAGTGCCGGTTCGATCCCCGGCTGCTCCCCGGCCACCGGAGGAGGGTCCCACATGGCGCTCAGACCTCTCCTGCCGCCCGCTGCTCCCCTCAGCAGTGTACTTCGGTCCTTCTGCCTGCTCTGCTTCCCGCTCTGGCTCTGGTGAATTCTCTCACCCTCCCGCGCTTCTGACTGTACCCAGTGCTTGTATAAATAAATAAATAAAAAATTTTAAAAAAAGTTTTTAAAAAAATTGCGATGAAGAAAAAAGGAACATAAATGTATATTTTGATTTTCTAAGAACTAAATATTTTCATTAATTTTTGGACTTGAGAATACATGTGCACTTGGTGCTAACATCTGAAAGGAACAAAAGGGTATAAACTACTCCCTCAGAGCCCTGTGACCATCTGTCAGGCCCCTTCTCTGGAGACAGTCACTATTCCCATTGTGGCACTGTTCCCAGCGTGGGTAAACTTCCAGAGTTTATAGAAACTCATACTACAGATTTATGAGTGTATTCGTTTCCTGTGGCTGCTGTAACAAATCAACACGAACTGGGCGGCTTAGAATACCAGAAATACATTCTCTCACAGTTTTGGAGACTGGAAATTTGAAATGAGAGTCACCGGCTGACATCAGGGTATTAGCAGGGCTGCATTCCCTCCCTGGCACTAGGGAAGAGCCTCTTTTCTTGCCCCGCTTTTATTGTCTGCCAACAGCAGTCCTTCCTCAGCCAGTGGTCCCATCGCTCCAATTTTCAAGGCCAACATCTTCAAACCTCGCTCTGCTCTGTCTTTGTGTATGTGTGACTGTGTGCGTGTTTGGGCTCCTGCATCTCTCTTATATGAATACATGTGATTGCATTTAGGAATGTCCAGGGTACTTTCACCATCTCAGGATCCTTCATTTAATCACATCTTTAAAGATATTGTCGTATAAGGCAACAGTCACAAGTTCCAGGGATTAAGATATGAATATCTTTTGGGGAGTCTACTACAACAGTGAAATAGTGTACTGTATAGATTTCTGAACTGGGCTTCTAATAGAAAAAGCTGGAATAACGGTTAATTTAGTACTGATTAAGTAAATGATAGTACATTATACAATGGAGTAAAGTGTAACCACTGAGAAGAATGAAGTGGACATAATGCCATCAAGCCATATTCACTATAACATAGAAGAAACTGTTGCAGTGGTGTATAAGGTGAAAATTTGGAAAGGTGTATATCAGACTTAAAAGTGGCTTCCATTGGGAAGTAATCCTTGTGGACTTTTCCATGTGTACATTTGGGCTGTTGGGGTGTTCTAATCAATCTTGTGCTTTATAATAAGTCCATGTATTTTTTAATTAAAAGAAAATGGATTTAGGTTAGTTTAAAATTTGCATTTTTGTGGATATTTCTGTACAGAGAATTTTTAAAATTTAACCCATCTTTGATCTGTTTCCCAGATAGCAGACCCTACATTAGCTGAAATGGGGAAGAATTTGAAGGAGGCCATGAAGATGCTAGAGGACAGTCAGAGGTGAGTCTGTGGAGCAGAAGTCACTCTAATGATCGTGTTCAACATGTTGTGAAACTGGAGGTACTGGTTTCCTTCTGTCAAAGACACCTGTTGGTTTTAGAATGTGACACTTAGCTTCAGCTAATTTTAAAATTGATATTTGTCTTGGGTAGAAGGTGCTTTGTAATTAGAGGATTTTGAAATTGAGCAGCAGAACTGCCCATTAAGAGTTACTTAATATATTGACTTAAATCTGTAAGGAAGACTTATTATCTGTTCAGGTCATAACAGGGACCAACTAACCAAGAAATGAGTTGAAGTATTATTTTTGTTTTTCATGTTCTTTTCTTTGCCTGGAAATCAGTCTATACCCCATCCTGGGAGCTGGGTGTGGAGGGTAGATTTGATGAACATGTTGCAAATCCAGCATCAGTCACTGAGAGGATATAAGCAACATCATCACATGTTTGCATGCTCACATGTAGAAATTTGATATGGTAAAATAGTTTTTTTATTTCCTTTAAATTAGAAAACCTGAGGAGGAAAATGGGAAGAAACTCATATCAGGAGATATTCCAGGGCCACTCCAAGGCAGGTAAGTTAATATAAGTATCTCCAGTTTGGCTGTGCATTTTTTTTCCTTTAATTTGATTTTAATTCATTTTCCTTTCATTTGATTTTTGATTAATTTAATTGAATGGCATTACATTATGACATTAAAGTTTCAGGTGTTGAGAATCAACATGTGTTTATACTACCTTAAGTTTGCTGCTAAAAATAAGTATGGTCTTACTGTCTTTGATTTTGCACTTTTAGTTTTAATGAGCACAGAGCCGATTTAGAGTTACACGTAGTGTGACCTCAGAGAACTGAGAGGCGAGAGGCTGGTGGGAGCTGAGGCTACACTTGCTCCCTCCTCACCCATGGGCAATTAAGGGAGCCTCCTGACTCAAAAGGAGTATGCAGAAGTATAGTCACACTTAGTTCGTCCTGGAAACCTGTTCTCTGAGCTTTATTGTGAGAGTTAATTAATTTGATAAGGTTTATCATTTTGAAAATAAAGTGAAATGAAGGAAAATGTCAACTCTAACCATTTATTGGCAGCATGGCTTACTTTTGGGCAACTAAAGCAGATCTATCAAGTTTTTTCAGTTTGAGCTAGCAAGGGAAATATAAGAATAAACAGCTATCTGAGTAAAATGTTCACAAGATGTTAGCATTCGATACAGAATTAAAATCCAAGCCCAACTTCCGTCAGACGAGATGCTTTTTTCTTTGTTTTATAACCAGGAAGCTGTCCTTGGGTAAACAATACAACTCCCTTAATTGTCCTTTGACCTGAATATAAATATGTATAGGTTGCAAAAGTATGGAGCTAGAATTACAGGGTGCCAATAATTGTCACATCTAACACACCCAGATACTAATATCTTAAAATTGTCGCTCCTTGGAGCCTGAGTTGTGGTGCTCTCAGTGTGAAGTGTGTCCTATAAATCAGAACAGGAACCAAATCCTATAAATCTCATCAAAGTTTCCCTAGAAGAGATACTACCAAGAACATCTGTAGTTCTCAGAATGGTTGGGGAGCAGGGCAGGGGAAGCGTATTAATGCCACCGCTGAGCAGCATTCTCACTTAATAATGCCAGCTGCCAGCATCTAAGAGAGTGCTATGCCCCGTGCAGCATTAAGTGCTTCCCATGTGCTGTCTGGTTGCATCTCTAAGGCATGGGCTAGCCCCCAGTGTGTCTCCACAGGACATGCTTGGCTTGACCTCTGCACAGTGCAAGACCAGAGCCCTCTTGTGAAGGTCAGCACCTTGGGAGGGTGGCTTTGGGGGCATGGTTTCGACACTGTTTCTTTTCCAAAAGAGAAAACTTTACTGGTCCTGTAAGTGGCCTTGCCATTGCTTACTCCTTTAGCCATTCACATTCTTTTAAGTTTTCACCTGTTCATGTAATGAGCATTTATTTAGTTACATGTTCAACAGAAGTAAATCTGTTTTCACTGTAAGCAGACCTGTAGTTTCCAGGGGGAAGGTGACAAATACTTATATTGTATGTTTAAGAATGTCAACAGACAGACAAGACTTCTACGTGGAGGGCAGCCAGATACACCAGAGGCACTGGAGTTTTCTTGCTGCTTTCTTGGAACAAGCAGCGCTTCTGTGACCTTCCAACACCTTGTCAGGAGTTCAGCTTTTATAACAAATTTGTTAAATATTCAAGATTCATATGAAGAGGGAGAGAAATATTACGAAAGCTCATCCTCTCATCCTTGTAAAAGTTTTCCAAAATCAGATTCATGTTTAGATAGAAGATATAATCACAAGGTTATAGTCAGAATTCAAGTAATTGAAGGTTTGTTTTTAAAAGGTATATACTGTAACACACACACATGATTTCCCTTGTAGTTACTCAGTTGCAAAAACTTCTCAAATCTATTTAGGATAAGAGAAATAGTGAGAGGGTGATGGGGGCTGGGGGAGTGCTGCTTCAACCAGTCCATCCCCTCTTTTTCATTCTACAGTGGGCAAGATATGGTGAGCATCCTTCAGTTAGTCCAGAATCTGATGCATGGCGATGATGAGGAGGAGCCCCAGAGCGCCCGGTATGGAGAATGGCTGGCAACTTCTCTTTGAAAGTATCTGTGTTCTTGCTTTTCATAGTGATTGCATTCTTACCAGTTGCTGAAGCAATAATCTAAGAATATTCAGTTACATATGGTTTCAAAACAGTGTCATTTTCTTGTCAGAGGAACATGTATGTCAGTTAGTATCTTTTGTAAAAGAAAGGCACTTACTAAAACTAAATCCTAGGTCTTGTGGTGTCATGTCGTAGGAAGAGGCTGACAGAGGGGTCAAAGAATGACTGCTCTGTGTTTTCCTGCTTCTGATTGCTAAGAATGGCTGCTACTGGCTGATTGGTGGGGGCTGTGTTGTCTGTGAATCGCCCTTCTATTTATTATTCATTTATTAAGCTATTTCACTTTCTCTTCATTTTAAATTTAATTTGTGGAATAAGCAATGCATTGTCCTGATTGACATGTCAAGGGTCTCCAAAGGCAGTTTTGCTTCTTGCTGCTGCCTTCTTCCTCTCTAGAGGTAGGCAATATTGCCAGTTTCTCATGTGTTCTTAGGAGATATTTTAGGTGTGTGTGGATACGTTGGCAAACTCTGCGCCCGCCCGGCCCGCCCCAGTGCATAAACACTGTGTGCATTGTGCTCGTCCCGACCTGGAGCTCATTGCACATCGGTGCACGGGCGTTTTCTCCTTTAAGGACTGTTTACTTTTTCTTGGAATGCATAAACCATATTTCATCTAATCTCCTCTTCCTGTTTTACTATTACAAACATAACTCTAGCTACTAATGCGTAATTTCTCATAGACACAAGTATTGCTGGAGATGAAAATTCCAGCAGTGGGGTTGCTGAGTCAGATAGTTTGTGCATTTGTAATTTTAATAGACTTGCCGAATTTTCCTCCATGGGTTGTGCAGTTGACAATTCCACCAGCACAGTGTGAGAGTCTACCTCTTTGCCCACACCCTTACCTGCAGGGGAGTTGTCAGACTTAAAGATTATTGTCAGTTCTGCTAGTTGAGAAATGATATATTTTTTAAAGATTAATTTACTTATGCATACAAGAGCGGAGTGCAGACCAGATATAGAGTGGGGAGCAGAACAGGCAGATCTACTGAAATACACTGCTGAGGAGAGCAGCAGGCGAGATAAGAGAGGTCTGCTGCACCATGTGGGTCACCTTCCTGACTGGGGATCGAAATGGTGCTGCAGTGGCTGTGGATTGCTTCATAATGCTGAGACTAAAACCCTCATGCCACCAGAGAGACCCTGCATTTAAAATATTTTTTTTTTTTTTTTTTTTAGAGATTTTTTATTTATTTATACAAGTGGTGGGTACAGTCAGAAGCACGGGAGGGTGAGAGAATTCACCAGAGTCAGAGCGGGGAGCAGAGCAGGCAGAAGGACCGAAGCACACTGCTGAGGGGAGCAGCGGGCGGCAGGAGAGGTCTGTGCGCCATGTGGCACCCTCCTCCAGTGGCCGGGGAGCAGCCGGGGATCGAACCGGTGCTGCAGAGGCTGCAGGCAGCTTCGCAACCCAGTGCTCAACCGCTGCACCACCGGGGAGGCCCTGCATTTAAAATTTTGATGCATCTAGTAAATGAACTTTCAGAAAGATGATGCCAGTTTATATTTACACCAACAAGAAAACACATTTATTTTCTTTTGCTAATGCTGATTATTGTTGTCTTTAATTATATTTCCATTGACTTCTAGTGAGGTTTATCTTTTTACACTGTCATTTTTATTTCTTATGTGAACTGTCCATATCTTTAGCCCACTTTCTAATTGGATTATTGTTCAGTTATTTATCAAATTATCAGATCTTTTAATTAGGGATAATAATTTCTTTTCAAGCTTATTGCAAAAATAAGGACTTTTCAAACTTGTTTTTGCTCACGTATTTTGCTCATGTAGTCTTTTTTTTGTTGTTGCTTAGGAAACTATTTTTTTTTAATTTTATTTTATATATTTTTTACCTTGAGAAATGATATTTTTTCAGCATACTTTTCATTTGCATTTTTATTATGAACCAGGTTAAGTTTCTTTTTGTATGATTTAAGACCTATTTAGAGTTCTTTTTCTCTGACCTGTTTACTTTTTCCAGTACCCTATTTGGTTGACTTTTTCTTATTGGTTTATAGTTATTGTTTATGAGGGAAATAAGTCCATCCATTTTAATTATATATATAAGACTATATATATATATATATATATATATCCCCTTGATAATAACTAGTTCTCCCTTGAATTTACTGTATTGTTGTAGGTAACTATTTGATTCTTGAAAAAAAAATTTCTCTTCATATTTTATCTTAATTATCCTCTATAGTTCTTATGGTTGGCATTTAAAAAAATTTAGGGGAAAATTATTCAAATATAATTTGTATATTTAGTAGGTATTCCATAGAAAGGATATTTATCTCCTAAGACTCAAATTTTTTAAATATTTTTCCTCTCAGACCTTTAATGCATTGGATTTTCTGCCTTGTAAGCCATTAAGTGGATTTCAGGTCTGACAGGAATTTCTGTGTAATACTGTATCTCTGAATTGTATTTCTTTCTTTATGCTTTGACTAATGCTTTTTCTTTAATGAATTTTGATCAACAGAATCCAGAGCATTGGAGAACAAGGTCATATAGCTTTATTGGGGCATAGTCTGGGTGCTTATATTTCTACTCTGGACAAAGAGAAGCTGAGAAAACTTACAACTAGGATACTTTCAGACACTACCTTATGGCTGTGCAGAATTTTCAGGTAAAGACTTTAAAAGTTTTCAGTTTTTGCTAAAGATATTTATAAATTAGTTCAAATCTTCCTCTCCCACTTCCTCTTGGAAGGGTTGCTTAAACTCACAGGACCTCAGTTTTCTCATTGTATTAAATGGGAATAGCATTAATATCCCATTGAATAATATCTGTTCCATTCAAGTGTTGGATTAAATGTTCTAGTGAATTAATTTATGTATAGAGGGGAGAACAGAAGCCACATACTGGTTGAATAATGTCAGCAGTTATGTAGTTGTAGAATTCCTAATTGTTACCTGTGGACAGAAGATAGGAATGGATTCAGGTAATTTTTAATTAAAATATTAGCTTGTGCTCTCTAGAACAGAAGTGCTGTCCCAAGGAGGATGAATGTGTTATGATAGTGAAATTTGCTTTATTCTGTGGAATCCTGGCAGATTCAGATTCAGCAGAAGGCCCAGAGCCAGCTGTATTTTTGTGTTTATGCTGTTACTTTTATGGAAAAGGAATGTTTGCCTAACATGGGGACATTTAACTTAGGAGAGACTCACTTTCAGATGGTGGGAAAGAACTTGGCCTGACAAAGGCGTAAGTTTGACTATAACCAGAAAAATTTCTTGTGGTTAAAATCCAACACCTGTACTTGAAATTCTCTCCCTCATGTAGGAGGTTTAGAAGAAGAAAATCTCACAAGCAGAATAGTGAAAACTAAAGTGAGCCTGACTAGTGTTTTTAGCTATTTTATTTACTACAAATGTCTTAGGGCTGAAACACTGCTAAGAACTCTGCCTGCACAGTGACCTTCAGCTTTTTGATATCTGAGGGACTCTTGTTCTTCACTGCTTCCCATAGCTCCTGCTGTCTATGGAAGTGCTCATAGACAGGGATCATCACCTCTGTTTTTTATAGCCCCCAGCTGCAGTGAGTGGCCAGCTGTCTGCCATGAGGGTGCGCTCATCCCTCTCCTTTGGCTGATCTAAGTGACAGTTTCTAGGCAGAGAAAAGAAATACCAGGATCCTAAGACCCGGGTATAAGACAGAGTCAACCAGAAGTAAGAACATACTGATGTGCGAGTGTCACTTCACAGGTTTCAAAATGGCTGTGCCTATTTCCATGAAGAAGAGCGAGAAGGACTTGCAAAGATCTGTAGACTTGCCATTCATTCTCGTTATGAAGACTTCGTAGTGGATGGATTCAATGTGTTATATAACAAGAAACCTGTTATATATCTCAGTGCTGCCTCTAGACCTGGCCTGGGCCAATACCTTTGTAATCAGGTAATATGATAAAGGGTGAATAGTTTAAAGAAACAATGTCTTGTTCTGTCCTGAAACTTTATGAAGTGTGTAGACCCGTTTCTGTAGCTTCTCCTCAGGGTGGAAAGAAGGATGGTTTTCTTACATGCTTGTTTTGTCATTGTAAGAAAATATATACATATATATTCATGAATTTAAATATATATATTTTTTAGTTGCCCAAAGGCAACCACAGTCAACATTTTATTTCTTTCTAGACCTAAATCAAAGATTGCATGTTTTTACATGGTTAAATATAACTATTTCTACTTACTATTATAACAGGTGCATATCATGTATTAACAGTCTTCAGAGTATTTTGATGGTCTCCCATAATATTCCTTCATATGAATGTGTAGTATTGTAACTGTTTCCCTTTTGAACAGCTTGAGTTCCCAATCTTTTGCTTTATCTGACCATGTTCAGGTGATGCTTTTTGTACAGGGGTATAGATATCTGTGTGCATAATGTTTTTTTCATATTTTCAGAATCAATCTAGAATTACTCAATCAAAAAGCATTACCATTCCTAAAGTTCATGGTGCATGTAACACACTTGAGAGAGACTATTTTTGAGACAAGAAATTAATAGCTTCTTGGCCAAAATGTTTTAAGGCAAAACCTATAGAATTGGTGGATTTGTCTTTAATAAAATAGATGGGACCTGGGGAAATGTGTGGGAAAATTCAGGGGCTTCAGTTGAGTCTGACCTGTGGCAAAACGTTATGTTCTCTTCTTGAAGGTATACAAAGTGGGAACTTTATAATATTCCTGTAGGAATATGAAACCAGCCATGTGCCGAGTATGCACTGCAGGCCGGACTCTAATGGACCGAAGATTGTCTTTGAACTGCAGTCCAGTCTTCAAAAAAGTGCCAGGGTGTTCTGTTAAATGAGAAGGCCTGGGGGCAGAATAAGCATACATGAGATGGTCGTTTCCTTGCTTTAAATCCTGTATACATGATTTTATTTATTTATTTTATAGCTAGAAAAAGTCATAATTTTATACCTAAAAGATGTCTAGGTTATATACTCATTTGTTAATAGTGAGGTAATAGTGGGGGATTGCAGAGGGAGGCCTATGGGGGCACTTTCACTTTTAGTGTGTGTGTGTGAATACTATATATATATATATATATATATATATATATATATAGTTTTTGTGTTAAATTTCACTTTATGATTTAACAGAAAAATCCTTTAAGGGGAAAAAGCATGAATAAAGTGTTCATTAACTTTTTGTCTTTAATGCTACTGCATTTTATGCAGAGCAACAGCTGCAACTGTTTAAAAATTCCTAAAACCATAAACTTCTCAAAAATTTGAAAGCCAAAACGAATATTTATTTGACAGTTACTATCTCTATCCATAGCACTGAATTCATTTCTCTTAAGAAATGTACATCTGCTAGTCCATATTTATTGCTTTTTAGGGGTGGGGTCATCCTATAAATAAAAAGTTGTTCTTTGAATGCCTTTATTGATTTTTTTTTTTTTTTGTCAGTAATACATGAAGGAAGGACCCTAAATAATCCCCCAAAATGCTCAGAGTTCAGTTGTTCCTGTTTGGAAAAGTATTTTTGTTTTTTGATATATTCTTGAATATACCAAAGATAGCTACTTGACTCATTTACAAAATTTTACTTTGTATCCTTATAAGACATCCTAGCTCTTGGAAATTTACCTTTTTTTCTTTTCCTTGGCTTGACTGTCCAGATGTACTTTAACATCTGTTTACAATATTAAGAGTTCCTTAGATTTTTTTTTTGAAAAAAGAGTAATTATGACTCGTCTTAGAGCCACAATCTTTCAGGGTCATGAGTGAATGGTGACAAAGATCTTTCTTGTACAGCTACGTGTTTCTTCCTACAGCTCGGCTTGCCCTTCCCCTGTTTGTGTCGCGTGCCCTGTAACACGATGTTTGGATCCCAGCATCAGATGGTGAGCTTTCCTGGTTTATGCAATAATCATATTTTGAAACTATCTTCCTTTCAACTGAAGTTGTGTGCTGGTCTCTAGCTATTAGCTTACTCATTTGTTGTTTTGATCTTCCCATAGCAATAGTGCTTCTGTATTTAAATGTCCATGAAGCTCGGCTGGGCATACAAGACAGATGCCCCCAACTCTTATTAAACAGTTTTGCAATCACTGTCTCACCTGCTTTAAGGAGAAATGTGGCATCCAGTTAAACCTAAGAACATCCGCTCAGGCTCATACTCTGAAGTGATTACCACTGTTGCCTGTACCTATGATGGGGCAGATTTTTTAAATCTTCATTGTAGTCTTGGGATTGAATTCTACTTACTTTTAGATATGCAAGTGATAAACCTCTCTGTGCTAATGCCAGAAACAAAAGGGATAGATTTTAGGATTCTGCATTCCTTTTTACAAGGTAATTTCATTTCCTACTTCAGGTATTTCAATGAGTAATATTAGAAATACATTCTCAGTGGTTTTCTGGGAGTTGTGAGAATGTTTAAAAGCAGAGAAATGTTGGTCCTGTATATGCAGTTTTAAAGTTTAATCTCCTTTAACTGATTTTTCTATTCATTCTTTGAGGAAATCTTTGATTTTCACATCTACGATTAGAAAAAACAGCAAAGTTGTCAAGAATTGATATGAGTGATTAATTTTGAGAGTTATGTGCCTCTTTTGGATGTTTTATTATATACCTTTCACATTTGTTGCCTCATGTTTCTGTGGTTTGTCTTTTTATCCCAGGATGTTGCCCTCCTGGAGAAACTGATTAAAGATGATACAGAACGAGGAAAACTGCCCCTGTTACTTGTTGCAAATGCTGGTAGGTGTCATAAGTCTCAGGTACTTAGCCTAAAAAAACCCAAGTCTTAAGAACCATTTGTGTGCCACCTGTTATATTTGGTCTGTGTCAGCATTGTGGTGAGAGTTGGTGCATTAGATCCCCTTAAATGTTGGTATGTTTTGGGAATTTTTTTTTTTTTAAGATTTATTTATGTATACGAGAACTGGGGTACAGGTCAGAGGTACAGGGAGGTGGGTGAGAGGATTCACCAGAGACAGTGGGGAACAGAACAAGCAGACTGGCTGAAATACACTGCTGAGGGGAGTAGCAGGCAAGACAGGAGAGGTCTGCTGTGCCATGTGGGTAGCTCCCTGGCTGGTGGGCTGGGAATCGAACTTGTGCTGTAGACACTGTGGATAGTTTCATAGTGCTGTGCTTAACCCCTTGCGCCACCAGGGAAGCCCCTTGGGAGTTATTTTATTAACGTGTGTGTGTGTGTGTGTGTGTGTGTGTGTGTACTAAAGTTATATGGAAATGCAGATCTAGGGATAGCCAAAATAATTTTGAATAAGAGCATAATTAATTGGATACCCTATCTGATTTTTAGCCTTACATAATACTATAAATAATCAAAAATATGTGATTAATTGAAGAGAGTATAGACTTCAGAAATAGAATCACACCATATATGTTCACTTGATTTTTTTCTTTACAAAAATGCCAAGTTAATTCAAGGGGCAAGGGGTAGGTCTCTTTCACCACTGACCCTACAGCAGTCAGATCTACTTCTGGGAAAAAATTTGAACTTTAACCTTTGCATCACTCTGTTTGCAAAAATTAACTATAAATTGTTCATACACCCCAAAATAAGAGCTAAAACAAAAAGTTTAGAAAAAAATATTTATAACCTTAGGTCAGGCAAAGATTTCTTAGCACACAAAAGACATAAACCATAGTTGAACTTTATCAAAAATTAAAAGCTTTTGCTGTTCAAAAGACCCCGGTTAAGAAAATGAAAAGGCAAGACCCAGACTGGGAGAAAATATCTGCAAAAAACACTTTCTGACACAAGACTGTATCCAGAATACATAAAGAAGTCTTACAAGTCAATAATAAAGAAACGCAATTTTTAAAATGAGCAACAGTTTGAAAGACAATTTGCCCCCAAAAAAGAGGTGGTGTCTGCTAACTAGAACTTAACATAGTTGGGAGAATTTGTGACTCCACATTTTATTTAAGCTCTATAAAGTGGGGTCTGCCCAAGGCCTCCCTGGTGGTGCAGCGGGTTGAGCGCAGCACTATGAAGCTGTCCACAGCCTCTGCAGCACGAGTTTGATTATCGGCCAGCCAGGGAGAAACCCACATGGCACAGCAGACCTTTCCTGTCTTGCCCGCTGCTCCCCTCAGCAGTGTATTTCGGTCTGTCTGCCTGTTCTGCTCCCCAATCTGTCTCTGTTGAATCCTCTCACCCTCCTGCATTTCTGGCCTGTGCCCCAGTTCTTGAATAAAATAAATCTTAAAAAAAAAAAAAAAAAAGAGGGATCTGCCCAGTAAAATCTGTGTTATAAGCACATTCCCAAAGGGATGGGTTAGTAATACATGGAAACTGACTTTGTAATGCATAGTCTATATTAAAATAAAGAACCTCTCAGGTTGGGTTAAAAAAAAAATTCATTTATGTATTTTTTTATAAAGGACACACCAAAATAAAAATAAACCAGAAAGTGACAGAAAGAGTAGAAAAGGAGCTCTTAGGCAAATGCTAATAAAACCAAAGTGCTGTAGTGTGAGATTATAAAATAGACTTTATCTTAATATAATTTATAATGTAATTCATTGTTACAATTCATATCTAAGAGAATGAATGTTATGAATGTGTATGAACATAACTTCAAAATATATGAAGGAATACTAAAGGGAAAACTGGTTGACAATAAGTTGATTTGCCCATAGTCTCAGTGGGAGACATGAATATATTTGTCATGAATTAACAGATCAAGTACATAGAAAATAAGTATTGGGCCTCCCTGGTGGCGCAGCTGTTGAGCGCTGGGTTGCAAAGCTGCCCGCAGCCTCTGCAGCGCTGGTTTGATCCCCAGCTGCTCCCCAGCCACCAGAGGAGGGTCCCGCATGGTGCGCAGACCTCTCCTGCCACCCACTGCTCCCCTCAGCAGTGTACTTCAGTCCTTCTGCCTGCTTTGCTCCCCGCTCTGGCTCTGGTGAATTCTCTCACCTTCCCGCGCTTCTGACTGTACCCAGTGCTTGAAGAAAGAAAGAGAGAGAGAGAGAGAGACAGAGACAGAGACAGAGAGAGAGAGAGAGAGAGAGAGAGAGAGAGAGAGAAAGAAAGAAAGAAATCTTTAAAAAAAAAAAAAGAAACTTTAAAAAAAAAGTAGAGGATTTAAATAATACAACTAACATGCTTGATTTTATAGATATGAGAATATATACTCTTCAAAACTTGAATAATCAACTTGCAAACATTGATTTTAAACCACTCCATGAAAGAAATCACAATACAATGGGGATGTAGTATTACTTCCCTTATAGGAAGCTAGTGGATATTAAGGGCTTTTATCATGGTGTAAAGACTCAAAATATTTGTTCCTTTTGCTGTTTTTTATCCTAGGAACTGCAGCAGTAGGACACACAGATAAGATTGGACGTTTGAAAGAACTCTGTGAGCAGTACGGCATATGGCTCCACGTGGAGGGGTGAGTAGAGGCGAGCTCAGACTGCTGTGTCAAGCCTGCTCCCGTGCTCACAAGGAATAACATCCAGGCTCCCCTTTGTGGTGACATTGATCTGGTATCACCGCACTTTGGGTGGCATTTTCTACAATAACTCAAATTGAATTAAGCAAAAGATTTTTATTGACTCACACAACTCAGACCAGTGTTAGCACTGGCTTGAGGCACGATGTCAACGCCCCTGTCTTCTCCCTTCCCCTGACCACTTGGCCTGAGGTCCTCGGTGTTGGCCCCATTGTAGATAGACTTCCCTGGGACGGTGCACAGTAGCTGCAGCAACTCCAGCCTTCTTTCCAGGTTCAAGTTCAGTGGGGCAGGAGTCCCAGCAGAAGTCTCAAACTGAACCCAGTCACTGTGGCCAGGGACATGTAATACTTTGATGGTTTAGGTTATTTGCCCACCTCTGGAGCAGGTGCGGTGTCTCCTCCACCCAAAGCTTGTGGTCTGATAGAGGAGACTGGGTGGTTTCCCAGAAGGTTGTTGGAATGCTGCTCATAGAAGAGGGGGGAGAGGATGCAGGGCTGCCAAAGTAGCCCATACCCAGCACATCAGAAAGGTCAGTTTCTTTTTTATTTTATCCCTCTAGGAAAGACTGATGACTAGAATATAATAGCTGTGAAAGATATGAAATAGGATATCCATTATTCCAAAGAAGGAGACATCCCCTGTAACATTTCAATTAAATGCATTTTCATGGTTTTCCTGATATTTGTACATGCCACATTTTTTGTGGTTGTTATAAAAGCTTATAACAGTTCAAAAACATTTAAATGTCAGCTTGTGACTGCACAGCCTTTAAAAAAAAAAAAAAAGTGCATGCTTAGTGAATTAGCAGCAGTAAATAATTAGTTCTTAGATCGGTGTTTTTTCTTCCAGTGTGAATCTGGCAACATTGGCTCTAGGTTATGTCTCCTCGTCAGTGCTGGTATGTTGTTGATTTACTAAATACTGTGGTTTTTTTTTCGGTTTTGTTTTGAAGGTTTATTTATTTATGCATTTATTTATTTATGCATGCCTATATCCCTCTGGGGTTATAGGCCAGAGGTGCGGGGGCTGAGAGGATTCACCAGAGACAGAGTGGGGAACAGAACAGGCAAATTGACTGAAGTACTCTGCTTGAGGGGAGCAGCGGGCGAGGCAGGAGAAGTCTGCTGTGCCATGTGGGTAGCTCTCTGGCCAGCTGGAGATCAAACTCGTGCTACAGTGGCTGCGGACAGCTTCATAGGTTGTGTCTTAACCCCTTGCACCACCAGGGAGGCCCTAATATTGTATTTTTAAGAAGGAATTTAGGTCACTCAACCCCTGATGGTTTTCATGGTTTTCATGGTTTTCATTATGTGTGAAGGAAGGTGTCGGGCTTAGCCTATTCTGAGAGTCTAACAGGAAGTTGTTCTCTTTTTCACAGGCCGCAACCAAATGTGATAGCATGACATTGACTCCTGGTCCGTGGCTGGGCTTGCCAGCTGTTCCTGCAGTTACCCTTTATAAACACGACGATCCTGCCTTGGTAAGTTCCCTCCATGCCCTGTGGGGAATGGTTAATAATCATTATTAGGTCTGGGGGTAAAGTATGAAAACACCGGGGGGAAAGTGAAAGATTTCTTTAATGTTACTTTTATGACTTTTTCTTCTCAGAAACATTTTTTAACCTAAATGAAACTATGCCACATACATACATTTCTTATTTTGTCCTCCCCATACTTCCCCATCTGTACAAAGAACATTTTGTGACATAATATTCTGTCACTTACATGTTACACTTTATTTAACAATTCTCCTTTTGTGAACTTTTAAATTTGTTTTTAAATTTTTGTTATTGAAATAAAGTGCATCTTTCTGTGTTTCAAACTGTTTCCTTAGAATAGGTATCCAGAAGTGGACTGAGTCAGTTTAGTTAAAGCTCTTACCCACATTGTCTGAAAGGATTGTAACATTTTTTTAAAGCATAGGGGTGGTCTTGATAGTGGGTCATTTAGTGATAGCCATGTGCAAAATTAAGCTTTAAGTGAGTCTTGCTAAAACAGATAATGTCTTGCTCAGTTGGTAGTGAGCAGGTATTTGGGAATGCTCAGACAGCCTCAGAAGGGGCTACCTCTTGAGTGACTAAGAGGGTCTGGAGTGTGACCCATCTCACCCTGACTTCACATCTTAGACATGAACCCTTACACAAAGCAGGGTTGCTGAGCTACATTGCCTGTCATAATTACCTCATGGAGTAGTTGGCTGATCAAATGAAAGCCAGCCGAGAGCCTGGCATGTCATATGACACATAATAAGTGTGTGCAGGTGGTAACTAGTTCATTCTGCTCTGTGATTTCATTGCCTTTGGTCAATAAACCCATATTGGCTCTTTTAGACTTTAGTGGCCGGTCTTACATCAAATAAGCCAGCAGACAAACTCCGTGCCCTGCCACTGTGGTTGGCTTTACAGTACTTGGGACTCGATGGGATTGTGGAGAGAATAAAGCATGCCTGTCAGCTGGTAAGTAGAAGCCTGAAGTATTAATGTCATAGATGTGTCTGGGCAAAACCAGAGACAACAAGTATTTCACTGATTTGCCCACTATCCACCTTGTTGTGGTACCCTGTGTGTATACATTTCTTGTTCCAAGTTCTGGGGTTTCCCAGCATTTGTTTCCGAATGAAATTCTGTTAAAATGAACCAGTGTCAGCACAGAATAAGAAAGAAGTCACAAGACAACGGCCAATGGGTGGGGCAGGCTCAGAAAGGTGGGTGACTGTTCCACCTCACTCACTGACTCTTGAGGGTGAAGAGTGATAATGCTCAGGGGGACTCTGGGGAGGGGGTATGTATGTTTAATACCAGCTGCTTGGGTTCTGAGTGGCAAGGCTCTAGGGAAAATTCTAGTTCTCTTTCCATTTGAGGTATGCTAATTGTGAAAAATATATAATTTTGCTGCAGTTTAGAAGGCCAAAAAAAGTCATATTTATGTAGTCTGAAAGCTGAATTCTAAATGTCTATCTTAAAGACATGATGTTTCTACCTTTGTTTTCTTATCAGGAAAATAACAGTAATGCTATTATGGAAGATGGTTATGAGCACTTAATGAGTTCGTACACATAAAGCTCTTACCCTAGAGCCTAATTGTATAGTAATGTATGAAGATAGCTTTAAAAATAAATCTTTGCTTTAAATGTATTCTTGGGGAATTGGCACGTCCTCAGGTGTCATTTTTATATTTAAGAAAATTAGTATTTTTACATTGTAGTAGCCCTCCCTTGGTTCATAATGTTAGGCTAGCTCATTCTGTCATTATTTCATCTAATAAAATAGAACCATTCTAAATGAAGTAGTTCTATTTTTACATTAAGTAATTGTAAGATTTATGTTCAGTATGTTTACAAAAGCACCATAATTTTAAAAATTTTTCTCACTGAGCTGTTGGCTGTCATCTTGAGGTTTGGTTTTTCAGAAGAAGCCTCTATTGCCCTAGTAACTTAGTCAATTTGGGAAGGTTTGGACACTCAAGGGAGTTTTCAATTCCCCTTTGCTTATGGAGTGCAGGAAAATAATGATGACATTAACTAACAAGCCCTTGAGGTCACCACAGCTCTGGCATCTTCCTGCAAGCAAACACCATAGCTGATCTCAAATACTCCTGAGGAGCTGAATGATTCCTGTGCTGACTCACTAAGGGCACATGTTACATTGCGTGGAAACTGAGTCGATGTGTGGTTATCTTTCTCCATTCATGCCTAGTGCGTCCTAGTCACATGTTCCCGGGGAACAGAAGTCTGTACCCTCCACCCCTCTCTCTTCTTCCTCCTCATCGTCCTCTTCAGCTTCATGGGAAGCAGGTACTGAGTGTTTACTCAGTGCCCGGCATAAGGAAGCCCTGTGTGTGGGTGTCTCATTGGATGCCCACAACTTCACTAGAATGTAAGGTCTACTGATAACAACATGCAAAGAATTGGTTTTCAGAAGGGACTTTCCAACGCTCAATAACCATGGAGTTAATATACTTCAACCCTACCGGGTTGATACAAATCAATGATGAGAGCTTGGGTTGAGATCATTAGTATTTGATGATGGTGCTGATGATAGTGGTCATCGCACTGCATTCTAGATTCTTTCTAGGCACTTAACATATACCAACTATTTTCATCTCAGCAGCCCTGGCATCTGGATGCTATCCTCCCCATTTTATAGTCGAGGGCACAGAAACACAGAGCAGCCAACTAACTTACCTCAGGTCATAGCTAGTCAGTGCCAGATTAAGTAACTGGTACTCCAGGTGAGGATGGCAGAGTCAGATTTTAAACCTCGGTATGATTCCTCCAGACCCGGGTGCCTAATCAACTCAACCTTGTTGTGCCCTCATTCAACATCAGATGCTGTGCCTTGCATACATTTGCACTCTGTAGTTGTTGAATAAATGACTTCTTTGCTAAGCTGACAAATTCATGGCTCATTAGTAAAAGCTTTTCTTGAATCACTTAATTGTAATGTAATTTAATGAAAAGATTGGGGAAGATTTTCAAATGTTGAAATGAAAAAATTGACAACTTAGAAATCACCAAGTCACAGGTGACTTCATCTGCCTGAGGTCCTTGTTGCCAGCCCTGCAGAGCCCCCGTGAGAAGCGCTTCTTAATGTGTGGTGTGGATCTGATGAAATGACATGAGCTGTGTGTGTCATTTGCAGAGTCAGCGGTTGCAAGAAAGTTTGAAGAAAGTGAACCACATCAAAATCTTGGTATAGTATATAATTTGATCTGTTTTTGAAGTAAATAACTTCTAACTTAAATAACTTAGAGTAATTTTCTCCAGATGTGATGCATTCCAGTGGCATTGCGGCAGGTCCAGCAAGGCCACATTCTTCGGAAGAGAATATGCGTGAACTGATGACCTTATTCGGCAGTTGGCATAAACTTTAGAAATCTGCACTGTGTACTGTTTGAAGCCCCCACAGTGCTTCTCTTACGGTCTTTCTGTACTTTTATTCTGTTCCACAGCCCTGTATAGTATTTCTTACACTGGTAACTGCGACCATAAAAAACTCAAAGACGTAGAATTTGGTTGCTTTTATTTCTGTTTCCTTATTGGTCTTACTCCCTTACATACCTCTAACTTTAAAAGTACTAGTAGGTTTGTTTGTGGATAGGAAAGTTGAAGGAGATAATAGGTGTGAAAGCATAGGAATACATCATGTTGATCAGAATCACATCCACATGGTCCTTTGAAGTTATTAGAGAACTGGCAGCAACTACTTGCTGCCTTTTCAAGTTTGCATTTCCTGTTGTGTCCCTCAGAGTGAGTCATCACACAAAGTCTTGGAAAATGGGTTTTATGTCTAGAATTTTAGGGCTCCACCCTCCCCTGCCAAACCACAGTCTGTCGAGGGCATTGCCACTCCCTTTGTACCCTGACCCAAGCTGCAGCTGCACGCTGGTTCAGTGGGAGCATGAACTAGTTACTGACTTGTCTTGGCACATGGAGCGTTCTTCTCTGCTCTGAACCCATTGCTGCAGCTAGTTGTCTGACGCCTGTCCTGAGTGTCAGTACTGCTCCAGCGATTCAGAAAATAAAGATTCCACTCAAAAGTGGTTATCTGCATTGCCAGCAAGACTTGCATCCTGCTCTGGGAGTTGTACAAGGTGAAAGTCAAGTGCTTGTTCTCTTTCTCTGTCGGTATGAAGTTCCAGTCAATCCTGTTTGAGTTAGCTTAATTCCCGGATATTTGAAAGCTTGGATGTTAACACTGATTCTACTTAGAGTTTTCCCTTACCTTTTTGCTCTTTGATATTAGGCTTGTGGTTATCCATTATTATTAAAATTTCCTCCTGTTTTAAAATTTCACTGTACCAGTGTCAATCACCACAATTTAACAGTGTGTTCTAGAGAGTGGATTATAATTATTTTCTAAGAATTTCATTGAACCCTTCCTTGACTTTTATTTCTTTAGCAACTGAAATTAGCTTGTGTTTATTAAGAAAATACCACATGGGGCCTCCCCGGTGGCGCAGCAGTTGAGCGCTGGGTTGCGAAGCTGCCCGCGGCCTCTGCGGCGCCAGGTTCGATCCCCGGCTGCTCCCCGGCCACCGGAGGAGGATCCCACATGGTGCGCAGACCTCTCCTGCCACCCGCTGCTCCCCTCAGCAGTGTACTTCAGCCCTTCTGCCTGCTCTGCTCCCCGCTCTGGCTCTGGTGAATTCTCTCACCCTCCCGCGCTTCTGACTGTACCCAGTGCATGTATAAACAAAACAAACAAATATAATAAATAAATAAATAAAAACATGCCTCTATAAAAAAAAAAAAAAAAAGAAAATACCACATGTCTATCCTACTTTCAAACTCAGTTTCATTATGGAGGCATTTGGTGATGTCATGTGGTAATACCAAGTTCTATTTTTCAGGTGGAAGATGAGCTCAGTTCTCCAGTGGTGGTATTCAGATTTTTTCAAGAATTACCAGGCTCAAGTAGGTGATTTTAAAAAGAGGGTTGTTTTTGAATTAAAATTCAAAAGAGTGTTTTGAATTTTAAACCATTACATATAGTCCAAAATATTTTTATTGCTAAAAATCTTCAGTCATCACTTCAGAAAAATAATCTTAACCAGAACTTCAGACCTAAATGCCTTAGCATTTTGCAGATAGTTTCCTAGGATTAAGCCAAGGACTTCCAAACACCAGTCCCTGAACTATGGCTGGGATGATAAGAGCCCCTTGAAAACAGGTATTTTGAGGCCCTATTTCTGGACATTTTGATTCAGTAGGTTGAACCCAAGAATCTCTGTTTTTAAAGAATGTCCCAAGTACCACCAGCCAAATCCGGGGCACTGTTACTCTTCATGGACAGCCATGGTCCTCCCCTCAACTGATGTCTCACTTCTGTACATTCCACACACCCCTTTCCAGACCATTCTTCGCATGGCAGAGCAAGCATTCCAAGTGGAGGTCTGTCACGTCCCTGCCCAGAACCTTTGGGTGTTTCACCTAAATGGAATCACAGTATCTGTCCTTCCAGGACTGGCTTGCTTCGCGTGGCATGATCCCCTCCAGATCCATTCCTGTGTTGCTTAGGACAGGTTGTTCTTCCTTTCTAAGGCTGAATAATACCCCATTGTATGTATGTGCCACATTTTATTTATTCATTGTAAAACATACCCTTGAATTCTGTAACATTTGAAATTTTTGCTCCTGGGTTAATAGGGAATCTAATGGGGTTGGATGGGTGTGTATTTTAGGTAGCTGTGTTTTGGGGAGCTGAAACCCCTTTCTGTGTTTCAGTGTCAGATCCAGGGCTTAAAGCTTTCCCAGTGCCCAACATGGCTCCCTCAGCAGTGGGCCGGGAGAGACACGGCTGCGATGCACTCAATCGCTGGGTAAGAACAGGATTCGTGAGCTCTCCTCCCCTCTAAGATTGGGGTCGTGCACGATCGTGGGGCAGCCTCCCGTGGGGGCTCTGGGCTTCATCCTGGGCTTCTGTTCTTAGTGCAGCTGCCGCCTCCCCTACTGCAGCCCCTGGCCATTCCTTACAGGTGACTAGTCCTTGCCGCAGTGGAAGGCCGTACGGCATACACAGCACACGCAGCTTGTGTAGTGACGTCAGAGGACACGTCAGCCAGCCCCCAGGACACCTCTGGCTGCTCTTGATGTGGATCAAGGGCTATGCTCTGGCTGCCTTTGACACTGAAAGTTTAGCTTTAGGACTCTAAAGAATGTTCTAAACAATGCAAGGATGTTCAGCACAGCAGTGGCAGTCCTAGCAAAACGCTGGATGTGCCCCCAAGGGGTTCGTGAATAAGCTGTCTGTGCAGTGAGGTTCAGTCAGTACAAATCACGCAGCCGGATGTGTATGGCAGAAGGCAAATGGTCATCGTCAGTCAGTTGACAAACAGTTAGTTGCCCCAGCACACCTGTTGGTGTCAGGCTTGGTGAGGTCAGTCAAACACATGCCCACTCAGGCGAGGGAGTCACCAGGTGTCAGCAGTGGGTGCTTCTAAGTGGTGGATTGGGGTGATTTTTGTTTCATTCTTTTAGTTTACCTGTATTTCCTGAATTTTCTATAGTGAACTTGTATATGTTAGTAAGGAAGAAAGTGTAAAGTTTACTGTTTTTAAAAAGAAGCTGCTATAGTGTTCACAGAGAATGAAAAGATTAAAAACATTAGCCCTCAAGTTGCCTCTTGGGTTAGGGTGGGTCTGAAGACTTCGGGTCCCTGTGTGCCCTTCCGTGCAGCTGGGGGAGCAGCTGAAACAGCTGGTGCCCGCGAGCGGCCTCACCGTCATGGACCTGGAGGCAGAGGGCGTTTGCCTGCGGTTCAGCCCCTTGATGACAGCAGCGGGTAAGTCTGGGGTTGCTCTCGCTTCTGTCTTCGAGCAGCCCAGAGGCTGAGGGCTTTCCCTTCTGATACTCTATTTCTCCTTAGAGAGGCTTTGTCTTTCTTTTGGACTGTGTTTAGATAATTTGCCTGACCTTAAGGCGCTGGCCCTCAGAAGTGACTTGATTCTGTCATCACAGCCACGCTGTCCTTCCTGCCATGCGCCCACCAGCGGCCTTCTCTTTCTCTCCATCATGCTGGCGTAGGGCGAGAACTGTGTGGTTGTCCTGCATGTGTGATCTGTGGCAGGATATGGACACCTTGACTGACGCAGTCTTTTCTATGAGATTTTGAATTCAAGTCTCATCATGTATTAAACCCAAGGGGCTAGTTCTCCTTGCCGTATAAGAAGAAACTGCCAGCCCAGCTGCCAGCTGTTGTAGCTCCTCAGCTCCCACGGCATGGCTGCACCTAGCACCTTTTAGCCTTTCTGGTGTTGGAAGTGGAGTGCCGCCCTCTTGTTTTCCTGTCAGCATTTAAGGATTTCTCTAACGCTCTGTGAACGGTTTCAGTTTTAGGGACTCGGGGAGAGGATGTGGACCAGCTGGCTGCCTGTATCCAGAGCAAGCTGCCTGTGCTGACGTGCACGCTGCAGCTGCGAGAGGAATTCAAGCGGGACGTGATGGCAACGGCCGGCCTCTTATATGTTGATGATCCCAACTGGCCTGGCATAGGGGTTGTCAGGTACGGTCAAGGGTTGCCTCGCGATGCCAGTTTCTTTGTTGTGTAAAGAACAAGGGCAGGTCATGTTGTGAATCAGCTTAGAAATCTAAGATGAATACAGTCCATGGACCCAGCAAAACTCCAGCCAGATGTGCTGGGCATTTACAGAACGCATGGCTGCAGGCGGTGTGGCCCCCAGTGGCTCACTCAGCGAGACAGGAGTCACTGAATGTTCTCTGTTTTGTGCCAGCTCACAAGTTAGAGGAGTTGTGTACCGGTACATGGCTGACATGGGTACTGTCCACAGTATAGAGAGAATCACGACTCTAGGAAAGAGAACCCAGCTCCCCAAGGGAACAGCCCCTCTGTTCTCGCCAGCGGAGTGCATGCAGTCCGCCCACACTGCTTTCCAGCCCCTGGAAGGAAGAAGGAAATGTCCTTTCTCATACGAATGGTGTGACTTTCAGACCTGGCCTCTCTAACTTTCCTGGACCTGACACTTAGGCTCGTCCTGTGACATTCTCGACAGTTTTCCATCCTGAGACACTCGAGGGCTCCTCTCTCAGCTTCGGTCATCTCCAGCTTGAGCCTGTGTCTGAAGAGAGAGTTGGCTGATCTTTTAGATTGAGATACTGTTGTTTGCTATTGTTTATAGGTACGAACATGCTAATGATGATAAGAACAGTTTGAAATTAGATCCAGAAGGGGAAAAAATCCATGCTGGACTCCTGAAAAAGTTAAATGAACTGGAATCTGATCTTACATTCAAAATGGGTAATTACTGTTTTTTAAGTTGTGAACTTCGGAAGGACATTTCCTGTGAGTGGGTTCTGTCTCTTTGGAGGAAACATTGCTTTGATTCTTTCTTGATGAGGTACCTGCCATCCCCTCTGCAGCCTTGTGGGCTCCCTGTCTCATCAGCACCACCTTCCTCACCCTGGGGAGGCTCCTTTGTGTACCTCATGCTGTTGTGCAGGGGAGAGGCCCTCTGACTCACAGCAGGACCTGAGAACCACGTCAGTCTGTGTTTCTTCCCACAGGCCCTGAGTATAAAAGCATGAAGAGCTGTATTTACATTGGCATGGCAAGTGACGACGTAGACGTTTCTGAACTAGTGGAGACTATTGCAGTTACAGCCCGAGAAATTGAGGAAAACTCAAGGGTCTGTAAAACTAACTAACCAGCATCTCATGCCTTTTCTGGGTATTGCCTGGGCAGCTTGCAGGGGCACAGGGAAAGATGTTACCCTCAGAAATGAGTGTTATTTACTCTTTCCCAGAAGATGTTGAAATACTTCTTGTGCGCTAGGCAGTGTGGGGGCATCGGGAGTGCCCGGTGGATTGGACACAGCTTGTGCCCTCAGTGAACTCACTAGCCAGTCAGGGAGGAGCTCCATGTAGCCAGTGCTGTAGGAAAGGCTGTCCGAGAAGGTGGGCGTGGTGAGCACTCAGGCAGACACACCCATGGACCTTCCTGATGATCGCTGCATCCTGAGGCTAAATAAAGATGTGTCCAATAACAGAATTTTCCACCAGTGACAGACCTGCTTTTGTCGGCCAGTTGGCATAGAGGATCAGGCGGCAAACGAGGTATTTGAGTTGCTAGTGCTCACTCAGAAGAGGGACCAAAGCAAGACTGAGCTGAGAGGAGAAACATGTCATGGATTTCGCTCTGGGTTGGGGTGGGGAAGTTTGAAATGAGGCCAAGGGAGCCAGTTTTATTCTTTCTTAGACTTCTTGAAGCTTTTTCTGAACTTGATATTGCTTCTCATTCCAATTCCATAGATGTTGAGAGCAGTGTGTCTATTTTCTGTGGAGAGAACATCCAGATCACAGCAGTAGTTTCTCCCTGCTGTCTCCTGGCAGCTGGGGCGGGTCAGCGAGCGACGCTTGCCTAGGCCTCCTTGAGCGTTTTCTCCTCTTCCGTTTGATTGTCTGGTGTTTCCGAGCACCAAATTCCGCCACTAGCATACTTCTGAAAGAGTTCCCGTGATGTGTGACGAGTCAGGCCTTCTGGTCCCCTGGAAAGAGGTTGAGGCAGGTAATGCCCTCTTTGTCTTAACACAGCTTCTGGAAAATATGACCGAAGTCGTTCGGAAAGGAATTCAGGAAGCTCAGGTTCAGCTGCAGAAGGCAAACGAGGAGCGCCTCCTGGAAGAGGTGAGGCAGCGGATGGGGTGCACCTGGGCGTGCAGGGAGGGGGCCGGGCAGGAGGGTCTCGAGCAGTGGTTCTGTCTTTCAGGGGGTGTTGCGGCAGATCCCTGTTGTAGGCTCCGTGTTGAATTGGTTTTCTCCAGTACAAGCTTCACAAAAGGGAAGAACCTTTAACTTAACGGCAGGTAGGACTCACTAGCCTCCCCCTGCACTCCCCGATCTCATTTACCTTGAGCGTTCTGGGCAGAGGCCCTTTTGTCCCCCACACATCTCATGCTGAGAAGACTTGTCCACGTCCCTTACCTGGTCACGGGGTACCGTGCCATGCCGGGAGTGTGGCTGAGGAGATGTGATTTGTCTGCCCCGACCGTCGTCGTCTTTCTGCTGTGCCGACAGCTGACCTCGCGTGAAAGCAGACTCCTCCTCCGGAATCCACGGAGAGCCCACGCTCTCGGCTGTTCAGATTCTCAGGACCACGTGCCTTGGGCATTTGGGTTCAATATTAATATTCCTTGACCTCCCAATGTGTTTGCCGCAAAGCAACCCAGAGGACTGCTCGGGGAAAGGGAAGTCAGAAGACCGTCGTCCACAGCACTGGGCCGTTTTATTTCAAACCGGGCACTCAGCACTTGCTGGGCTTTGGGGGAGATGGTTTCCAACTGCACAGCTCCTCCTTCCTGATCTTCAGGGACCTATTCCCTGAGCCTGGGCCCTTCAGTCCCCCCCAGGAAGCCATGACCACATTGCATTTGACAGCAAGACGTCATCTGACTTTCAGTCTGCCAAGCCTCAGCCTTTAGCCAAGAGGCGTCCGTTCCTTGTTGCCAAAGTACATCTCCCACTGGGGCCTGCTCCCCCGACAGGCTTGGGCCACACGCTGGCGGAGTGTTGGCACATGTACACAGGCTACCTGGGGAGACAAGGAGCCACCACCCCAGCAGGGCTAGGCCTCATGGGCACAGCTGGGACAAGGCAGCCTCCAGTTCCTGGCACCTGGTTTCAGGATACCCAAGTCTCAGCAGTCCATGTGAAGCAGAGGAGGCTTAGAGTGAGCAAGGTTGAGTGGGGGCCTCTCCCATGGCAGCCTGTGCCAACAGCTTCCCCCTAACATCTCTCCTTTCCCCGGCAGGCTCTCTGGAGTCCACAGAACACACGTATATCTACAAAGCTCAAGGTACAGGCGTGACGCCACCACCGACCCCCTCAGGCACGCGCACTAAGCAGAGGCTTCCAGGTACCTTACATCATGTTTGAGCTCATTAACACTGAAGAAGTAGCTTGTATTTCTCTTGGGGAAATAGACCTGTGCATCACGTACCCGCCTCTGCGGTCTTCTTGGTCCCGTTTCTCCTCAGACCTGCTATCACTGCCCCTGTCCTTCTGATAGCTGTTCCAGTAGCCTTGGAACAGAGCCTTGGAGAGATGCATCTGCCGCACTCCAAGGGAGCAGAAGGGTCTGGAGAGAAGGTGTCGTGTCTAACTGGCGTGCTTTTCCTGCCAGTTAACCTCAAAAGTTACCGGCCTCGGGAGTGTTAGTGTCACAACTTGCTTTTCTCTCTTCATCACTTTTAAATGCTTCAGAGCCAGTAACTCCAGGGATTTCTGCTGAAGCATTCCTTGTTGCCCAGAAGCTGGGGCTGCTGGTGTGTTTCATGAAGCTTCTGGTACTTCACCCCTTCTTTCTGTAGGCCAGAAGCCCTTTAAAAAGCCCTTACGAGGTTCCGCCGACGCTCTGAGTGAGACCAGCTCAGTCAGCCACATTGAAGACCTGGAGAAGGAGCACCTGTCTGGGGGGCCGGAGCAAGATGCCCTGGAAGCCAACGGCTCCGAGCCACACCCAGGGACTCCCACCACGCAGGAAGCAGAGCAGACTGGGGCCCTCCCAAATGGGGCCCAGCACCCAGAAGATGACCACCCACAGGTAGAAGAACTGGAGAGCTTAAGATAAGATTCAGTGTTGGTTTGAGACTGTACTGAATACTGTTTCAGGGAAGATGTGGTTATACCGAGAATGTGAACTGTGCCACATGCTAATTCGAGAAATTAGTATTTGTGCTTAACTGGGATTTTTGCACAAAGATATGCCTGAAAGCCAGGGTGTGCAGGAGGGCAACTGACTTGTCTAATTTTATGGGATGTAGAACCATCAACAACTATTGTGACTGTCTACCCAGCTATAGTAACATATTTCCCCCATGTTTACCATAAACACTTTTATTCACAAAGAATTCACTTAAAATTTCAAGTGCTTGCCACTTGAAACACCTGCTGTTATCTTTTTAAATGTAAGCGTTAAGACATTAGTTTGCACATGGTGACTTTTTGGTAAGACAGCTTTCTGCAGAACTCTCCGGGTTCTCTGCTTGCTGCTGCAGGGTGAGGCAGGCAGCCCCCTCGGCTGCCTACCCTAGTTGTTTAATCAGGTTGCAATAGAGAACTGGACTGCGTTAGACTTGAAGGAGAATGGGTTTCGAGGGGACTGTAAAAAAGTGTGAGACACCCTCTCCTACCCTCCCCAGCTGCTGCTTTCCCTGGAGACCTAAGTAAGGACTGTCCACGGGGCGGTGGCAGGACTCTCTAGCCAGCTAGAGCGGGCAGTGCTTCGCCTGTACTTCCCTCTGCCGCAAATCCACTTCTCCTTTATATGCAGTTTATAAACAGATTAAAGGACTCGCCTATTAAGAGTGAATGTAAAGACTCTTCTTGACCATATATATTTTTAAATACTGGGAAAGCTTTTAAATTGGCACATGAGTACAGGCTGTGCACATTTCTACGTCTGCTATCAGAAACCCGATAGCTGCAGCCCCTCAGAGCCTGACGGCGACCACACTGTGTAGCCCTAGGTGTTTGCCCTGCAGAATGTACCTTCCACCTGTTCCACAGGAGCTTCTGCAGCTTCTGTTCCACTAGCAGCTCACCCTTTTAGGCCCAACTCAGAAACAAGAACCAGAAAAAAGTCATCTTTCAAAGGCGATCAAGCCAGACTACTGCTGAAATAACTGCAAGTGAGCCCTTGATCACTGCTCGTGGCTACCTTCCCAGAAAGCACTGCGTTGCTTCCCTCACCATCGGCAACGGGCCCTGTGCCTTCCAGTCCAGCCAAGTCAGGCTAGGGGAGACCTCAGGCCCGTGGGGCATTGGACTGGGTTGTGGACGAGAGGATCGGAAGCCTTAGTTCTAACCACATTAAGTTATAATTGCTTTCTAATTTGATGTGATTTCTGACACTTGGCTCTTGTCAAAGTGCAATTTCCTTTTCTTTGGGGGGTGGGGTGCAGATGATTAAACAAAAACTTCCCTGTTTATTTGGTGCAATGAAGTATATAGCAGATAAAGTAGGGGAAGGGGAAATTATCACCTTTAACAAGATTCATTTTTAAATGTTTTTATATATATTTGGAATTGTTAAATTGGTTTTGCTGAAACAGAATTTCACCCTTGAGATACTATTTGAATGTTGGTTTCAATAAAGGTTCTTGAAATTGTTAGCAGCGAGTTCAGTCACAAGTCTCACTCCTCATCTGCACGGTGACTTCCGTTTGGATAGCAACTCAGCAAAACAAAGGCTTCTGAAAACATAGTTTGCATAATTACCACAATTTTAATGACCTCCACAACTTACAGATTTACCAGTGGCTTTGTATAATTCTCAGATTAAATTTAGTCTCAAAAGAAATTACCTATTTTAGAGAGAACCATATTGTCAAACAGTAAGGTTTTTCTCCTTCTGAACCTTTCGTCTCATTCATCTGAAGTATGTTTGGATTTGATGTTTCTAAAATATTTGGCGGCAAAAAGTATCTGCGACGTATAAATTGAGTTAAAGTGGTTTTTAACTCAGGTATAATATCTCTTCCTTAGCAGAATGGGAAATACTAAGTATCTGAAATAGCTGCTGACAGAACAGCATGGTGGGCGCCTCCTCCACCTCTTATAACTAATCAAAGAAAAAGCTGGAAATCAACTTTTTAGTCATGTTAAAAATAAACCTGAACAATTGCCTTTGCCAAAATAAGATTTTATTTTGAAAATCATTTGAAAGACTGAGGAGGGAGGAGACCTAAGACTCAGCAGAGTGGGTTCCAGATTCTCTCCAGCTCCCCGCTAGCCCCCCACCCCGGTGGTCTTGTGCCAGAAAGTCGCTTTCTTTGGTAAATCCTGTTTTAGCTTCCTGGAGAAGAGATCTTTTCCCATAAGCCATCTTCATTTTTTTTGTAGAGCAGAGCTTTATTTCCAGGAAACAGTGTGTTAGCTGGAGATGGGTATTTTTTTAAAAACATCAAGGTAGATCTAATGTGTTCAACAAAGTGGGGGGGCTCAGCCAGAGGCGAAGTAGAAAGGTTCTGGAAAAAAACAAGATTGGGGCATGAGAAAGCTATCTTCAGTCTATTCCTGCTGTCACAGAAATGCAAAAAGTGAAGTGTCTGTGTTCTTTAATTCATCAGGATGGTCTCAGGTCACTATTAAGAAAAAAGGCAGCTGGTCTTCATCAAGCAATTGTCTGTCCAGGACATTACTTATTTTCAGGATATAGCAGTTAAGTGGGATCTACCGATGGATGCATCCTAAAAACAAATTACACGCACTGAAGGAAACGCAGTTGTTATCTAGCCTAAACCTGTTTTTCCCCTTAAAGATGAGAAACCAGGGTCCAGAGAGTTAAGATTTACCTAACCTGTAAATTCTCACCTCTAGTATTTGCTTATCATCTTGCTGCAACCAGAAATCCAGATGTGGAAATGGCATCCATGAGTACGGTCCTATACGAAGTTGTTCAGCCTTTGCATCATAAATGCTAACCATCTGAAAAAGAGCATGTCGAGGCTAGAATTTAGGGAATGTTATCACCTTCTCAAACCCTACAGCTGATGCAGGCTGCAGTGCAGTCTGAGGGGTAAGCTTCTGGAAAGTCCTGTCTCGTAGTAACAAACTGCTGCTTACTGAATATGTCCATCGTGTCTGGCAATGCACTCTGTGGGTGACATAGATTATTTTGTTTAATCCAAACAATAGCCCTGCAGGAAGGTGCCACTCGTCCCCGTTTGGCCCAGACTACATGCTGCCCACGGGCACATGTTGAGCAAGCATCAAATTTGGGACTCAAAGCCTGTGTGTATCTAGGTCCATGTTCTTCACTACGACAGAACTCACCCCCCACCCCCAACACCTAACAGACACTCAGAAGCACACCGGTGCCTTGTTCCACGTCGAGAAACAAAATCTGTAAAAGTGCTTTTTTGCTTTATGATCAATTCCTGGAATCCCCAAACTTGCCAATGGTAATTTTCAGCTTAACCAGCACTGGTCAATCTTGGTTACTAGGACTGAGATCTTCTGACTCTTAGCTAAATCTGGGCAGTGATACTACTTGAGAAATTGAAAAAAGAATCCTAAAAATGTTAAAGAGTTGACAAAATAGCACACTGAATCCAAGCATTCTTCTCCAATGACAATGTCAGCATTTCATAAGTCAGATATTTGGTGGGTGCTCTGAGGGCCATTTTTTTCCCACATTTTAAGCATTTTTAACTCATTCTTATGCCCATTCCTCAAACATAATGTGAGTCTTGGATTTTTATTTTTGTAACTTTTAAAATGTTTAGTTGAAAAGCACCCGAAGGTAATCAGACTTTCAAAGTGACTGGATAACTCCACAGGTTAGTCGTGCTGTGCTAACAGATTGCCTGCCCTTCCCTGCTTTGTGGGGTCTTTAGAGATAAGGTTCCTACAAAGTCGAAGGGCTTGTTCTCTTTAAATCCCCAGTGCAGGGGTTCATAGCACCTTCCCCTAAGCCTTCAAGGTAGAAAACTGGGGTTTTGCCCTCACAACCTAAAAACATTCATTCAAGAACATGTGGGTATGAGCATGTGTGTGTATGAGCATGTGTGCGTATGAGCACGTGTGTGTGTGTGTGTGTGTGTACGCACATGTGCACATGCTGCTCCCTGGTCATTTCCAGCTTTAAAGAAGCTGATATAACTATTTAAAATCTGTATCTGCTATGATCACAATTGCTTTTACTTCTATAACCACGTGCTTTTTCATAACACTAAGGAAACCCATACAATTTTATAATTGTATAGGAGATCTATACAAAACCTTTATAATTAAAACAAGAGCAATAAAGTCAAAGTTGAATTATCAAAGTTTTTTTAAGCTGACAGCAACCTGTCATCTGTGAGAGCTACAAACTCGAGGCTCTGCAATCTGCTGCCTCCCCGCACCACCCCACTTCACACAGGCTGAACTGAAACTCACGGGTCCGCCTGTGAGAGCGCGTGCAGCCCGCAGCTCCTCTTCGGGGCCTCGGTCTTGGAAGGAGGCTCTGTAAATCTCTGCGGTTCTAATGTTGACAGCTGTGAGGACAACACGGTGACTTGGAATTGATGAAAGACAAAATCGGAAGGTTTGCACCGCCCTGCATTCTACCCTACACAATGTAGGCCAGGGAGTCTCCTAGGAGACAAGACTGGAAACTGAACAGAACGACCCGTGTCTGCAGCTTGCCTTCCTGGAGAGGGGAGTCGACCTTGAAGCTGCACAAGGTAAGACTATACCCGACTGGGCGCTACCACTGACAGTGCCAGCTCCTAGAGGCTGGAGGGGAGGGTGGTGGTGGCCTCTGATATTGGCCAAGTTGGAGGTTTTTGTTTCAATTTTCACTAAGTATTTCAGACACAGAAAGGTCTAGAAAATAATGAACACCTGTGTGCCCACCTCCTGGCTAAATAAACACCACCACAGATGTGGGGAAGAACTCTGCAGATGCTGCCAGTGTCATCTCGCCCTCAGTCCCAGCGCCTGCCAGGAGGGAAGCGGCTCTGGGTTTTCTCTAGCCTCAGTTTTGCACTTTGCAGGATCTTCGTTCACCATCAAAACCTTACCTGATCCCCAGTATATAAATAGATTCAAATGCCCATGTGCCCACCCCCAGGACACCGGCCCTAGAACAGCACCGCTGCCTCCACAGGCTACACAGACTCTGACACCAGGCAGCTCCCCTCAGGATGACTCTGCCTACGTGTTACATTTGCTGCCTTGTTTTCGTGAGCTTGGGGACGTGACATTTTCCCTACTTTGTTGACAAAAGCTACAGGTAAAGCTTGGGTGCCCCACATACACAGAGCCAGGACTTGAGTGTGGGCTGGGACGTACCGCAGCCAGGGGTCACTAAGTCAGCCTGCCCCAGAGCCTGCCCTGGCCGCGCGTCCACCTCTCACAAGCGCTACTCACCAATGCCATAAATGATGGGGAAATGGTTTTCATTTTCTTTCCGGTCATTTAATTCTAACAAACAGAAAAGAAGAATTTTTAAGACCCAGTTTCAAAGAAATGCTAAACAACTGCTTCCTTTTCTGTAACAGAGGCCATGAAAGACACACACACCCACCCTCCTCACCCCCCCCACCCCACCCCACCCCCACCCCACCCCCGCCACCAAGGGGCGTGTCAAGATGACAAGGACTCTGTCTGTCCCTGCTGAGCTCCCAGAGTAGGGTTTAGTGGAACCAACAGCTGCTGGCAGAGGCCCTCCCTGAGGTCTGGACCCTTCTTCCCTGGAGGCCTGTACTTCCAACCCTGGAGTAAGACGGGTTACACTGGAGGGAGCCCAGCCCCTCAACCAAGGTCGGAAGTGAGGTGGACACCGAGGAGGAGGGAAGGCCCTTCCAGCAGCGGGAAAAGCAGAACCCAAAGTCAGCAAAGCACCAGAGACCGAGGCACCCCCGCCAGGTCCTGTGTTAAGGGCCAGGGCAAAATGTTGCTGAAATCTAAGCTTGCTTTTGGGAAAGACGACAGAACTTACCTGTCACACACAGTGTCACTAGGTGAATGTCATCTTCTTGTCTGTCAAATTCATCTGCAATTAGAAGTTTAAAATTGGATGTCAAAATAGTTCCTAGAAGCAGAACAAAGCTGAGCAAGTGAGGAAGGGGAGGCGCAGCAGACCTCTCCTGACTCGCCCGCTGCTCCCCTCAGCTGTGTGTTTCAGCGAATCTGCCTGTTCTGTTCCCCCCTCTGTCTCTGGTGAATCCTCTCATCTTCCGCACCTCTGGCCTGTACCCCAGTTCCTGTATGCATAAGTAAATCTTAAAAAAAAAAAGTGAGGAAGGGGGCAGGACCAGAAGCCCACTGGGCCGCCTGTCCCACCACCCTCATCCGGGTCCCGAGAACCCGCCTACCGCTGACAGCCAAGTCCTAGCCTCAGCCAGAGGAAACTGGCCAAGGAGACAAACCAACTCAGAAGAAATATTTACTCTCCTTTTAGTAACACTTTTTGATTATCAGAGTCATTAAAAAAGTCAGATCATTGTAAAAATATCTGGAAAAGTCAGAAGAACACTAGGTCTATGTGGGCTTTTAATGCCCACCGTCTAGCGCTGCTTACTGTGTTTTCCTCCATATTTTCCTGTGCACAGCTGAGTTCACATAATTTTTCGTTACATTATGTACTTTCCCATGTAATCTAAACCTCTTCATGCTCACTTGTGTGGGCACGGAACTATCCTCTGCTAACAAACATGGGAATATTTCCTGTTACTGTTCCCTGCTTGTCTCTGGTATCACACTGCACAGTTCAGGTTATTTCCTTAGAGTCCCAGCAGGGAGATTACTGGGTCAAAGGCTATGAACCTTTTAAGACCCAAGCAGGATGCCAAGTTGCTCTCCTGACTGGCTACCCAGCTCCAGGGCCCCCGGAAAGTGCCTCTTCACGGCCTCGAAGAGGCCTCATGCTAAACAACACAGAACAAAGGCTTTTATTTCCCCCCTTTTAGATACTGGCTAATAGGGGAAAGTGGTGTCATTTTAATTTTCTGCAGATTAAAGTGGACATTTCTGCCAGGAGGGTGATAATGTTTTTTCACAATTGAGCATTCATTATTCTGAACCGTGTTAACTATTTTAAAAGAAAATCTTGTCCCCACCCACCCTCGGTGCTTAGAAATTTCTCTCTTAGCTATTTGGTCTTTATCTAAGATCCTAGGGGAACAGGACTGTGTGTCATCCACTCAGGTTGGCTCCTCTTAGGTTTTAGGTTTTGGGATTTTTACAAATTTTTATCAACTTTGAAGGAAAAAACAGTGAACTTACTAAGAAGCTGATGAGTAAGTTTTTGTGACAACTGCCTGTCGTCACTGAAGCCTCCCACGAGGTGCACTTCCAGCCTGGCAGAGAGACAGAGGGTGGTTAGACGTTTTGCTTTGCATTTTAATTCCCAGCTTCCATGAGCGCTGGTTCTCACGTGCTTCCAGGCCTTGTCTGTGCCCCGGCACATACAGAAGACAGCTGTGTGGGCCACTGGGGAAAGGGCGCGGCTCCCTGTGGGCCCTGCCCAGGTGCCTCATGACCCAGGGGCTCTAGCCTTCACACACGCTACGCCCCAGGGTGAGAGCCAACTCCTGCTTGGAAAACTAGCCACCCTCGGGGGGATACGCCCCAAGTCCATCTTAGCTGAGGGGACCAGTTCTGAGACAGGAAGGGCACCAGCTCTGCGAGGGCTGCCCCTCCAACCCGTCCTGCCTGCAGAGCTTTCCTTTATCTTTCAAAAGCACAGGCCCGGGCCCCCTAGCCGCACGGCCCCTGAACACAGGCCAAGTGAGACAGGAAAGGGGTTCGTGAGGTAAGATACTAAGTCTGGGAAGCTGCCTCCTGGCAGCCCTCTCTGGGCATGTGGGCATGTACATGAGCACAGAACAGCCCCTCAAAGTCCTACAGGCGGGAAAACTGCTCCACCCCAACTTTCCCGTGCTCATTTGTCTACTGACCCCCTTCCCACCATCCCCAATATCCGGGGAACTCGTGCTTAGGGAAGTGCGGCCGTATTTCACGCTGCCTTCTGCCGACAATCCCTTCCTGAGAATAAGCCAGAATCCGCTGTGTGCCCAGCCCAGGCCAGAGCATCAGTCGGCCATGAATGAACATTAAGGGGGAGAGGAGTGGCTGCCCCTGAGTCTGGTCTGCCGCCCAGCCCCAGGCAGAAAGGAATCCAGGTTAAGACCATTCTGTCACGCCAGAGAAACTGACAGGGAGGCGGCTGCTTTTCTGTTCAATCCCTGCGGTTCTATGAACTGCAACTGACCGGGACGGTTCCCTCAGGGCTGACCTCAGACTGCAAATAATGGCGGCCACGCCTGAGGAAGGAGAGGGGCCTGGTGTGAGCACCGGCCTCACGGCACTGCTGTCCCAGGCTGCCGCTGCCCTGCCTACCCGGCCACACGACTCCGGGTGAGCTGCTCTCAGCGGCATACGCCCCTCATGACGGGACGGGGATGGGGGCAAGGGGTGGCAGCTCAGCGCCCCCCATCCCCACCCCACCCCACCCCCGTTCCCCTGCCTTGTTTTCCCCACAGTCCTTCCTATCTCGCTCACTGGATGTCTCCTTGCTTTAGAGCAGGAAGGCCTGGGGGCAGGCGGTCCGCTCTGGCACAGACAGTGCGTGCTCACAGGAAGCACCCAACAAAACATCCCCGGGGAGGAGAGCACCCCTTCTGCAGTCTAACAGCACATCTAGAAGAACACCACTGGAGGGGAAGTACAGGTTCGCCGTCAGGTTCCCATCTGCAACCCACACTGTGCCCCAGCCTGGACCCCCGCCCTTCACAGCAGCTGGGGACGCGGCCGCGGGGGGCGCGCTGCAGCCTCCCCCACGGGGCCAGCTCCGGGATCACGCGCACAGCACAGTAGGCGCGGCTCACCTTCCACACTGAGCGTGGTCGGAAAAGGACTTTATGGAGTTCATGATCAGGGGGACCTCGGCTTTGGTGTCGGATCCATCGCAGTGTGTCAAGCAGGTGGCCCCGTTACCTGAGGAACAAGGTGAAACGACTCGCGTTATTCCCGCGGGGGACGGAGGAAGCAGGCCACGGCTGCTGCTGGGCACTCAGACCGCCTCGTCCCGCATCGCCTGTGAGAGAGAGAGATAGGTCTGTGCTGCCCAGCCAACCCTTTCAGACCAGGGCGAGAGGGAGGTGCCATGCAGACGAGAGAAAGGTAAGCACAGTCCAGTTCAAATGGGACGCCAGGAAACGCAAATTACGGGTCCCGAGCGTGGGCAGCTTAAGTGACGGTCTCCTGCCCGTCGTCATACCTGTGTGCCTCAGGACCACAATGTGACAAGTGGTAGCATCATCAGAACCCAGAATGGAGATGGAGCCTGTTTAAAAAAGAAATAAAATAAAATATCCAACAGCCTTCTGGGATAGCGCCCAATTCACTGCTTCCTAACCTACCATCCTTTGGGGAGGTCACTGCAAGCTCTCTTTGCTGAACATACAGAAGGCCCTGGGGTCCCACTTGCTGAACAGACTGACCTCTGAGAAGTCTGGCTCTTTCCTGTTTAATTAAAAAAAAATAAAATAGTGATGGAAATTAGTGTGGGATGAAGAGCTGGAGGGTGGCGCGAGCGGCGCTCAAGGAGGGAGAGGTGCGAGGCGCCGCTGACAGGAAGGCGGGACTCAAAGGAGCAGCTGTCACGTGGACGCGCGCAGAGAGAGCAACGAGGTGCTGGTCTTTTTTTAACCTATAAAGGAAGGTCCTAGTGCCTTTGAAAGAAGATGCAAAATCCTTCTTCACCATCTTCACTAAAGAGTGGAGATAAGACGCAGAGACCTGACAAGGGACCCCGAGTCCACGTCCCCCTCTTTACCCTCTGGAAAGAGGAAAGGGCGAAGCCCTGCCTACCCCCAGTCTAGTCCTGCTGCTGGAAATGCGCAGCAAGGAAGTGGCCCAAACCCTCATCCCGCGTCAGGAGAAGGCAAGACGCCAGGGCGACAGCCGCACGGGTAAGAGACGCGGGGCTCACGGCCACGGCTGTGGGTCGGGGAAAATGAAGGCCCTGGCGCGCGGCTGAAATGGTGACTGAAAAACAAGACACACAAAAAAGTACAAAACATTTTCAAGCTATAAACAAACTGTGGGGACAAGACTCAAATGTTCCTCCACAGGAAAAAACACCGGCAGGAGCCTCCCCAGCAGCCCCGGGCTGGGAGGGCAGAGCGGGCGGCCGCGGCGCGCCCCTCTTGTCTACGGGCTCCGGGACGGGTCAGGACCAGGGCAGAACACCCAGCGGCATGTCAACAAGCAAATGTCTGAAAGGGCCGTGACTATCGGGTGTCAAAGCTTTTCTCCAACGGAGTGTGTGTGTGAATTCTTCCGTAGGGAGCCGGGGCGGGGGCACAACGCGGGGGATTCAATTCTTTCACAACTGAATTAAAATTTTTTTTCAAAAATGTCAAATTGATACCACACTGGTATGTAACCATTTCCTTTTTACTGACAAGAAATAAGCTCTGGAATGAACAAAATCTGAACTGAGTAGACAGAGGGCACCGGGCGGCGTGGGGACGGGAGAGGCTTTTCTAGCCGACTTCAGGCTTCTTGCTACTGCTCGTGACCGGTGCTCAGGGACTTAATGACGTGCTGGCCATGTGAGAACCCTAACGACCAGCTTGAGGAATGAGCGTGCTCTTCTTCTGAGGAAGTTCCATTCACTGGAAACAACACAGTCACACGCACGAGACCAGTCCCTCAGCTTAAGAAATGAACTAAGGGAAGTTACTCGGTTTTACCTGGTCTCTCCACATTATTGCCTCTTGTCAAAAGAAGAAAAGTAAAACCGAGGGTTAAGAGAACCGCGGGGCACAGGCAGATCAGCCGGCAAGTCAATGAGAACCACGTGCGGCCGACTGTTCCAGAAGCCAGAACAAGGGGCCTCGTTTTCACACCGCTTCTCCCCTAAACTCAAAATCCCACCAAGGAGCAGGCAGGATGTCCTTATGGTTCCTCCAGTCAGGGCTCACTTTTTGCTTTACTCTTTGAGGGAAGAAAAGATAGGAAGGAAAAGGCACCTTTTGACCACTCGTGCTCACAACCAGGTCACCAACCAAAAGCAAAGCTAAGTGTGAAAAACAATCACTTTCACACCCAAGACAAAAACCTTTCTCTTAAACACAGCTCCTCCCAGTTCCCCGAGAAACCAGCATAAATCCTCGGGAGAGAGGAGCAGAGAGGAGGCTGCCCGGGGCTCCGCCGCATGAAGCGCGTGAGCCCAACTTCTCGTGGAAAAGACTTTACAAACGCGCATCCTTCCTCAAATTAAAGGGGCCCCAGTTTTCTCAACTTCTCTGGACACTAAGATTCACTAAAAATCCTCTTCCCCGTCTCCCCCTGTCCTCCCAGTTCCTACTCAAGGGCGCTCTGGTCACCTGGGGTCAGCGCTCTTCTTTCTGAACAGGGCCAGATAGTAAATCGTTGGGGTTCTGCCAGCTCTGGGGGTGCTCAGCTCTGTGACAGCCTGAAAGCAACCCAGATGCTTTCAGCAAAGGCACGTGGCTTCATATACTTGTGGGAGACAGACACCAAACCTTGGCTTTCATACAATTTCACATGTTACAAAATATTCTCTGATTTTTTTTCCAGCCACTTCAAAATGTAAACCCTGGCTCCCAGGCAGGCCTCCCACGGGCTGTGCCCCCCTCCCCACTGCCACTGCCATGGGTGGTGCCCCCTGTCAGTCACTCAGCTGCGTCCCCAGGATCAGCTCCTGCCCTCGCCCCTGCTGCCAGGGCCCGTCAATCCTGCTTTTAAAAATAGTGGCATAAGGGGTTAAAATCTCAGCACTATGAAGCTATCGCCAGCATCTGCGGCTTGAGTTCGATCCCCAGCCAGGGAGCTGACCCACATGGCGCGGCAGACCTCTCCTGTCTCCCCGCTGCTCCCCTCAGCAGCGTATTTCGGTCCATCTGCCTGTTCTGCTCCCCGCTCTGTCTCTGGTGAATCCTCTCATCCTCCCACGCATCTGGCCTGTACCCCGGCTCTTGTATAAAATAAGTCTTTAAAAAAAAAAAAAAAAAAAAAACACCTCTGAGTCCAGTAATTCATTTGCAATAATTACAGGAGTTTAGAGATTAGGTCTGTGAGTGTTCATAACGGTGCAAGACTATACTCCTGCATGCCTAAAAGCAGGAACTAAGTTGTGATGCATTCACAGTGCAGAGTTCTACGGAACCATCTAGCAAGATGGCACAGGACTGGTTACTGTGCATCCAGTGACTGGTCAAGGGCACAGGCTGCAGATGTATTGCCCACTGGAACTTTCTGCAGCGATGGCAAGCCTATAGCACCTGCCACACGTGGCTGTTATGCACATAACTGTGGCCAGTGCTACCTAGAGCCTGGTTTTCAAATTTCACTTAATTTTAACCAACCTGTAAATAGCCACATGTGGTCAGTGGCTACCGTAAGCTAGAGTCAAAGGCAGGGTTCCAGGCCAGGCTTCACCACTAACAAGCTGGGGGAGATTGGGGAACTTACCCAACCTCTCTATGGCCCACAGTCCTCATCAGTAAACTAGGAACAGCAACAGCACCTACTTTGGTGCTCCATACATGTCTAGGCATCATTTATTTTTCTTGTTTCTCTTTTTCTAAGCCAGGCACAGCTACAGACAGGCTTACAGCTGCCGGTGCTGCACACTCGCGCATTGTTACAGGAAAATGACACATTCTAGAGCACTTTAAAAGTATATCACATATCAAGGTGAACTTCTGGAAGGGTTTTTTTACCAAAACGTGAAGAATGACTGTGGTCACAAATATTTGTTTTCCTATCAAAAATCTTCTTTTTGATATCTCTATTTTCCTAGAAATGGGGGCCCACGACTTGCTCTGGGAAAATTATGAAGCCTTTCATTTCTCCCCGCTGCTCACTAGTTGAAAGGTCCACCTGAACCCCTTTGATCTCGGAGGACTCACCTCTCTGGTTTATTGCCCCCACTCCCTCTGCTCCCACTTGGCCCTCAGCTCTGTGCCCCCCCCACCCCGTGCGCCTAGAATATTCTCCCCCTTTTCCTTTGGAAATCATTCTCATGCCTCCGGCCGTCCCTGCGGTCACTGCATAGTGACCCACCCTACACATTCCTGTCCCTCCAAATGGTCCCCACTACCAGCCTTTCCAGGTCAAGTCTCTTGAGCAGACCGAAAGCTCTTCAAGGCGAGCCGCCCTCCACACTCAGTTGCTGCCTCAGCCACTGAGCTTTCTAACATTTATCGTGGAAATTTTCAAGCAGACAAGACGACAAAGTGTCACTAGTGTCTTCAGGCTCTGGAACTGTTTCCCGTGGTGAGTCCCACTCCTGACGTCACCAGCTAATGTGTGCCAGTGACACGGGAGGCCGCCTACTGCCCAGGGGCCGGGCCTGCGTGGGCTCTATCACCAGTGAGCTCTCGAAACGCACGCGGACACTCACAGCACTGTCCCCTGCTGCCGGCCAGCAACTCTGCCTCACCCTCCGGATCATCCTCGGGTCATTCTGCCCCGTTTATAGAACAGACATGTATCCAGCAAGGACTCTAGGCCACGGGCTACAAAGCACACCCCTTCTCTGCCTGCAGGAGGCTTACACTCTGGGACACAGGGCAGAGGGAGAATGATCCAAACAAGTAGGCAGACAAAACAATTGCAAACTCTGCAACTGCCCGTTGGCTGGAAACCTCAACATACACAGTCCCTGAGTGCAGTCTACGCAGTCCCTGAGTCCACACAGTCCCTGAGTCCACACGCTCGGTCAAGTTCCTGCACTTGACGTCTCAGTGAAAGGGGACAAGCTTGCTTCGTGGCACTTAACCACTCGTGATTTCTGTGTCACCCTTTGATTAAAAACATCCCGTCCCCATCTAGACTAAATGCTCTGAATGGAAGGGCAGCGGAGGCCTCCCATTCACTGGGGGCTCCTCCTCTGCTCTCTAATCACTGGACCGATTGCTTCCCCTTTATCTGGATCAGGGGAACGTGGCCCCAATTTTTCCAACAGGAGGAACCCCTTTCCAAACCGTCCCTGCAGGCGCGTGGGTTAAGGGTTCAGAGATCCATTTCAGGACAATAGCAGGAAAACAAAACCAAACCCTTGATCAGGGCGTGGTCCTCCACCGGCCCGGCCGGGGAGAAGCTGGTCCCTTTCTTCCGGCTGCGAGCGCGACCCGGGGCTCGAGTCCGGGTCTCGCGTCCCGGGGAGAAGAGGGGGCGGGAGGCCCCGGGCCCCGCGGGGTCCCCTGCCCGACGCCGGCCGCAGCCCGCGGGGGTAACCCCCTGCTTCAGGCGCCCCCAGGACGGCGCGAGGCTCCCCGCCGGGGCGGGGGCGCCCCTGCCGGCGCCTGGGGCGAGGACGGGCGCCCAGATTCGCCGGCGGGTCAGGGTCAGGCGCGGACGGGCCGCGGCCGCCGGGGAGGGAGGCCCGGGCGCCGCCGCGACGCTGTGCAGCCCCGGGCCGGCGCCGCCCTCTCTGGGCCCGCGCCCCGCGCCTGGAGGGGCCCCGGGTGCCCTCCACGCCCCGGGCAGCAGACGCGCCCGGGGCCTCCAGGACGGGGGGCGGCCCCGGCCCCGGGCCCCGCGCCGAGGTCCGAGTCCGCGTCCGGGCGGCCCCTGGCGGGCTCCCGCGGCCCCCGAGCCCCCGCGCGGCCCCGCTCACCTCCAGCGGCGGGTGGGCTCGGACCAGGTCCCCGGCGGACTGCGGCAGCCGCACTCGCCGCCCCTCCACCAGCAGCGGCATCGCGGAGGCGGCCGCCCCGGCAGGCCCAGGGAGGCGGCGGCCTCCCCAGCCCCGGCCGCCCGCCGCCTCCGCCCCCGGCCGCCCCGGCCCGCCCCGCCCCGGCCCGCCCCGCCGCGCCCCGCCCCGCCCCGCCTCGCCGCGGGCGCCGCCGGGAAATGGAGTCTGGCGGAGGCGACGCGGCCCCAAGAAGCCGAGGAGATCGAGCGCGGAGCCGCAAGACCTCACGGGAAATGTAGTCCAGAAGCGCGGAAGCAGCCGGCGGCGCCTCCGCCGCAAAGGGCGCTGGGAAACGAAGTCCCGAAAGCGTGGATGGGACCCACCCGGCTGGGGCGCTTGAGCTGCGGGGCGTTAGCTCGGGTCACAGACCTGCCTGTCCGGCCCGAGCGCAAGCCCGAGGGCCTGCTTCGGTTCTGTCACGGCTCTGCCACTTCTCAGTTGTGACCTTTAGCAAATTACCCGAACTTACTGTGCTGCTTCCTCAGATTATGGTCCATGAACAATGCGTTTAACTGGGGAAACCGGTCCTGAGCTTCGCTAGGCCCTCGGGTTTAGAAATGACCAGAAACACTTGGTGTTGGGACTAAGAGCTGTAGATGATCCCACTACACTGAAGAGAGGGACCCCGGTGGGAAGTTCTCACCTGGGGGTTCTTTCATGCTAAGACTTGGAAATGTGACCCAAATAGATCTTAACTCCATGGTAGCTTATAAAGTGATTTTTAAAAAGATAAAGTAAGAGGTGAAGGAACCATTTCACACAGGCAAAGCCTATTAGAATGTCATAGTTTGTAGTCCCTCCCTTTCCTCCTGGTGGCCAAAGCTCCCAAAGGTTTCTGGGGTATAACTACATTCCTCAACCTCCCTAACAAGCAATACCTGGCAGAACGCCCAGGCCCTCACCCTCCTGGCTACACCTTAAGTTGTAAAGAGGTACAATGAAAGAACTGGACGTTATCTTTGCTTGGAAAAATCTTTCCAGAAAAAGGGCTTCTTGCTTCATTAGACTTTCTCACTAGGTAGTCAAGTAGCTATTAACTGATTTACATGCATTTCACAGAATCTTCACAACCCTAAACAAGGTATTAGTTATTTCCACTTGAAGCTCAATCAAGTGGACCTCAGAGAGGCTAGGTAACTTGCTCAAGCCAGGTCTGACACCTGTAAGGTCTTAAATCACAGCTCTTGCCTAAATGAACCATTTCTCATTAAAACCCACCATAGCAGACAAAATGATGGACCCTGCATCTCTATAGCCCAATTTAAAGATTGCTTTTCAGTAAAGGGATAGACAATTCCTTTTTTAAATTTAATTTCCAATAATATCTCACAATTTTCCCCCCATTAAGTGTTCCCTTGAGGTACATCAATTTTTTTTAAGTATTTGTTTCCCAGGGACTAGTTCAAGTGTCAGTCACTCTTAGGGGGAGAGGCTGACATTTCAGACACCCAGAAGCATGTATTGCACCGGTATGTATTTCTTTTGGAGCACTCCCAATCATGCAGGCAATAAATTTCTCCTCTCTAACAGCAAAGTCTCAGTTGACTTTTCTGCTGTAAACCAGGGTTTTAACACTTCAGATGAGTAAAAACAACAACAACACAGAAATCAACAGAATGTGTGAGAAGTCTCTTTATTGGGGTACCTCCCTCTATTGGCATAAAAGGAAAAGTTCCAGATTAACCATATCATTCTTCCGGTTCCACAATGGAATTTTTCCTTAAAACTCCTTTGAAATTAACTTCAAACTCCTTTGAAATTAAACAGGCATGTTTGTAAATATATCCTTCTACATTAAAACTACTTCCCAACTCACCAAGACTCCACTTACCATTAACTTCTTGGACACATTTGTTCATGTTATCAGTATACAAAACCCCCACCTTTTGTAAGCTATTTAAAAAAAGAGAACCTTAAAATTCTCAAATTACTTTCCACCAAGTCACCCAAAGGAAAATCACCAACATCCAAAACTTTTTAAAGCAATAAAAATTTCTATTTTCCAAAAACATATTTACAGACTGAAATTCAAACTCTACATTGCCTTCAATATAGTTTAAGAGCATACAAAGCCCTAGGAGAAAGTGTTTCATTACAAAATATTTGTGATCAAGAAAATAGTGCTTGCCTTTAAATAAGGAATAAGAAAAGAGGCAGAAAAAATAAATATGCTTGAAGATGCCCATTTTCACAAGTAACAAAAAAGTCCACATATAAGGAATGAAGAGAAAATATGCGTGAGCTTCAGAACAACTCTAGCAGTGCTGCACAAATTTGCTATAAAGCGAGGCTGTTTGGATTCCTTTGTTTAGTTATAAAAATACAAAAAGAGCCTCACCAGAGGAGGGCTTCACTGAGCTGAATCCATGATAAGAGCAGCAGAGAGAAGTAGCTGTAATCTCAGTCTAATATTGTTAGCAAAACCTTTCCATTAAACAGACTAAAATTTTTGCCCTATTTGGTCAAAAAAATTCTCAAACTGATTCTGGTAATAAAATATACATATGTAACATTCCACTACAAATGAGCAGCTCCAGTTCAAAGCACTGTGAGAGGGAGGTAAAGGACAAAACGCGCAATACTTTCCACAACTCCAGCTTTGCTTACATCCACCTGACACTCACGGTATGTGTCCTCTGGCTCCATTTCTCTAAATCCTCACTATCTCTTCACTCCAGGCGTTCATCGTCTCCGAAGTCCCCGGGGTTCCTTCAGTGCCAGCTCCGACTTTCAGCATCCCGGACCAGCTCTGGCCACCGCCCCGGGCTCCTCCTATCTTCTCTGCACCCTCTGCAATCCCGACACACACTAATCCCAGCACACAAATGCAATCACAGCAGAGGAAACACAACACTTCCAAAATGAACACATTCTGACAACTTTAAGTAGTGTCCAGAGGACTTCTCACTGAGGAGAAACCAGATCACCAAGTGCGTGACTACGGTTCTGACAAATAACCTATGTTAAAATGCAATCTCTTAAAATAGGAACTTCACAATAATTATGTCAAAAAGCTATTAACATAACAAGTGTATATACATTAAACAAATAAGCCAAATCTTCAACATTTATCAACTCCACTATGAAATATTGCACATGATACTCAGTTTTTCCTTTAGTCTGTATGGGACAAAAGAAAACAACCACCTGTCCAGACACGAGAGTAAGTCAAAGTGGAAGCACTGCCTGCGACCGCACTCTGTTCAATGCATCCTCCAACAGCAGGAGCCCAGCACTGGCGGGTGCAGGGCGCCTCAGTCACAAATCCTGGCAATCACGGGGGACTGGCCCGGCAGGTATAACACGGGTGGGGAGCCCACGCTACTTGTAGGACTCCGGAAATGCGTGTCAAAGGAGTTTGGGGTAATCCCAACTTCACCTTTCAAAAAATCATCATCTTCATCTTCCACTATCTCCTGTATAAGGAACAGAAATTATCAGTAAGATCACAAGAGGTTTGGAAAACTTTCATAAATTCCTTTCCTCAGGGCCTCCCCGGTGGCACAAGAGGTTAAGTTACAGCACTATGAAGCTATCCACAGCCACTACAGCACGGGTTCGATCTCCGGGGCAGGGAGCTGACCCACATGGCGCAGCAGACCTCTCCTGTCTTGCCCGCTGCTCCCCTCAGCAGTGTATTTCAGTAGATCTGCCTGTTCTGATCCCCGCTCTGTCTCTGGTGAGTCCTCTCACCACCCCCACCCCCCTCACCTCTGACCTACACCCCAGCTCTTGTATGCATAAATAAAAATAAATCTCTAAAAAAAAATAATAAAAAATAAAAAAAATAAAGTATACCAGGGGGATGTGTTTTGAATCCACACCTTTGCCATATGCACAGGAAGCTCTGCTAAATCAGTGCTAGTTTTTGAGGTAGCTTCAACATAAGGCAAATAATTTGAGATTGTTACTTGCTGGTGATGACGAAGTGGTAAAACCTGAATTTGGCCAGTTATTTTTAATTAACTTCAACTTCCCAAAGTCAGCATGTGAGGTTAGCAGTTTAAACAAATCAGCAAATGAACAAAAAACTCTTTCTATTACAATTATATATAAGCGTGGAATTTTTGTAAAGGCAGAGTGACTAAAACGAAGCTTTGGTACAAGCTCTGCTATTTACTATTTGACTGTCACCTGTAATCATACAGATTTCCAGAAAGTGTACTGAATCAAGATTTACCTTTTTAATGGGTTTCTTAAACTCCTGAAGCTCTTCTACACTCATGTCTTCCCATACCTGGTAAACAGGATCAATGAATTTCTTTGATCTGTCAATAAAGATCACATTTCAACATCAGTCATATGCCACAGTGAAGGTCGAAGCACAGTTTGCTCCCCAATCAAGAAGTGAAAACTGTGGCTCAAATATTCATGTCAAAACATCCTACATGTAAGTACTACAACTAATGTGATTGCGTGGTCAGAGCTGATCCACTCACCACCTACTCCTTCTCATCTTTTCATTTTCAAGTGAAATTATTTCTCAACTTTGCAAAGGCTGACAATGTTATAACATACCCAAATGAAGATGAAATTCTAATTCTGTTTTAATATTCCCACAGCAATTTGCTAAAAATAGGCCTGGGGAAAAAATTCCAGTCAACCAAGATTTGAGGGAGCCGAAGATTTTCAACTGCTGTGTTTAACAGACAGTGTATTAAGAAAAATCTCACTTCCTTATACAAATAAATATTAAGCCTGGTTTTTTTAAAAATTAACCATCTAGATAAGCCACTTGGCTTTTGTTTATCCTACGCAACAGTACAGGATGTATTTTTAGAGAACGGAACAAGTCACTTGGCAGAAAATTAAGAGTGAGGAAAAGATGGGCTCCTCTCCCTTCCCCCTCCCCCTGTATGTTTAAACCAACAGGTTTAAAGGAAAAAAAATCAATCCAGGTTCCAGCTGAGATAAAGCTTTGCAGCCCGGGTGCTATGGCACACAGCAGCCCCCAGGAGGCGCTCTCCACCTGGGAGGCATGTGCGAGGAGCCACACAACTGTAATAAATGCTGTAATAAAAGAACGGTAATAAAAGAACGGTCACTCAGGAGTGAGAAACCGCAAGCCCAGTCTTGGGAAAAGCAAATAATCATCATATTTAAGTCCACCACCAACAGGTGGATGACTGTTCAGGGCTACCCACCTCTTAAGCACACAGGGATCGAAGGGGAAGAAGGTGTCGAGGGGGTTTGTGCAGGTTTGCACCGAGTCCCCTCCCGCTGTGTTTCTAATAACTGGCAGCATCTGACGATTATTCCTCTCAATGATAGTGTAGCAGAAGACCAGCTGGTATTTACTGTGGAACAACAAAACCAACAGAGAGGAGGCATCAACACACTGGAATCACTCTGCATAGATGGATGTGGCCACATATTGACTGGCCCATGCACAGGAAGAGTAACCCTGGCAGAGAGCACAGCTCTCTGGTCCACTACTTAGGGGTCTGCTAGGGAGAAAGAAAGTGTGGCTATCTTTAAGAATACAAGAGTGGGCTTATATTAGTAAGAGGCACAACTGATGAAAAATTGTGTTCACGGTAAAACTTAGCTCACAAGGTTGTACTCATTCCCTTCTATTCTTTTTTTATTTTCTATATAATGTGTTTACTATATTCTGCATTATATTATTTTTTAAAAATATTTATTTATGCATACAAGAACTGGGGTACAGGCCAGAGGTGTGAGTGTGGCAGGGGGTTGGTGATGAGAGGATTCACCAAAGACAGAGTAGGGAACAGAACAGGCAGATGGACGAAAGTACACTGCTGAGGGGAGCGGCGGGTGAGTCAGGAGAGGTCTGCTGCGCCATGTGGGTAGTTCCCTGGCTGGCTGGGAATCGAACTCGTGCTGCAGTGGCTGCAGATAGCTTCTTAACCCACCAGCGAGGCCCATATATTCTGCATTATATTACTTTTATTGTTTGTAAAAGAATTAAAGGATTAGTGAAAAGAGGGTTCTGGATTTACTGAGCGGGTGGGTGGGTGCTGTCAGGCAACAACTGTGCTGTAGTGACATCAGGAATGTGCGGAGTAGGGGGCACAAGGCTGGCTTCCTAAAGAACTCAGAAAACCGCACAGTGAGTGAAAATAGCTGAACAGAAGAACTCATGATAAAAAAAAACAACTGGACTACCCTGTTGTCAATTCTTCTGGTGGTTACTTTCACTTTGTGACTTTGTGCACTTCTCTGAGAAGAGGCAAGAGCTCCCTTTGGCCTCCCACGATATTCCTGCAGATACTTATTCTCAGGTCACTGTTGCAATTTTAAGCAACATGTTCCATTAGCCAAGACTGCATTTGACTCCCTACTCCTGGTGGGAGGGTAAAGTGGCAACATCACTGAGTACAGTTTGTATTATCTGGTAAAGTTCCTTGGACACAGCCCAGCTCCTCGGCTTATCTGGTTTATGACAAGGAAGTATGGTCTGGGCACACAAGTACCCCGCTGTGCCTCAGCTGCTGTTCCCGGTACTGAAAAATGAGCACAGCTTATATCTGAACCAAAAAATAGACCATTACACAGCACTTAAAAACAAATTACAGCCACACAAGTCAATACGAAATCTCAAAACCATCGGACAAGCAAAAGCAGCAGCTACAGAACTACGCATAAATTCCTCAACACAGACCTTGATCTCTGTCTCACTCCTAGGCTCACTGTGCCCTCCTAACCTGCACTGCTAAATCCAATCCCAAGTCTAGACACTCACGCGTCAGTCTGTTCAGCAAATGCAGCCCTCTGCTCTCACCCCAAGAATAAGGGGCATCCTCCTCCCCTTTTTGTCATCACCCCTGACTCTTCCAGCTGCTTCCTATCACCCAGCAACTATTGCTTGTTCTTTTCTTATTTATTTACTATCATTTCTGAGCTCTCAGGAGAGACCTCAAAGTATAATTTGACCTACTGATACCTGCCTAGGAAAGGAAAGTAAGGTTGCTTGAATGAGGTACGCTGTGTAATGGGGTTTGAGGGATGAAAACAGAATTCTTTTAGTCTTCTAATAGAACAATTATGTGATGAAGATGTTAAGCTAAGATCCTGCCCTGAATATTCTGATTAAGTGCCTAAAGTCTCCAAATTCCCATTCTACACGAAGCAGAATGATTCCAAGACTGCTTACAAAGGAGTCAGATTGCCTGCATTTGAATCTTAGCCAGCACAGTCCAGCTATGGCTTCACACAAGCAATTACCTCTCTGTGCCTCCATCTCCCCACTTACAAATGAGGTGGTGTGTAGACTGAGCAAGTTCTCTGTCAAGTGCTTAGGCCAGGCCTGGACCACAGCAGCCACACTGTATCTGCTGCAGCTTCAAGGCCTGACAGAGAATGTTCCTCACTAAACCAGCTTCCTACTGCTGGATATTTGCCTCATGTCCAGTCTATTTTTATTACTAATATAGAAGTCACTTGAATAAACACCTTTGGCTTGCACCTCTCAGCTTACTAGTAGCCATACTTATTCCAAGTACCTAGAGTTCTGCTGAATTAGTCTCTCTGGATAAAAAGTGACAGCGATTTCCAATACCACCAAAGTATAAAAGCAACAGATCCATTACAGTGCTTCCTGCAGCTATGGGATAATTGGTTCTTTAAAGTTCTATTTTACTGTTACTAATTTTATGGGTGTGTTCACGCCCATAAAGTTAATCTTAAAATACTAACACGAATTTACTTCAAAATAAGTTCTTCCATCAAGGAACTGTAAATAACTTACCTTGTGATAGCGGCAAAAAAGTTAACTACAGAGGGCAGGCAAATCTTCAGAGGATTCAGCTGACTCATCACTATACGTTCAAAATTCAGACTTTGAAGGTACCGCAAGCCTTTGTTTTAATAAAAAACAAAGATTTTTATTTTATAGGTACAAACACAAGAGTCAAAAATACCTTTGAGCAGCACAAATGATTTCGAACATTAAAAAATTTAGGGCTATTTGCAGAAATGTTTTAAATAAAATTTCAAATACAGTCACTTCACAAAGAGCCCAAAAAACAGGCCTCATCTTAACCACATTCATTTAGGACTAAGCAGCTTTTCTACAGAAAACTGCTGCACCTTCCCCTGCAGTGACCTTTAGGGCTAACCGCCCCTAGGTCCGGCTGGGCAACCAGCGCGCAGGGGAAGAACAGCAAAACCCTACCTGCTGCACCTCCCCCCGCAGTGATCTTTAGGAATGGCTTTCGCCACGGTCCCTAGGTCCGGCTGGGCAACCAGCACGCAGGGGGAGAACAGCCTGAAGCAGAGGAAGTGCAACGGAAGTTCCCTGAAAAGGCAGAAGCTTATCAATAGATAACGACCACCAAGAACCACTACAAGAATGCTAAAAATCTTATCCCTCTTCCTAGAACTACAAACTTTAATCCCTTATTTGTCTTTCTAAACTTCCTTCTTTCTTCTATAATGGTCATTGCTTGTTATGTAGATCACCTCCCTGATAGTGGTAGACTGAGCCCATGAGCAAGCTAATTTCCTTGATATTCATTCCTGTGCTTTTGGAAAACATATATATACTGGTCACAAATTTAGAGAAAATTACACTCAGATTTTCACTCTTGAAGTGTGTCTGTTTGTCATTTCTTTCGCCGACGCCCTGACCACCCTGCACGCTTCTCTCAACCCTGAGGTGGCCTCATCGTCTACTGCTGTGCTGGTCCGCGGCAGAAAACAGTCTATTCTTCCAAGGACCCAGGAAGTAACTCACACTCCGAGGGGGCCATAAGCTTCTGTGAGAATCTGGAGTTCAGAAACATGTAAACTCAGCAGAAACAGCAAGCACAGAACGGGAAAAGACCATGTGGCTGGCTGGCAGCGGACGACCGTGAGAGCATATTTGGAAGCTCAGACAACAAGGTGAGCCCCACCCCCCAGAAGTTGCAGTGTCTCCCTGAATCTTATGTACACGCCCATCTGAACAGCAACACAAGACTTGTGCACCTTAAGTTGTGAGAGCTGTGGGGCATGATTCAAGGGTGCACCGTCGTTTGTACTTCACACGTTTTTATAAGGAAACTCTGGTGCCTTCGGAGTCATCCTCAAATGGTTTCAATTTCAAATCCTTCCAATAAATTACTTTCCTGCACTCTGGTCTCCCCTGCAAGTGGGAGTCATCCCTGCCCTCATTGCGCCCTCAGGGTCAAGGGGCGCACAGAACTGAGAAGAGCATCTTCTCACTTGACCACTACTTCGGAAGCCACCCTCTCAAGTGCAAGTCCTCCTAAAAAGGAGGCTTAAGGCATTTCCAGGGGACTAGGGGCTACATGAACAAGTTATAGAACTTCAGTGCACGTGTGCTTTTCTGACTCTAGGTTTCATGAAATTCTCAAAAAAGAAACAAATCTCTACTCTACAGAGTGACCAGAGTACCAGGAAAATCCAGTCCACATCCATCAATCCTGTCACTCACCTTCCTTCAGGTTTCCACTTAAAAGCTGCTTGTGTCGAAAAACAAAAGTGTAGAATACAGCTTGGCAGGCTGAATAAAATGGTCCATGGAGAGCAACATCACAAAATGCCTTTGCTCCGGAATCCTGGTTATTAAGGTATATGTGCAGCCAATTAACCAAAAGATCGAGGCAGGACTTTACAGTGCTGGAGGAAAGAGAGACAAGTCAACTTCACTGGCTTCATAAAAGAACGGGACATAAGGTCACCCAATTTCTTAGTTGCAAACCATGAAAAGTCAGTGCACAGACTTCCTCATCCATACACGTACAGAGGAAAAGCAGATAAACGAAATGCTGGGTGAGTGGCAAGACAGCCTTCCAGCTCCAGGGGGGGAGTGCTGACTTCTAGGAACAATAGGTGGACCCCTAAGCAGCCTAAAGTGCTGAGGGATGGAAAAGAGTTCTCTTTATCAATGCAGAGGGCCAAGGGCCTCCCCGTGCTGAGGAGAACATGGTCAAACAAGCACCTGACGTATTCCCCCAAGGGAAAGACTATCCAGCTGACTTCATCCCACGCTCTGGGGGTCTGATGAAGCCTTTATGCTTGAGTGCTTAGGACAGAACGGCCAGAGCACTTCTGCTGCCAGGAGCGGCTTTTTAATAGCATCCTTTCCCAAAGATATCTCCTCAGATCACTGAAAGAAGAGGCCAAAGCTGGCCTCCTAGTAATCTATTACCTTCAAAAGGATTTTATCTCAGCTTTAACAGGTACAATTAATGCAGGATGCAAATGAAAAGGGACAGACCTAACATAAAATGAACCAAGATGGTATACGACACAGTACATTATCCACAAAGACAAAAGGACCTTCGTTTTCAAGTGCCACACAGATGACCAAAGTTTTGCTTGTGAGATTTTATAGCTAAAATAAAGAGACATTTTATTCTGACATTGCCTCTTGGAAATATAAACATCTTGCATAGAGTAGGGGAACAGAAATTTTGCAGTTAATGGGCCTCCCCGGTGGCGCAGCGGTTGAGCGCTGGGTTGCGAAGCTGCCCACAGCCTCTGCGGCGCCGGTTCGATCCCCGGCTGCTCCCCGGCCACCAGAGGAGGGTCCCACATGGCGCGCAGACCTTTCCTGCCGCCCACTGCTCCCCTCAGCAGCGCACTTCGGTCCTTCTGCCTGCTCTGCTCCCCGCTCTGGTTCTGGTGAATTCTCTCACCCTCCCGCGCTTCTGACTGTACCCAGTGCTTGTATAAACAAAACAAACAAACAAATAAAACATGCCTCTAAAAAAAAAAAAAAAAAAAAAAGAAAGAAATTTTGCAGTTAAAGACAGCCCCCCACAATAAGGGAGCTATTTCTCCAACTTGAAACAATGCTATAATCTTTTTAAAGCACAATATGAAAAACCACTTGGAAAATTAGGTTACTTACATAAGAGGAATAAATTTAGCTCTTGCCAAAAAGCTTCCAATGTAATTTCCAGCAGCTTGCCTGATGATGGCAGGGTTGTTTGGATCCTGCAATTTTTTCCAGAGATGTTCCAAAAATGCTTCTGCAAATCCCTATAAAAGAGAAGGTGCTGTGGTCTGACCTTTTTAAACTCTTAAGATATTCTACTGTCAGAATCCTGAGATTTTATGGGCAAGCATTAGCATCTCAGCCACCTGCTAGATAAACAATGAACAGTTACCATGGTTCTTACTGTTAAAATACATTGAAATAAGACTATGAAAATCAAAGGTGCCCCATTATATAATCTAGTGGATCCCCAAGCTGTTTGAGCATCAAAATCAATCCTACAAATTGAGTAGATATGGTGAAGATTTAGGAATTCTTATATTTTAAAAGCACTACAAGTGATTCTGATGCTTAGCTAGAATGGAAACCCAATGATAATCCACACTCACGTGGGAAGTCCTTCAGCAGCATGGTTTTAATGGGGTGCACCTTTCTAGTCTCTGCCTGTGCTTACCGAACTAACCAGAAAGAGAAGTGTGGACTAAAATACAGCCGGTGTTTGACTAATCATGGGAAAAACACAGGTTGGTACGTCTCTTTCTAACAATAGGTGCAATATCCAACAACTCCAAACAGCTCTTTCCAAAGCTGTCAACATAGACCACAGGCAGACTGAGTAAACTTTTCTGGCACACAACCGGTCCTCCTCTGCCGCTAGGAAGGTATTAATAGTTGCAGAGAAGGAAAAAGTTTTTCATATACTTCCTCCCGCCCCAAAACAAAAACCTAAAACTCAGTTGTATAATACTGGATTAAAAAGTTGGTTTGGGGGCCTCCCCCGTGGCGCAACGGGTTGAGAGCCATGCCGTGAAGCTGTCTGCAGCCTCTGCAGCGCCAGTTCAATTCCTGGCCGGCCAGGAAGATACCCATACGGCAGAGCAGACCTCTCCTGTATCACCTGCTGCTCCCCTCAGCAGTGTCTTTGGTCTGTCTGCCTGTTCTGTTCCCCACTCTGTCTCTGGTGAATTCTTTCACCCTCCCGCATCTCTGGCCTGTACCCCAGTTCTTGTATTAAAAAAAAAAGTTGGTTTGGGCAAATGTGGACCCAACTGAGAAAGGACAAAGGAAACGAACAGCTGAAGAGCCCAGTCAAGAATTGTAATACAGGGCCTCTCTGGTGGCACAGCAGGTAAAGCACTGTGCTGTGAAGCTGTCCACAGCCTCTACACACGGGTTCGATTCCTGGCCCACCCAGGAGAAACCCAGACCTCTCCCATCTCGCCCGCTGCTCCCCTCAGCAGTGTCCTTGGTCCGTCTGCCTGTTCTACTCCCTGCTCTGTTTCTGGTGAATTCTCTCACCCTCCTGTGCCTCTGACTGTACCCCAGTTCTTAGAAGAAAAAAAAAAGAACTGTAATACAGGCTTGAATTGAAGGAAAGGGAACCACCTAGTGGCCCAAACACAGGATTACAGATTCAGAGCACTTGCTGTGCTCTGCTGAAAAGGGTAGGAGGCTTTCTCAGGGGTACTGTAAGATGAGCTCAAGAAACACCTCAGTCTCCCTTCCCTACTCCTCTGCTCCCTGTCTTTAATGGACATGATGGGCAAAGCTGAAATAAGCTAGGACAGCAGGGATGACGTACTCACCAATTTAAAGCTACAGAGGTAAAACATGAAAAACTGGACATGGCAGGAAGCATGGGTGGGCAGCAGGAGTTTGTCAAAGATGGTTATTAGATCTCGATATAAATCCTTTGTTTTGTTGTTATCAATCTTACCTACAGATAAAATTTGGCATTTCAGTTTTATAAGCACACATTTTCAAGTTACCAGCTTCATTTGCCAAACATCAAAAAGAAAACAATACCATTCAGAAGTACCACCACCCATTCAGCTCTGATTACAACAAAATACCCCTTCTATTACATATCTTGCTGTGATGCCATAAATAAGAAGTCTTCTACAGGGCAGTTTTGTGACTCATACAGAAGTCCTTTGGTCCAATAATCCCTCTGCTAAGAACTTATCACAATTAAAAAATTGAAGGAAAAAAAAATTGAAGATCTAGATACAAACATGTTCATTACACTGTTACTTAAATGGCCAAAAAAAGGAGGACAGGGAAGAAAAAATGAGACTGGTTAAATCCCTATGATCAATAATAGTGTTTTAGAAGAGTGAAGGGTCTAGAAAATGTCCATATGAGGCACACAGGATGGATAATGAAACATTACACAGTGTGAGCCCCAAATCCACTGAAAAATACACTCATACAAGTACTTTCTGCTTAGAAAAGAAATTGTACCAAAATAATTCTCTTAACAGTAGGAATATGACCATTTAATTATCTTTTTGATTGTTTTCTGTAGTCTCCAAATGTATTATTTTTATAAAAGCAAAAAAATCTTATTATTCCAAGTGGCCATGTTCCACTCTTAAATCTTAGTAATGTGAATGGGTAAAAATTCCAATTTTTCACAGCAAAGCCTCTGGACCCAAAGTACCATGAGGGCAAGGAGCAGATCAGTATGCTCACTACAAAAGGAACCAATTACTAAAGACCCTGTAAATTCAACAAATAGTGCCAAGCACCAGAGAGCAGCGTCCACATCATTCTTAAATGTCTGGAACGACGTGACAAAGCCTAAATCCCAGTCCCACTATCTCCAAGTTGCCACAGGTTTGACTTAAATACATTTCTCTAAGCTACCTTTTTTAAAACAGAGAAGGCCCCAAGAAGTTTACTAATGACAACTGTAGTGCCTGCACACATGGCACAGGCAAGTGTAAGCCCCACCTCCTTACACACAAAACTGTACAAGAAGCTTTTACAGGATTTTTTTCAATACCAGATAATGGTATGAAAAATGCCCAGGGGAGCCAGGTACACCACAGGGTTCCACAAAGAGTAGCTACTGGGACAACTGTGGGGAATTACCGTCGACATGGCAGACATCCTTAATGTAGGACAGGAGCAAGGACAGCAGGACGTCCAGGCGCTCAGCGACAGGATGCACCATCTGGTCAGGCTGTCCCGAATCAGCCTTTGGTGGGTGTTCAGTTTCTTCATCTTCATCCTTCAAAGATAAAGTCAAAATGAAAGTGGATCCAGAGCCCCATCTGATTCTCATCTAGAAGAGCATCTAGAGCGGGGTCACAGACGGCAGGGATCCCATGCCCCACTGGCACCTAAGGACAGGGTCACCCCTTACTGCCCTGCTGCTATGTCGCCAAAAGCCCCAGCTGCCTCCCTTCTGCAGAGTGCTGCCCGTGCACTCCCACAAGCCCCGCCCCCTCAGAACTAACGGCTGACAGGGGGCCACAAGAGGCCTCTTCACTGTCCAGGCCAGGAAGGACCAACTCTCAGGCATACCTCAGCTCCAGAACTCCTGCCGGGATTCAGGCTGTAGCTACTTTCTACTAAGACCAAACCCAGGCTCGCCCCTTCCCCTGTGCTCCCCAACTTCGTGCCAAGGACACCTGGTTCCCTGTCTCAGGGTGTCCTCTCAGCAAACCCAAGTCCAAACACTGCTCCAGGCAGAAAAACAGTGTCTCTGCAGCTTGTAAGACATAGACATTAAACTAGCATGTTTTCCTAGCACCCCCTCACAGACAACATGTGGCTTACAAAAGCAAACATCTAAAGCTACAAGAATGAAAGTGAAACGAACTTCACCAAACCCAAACTCAAAGCCTTGGAAAGAACTAGGCAACTCCACTAAGCACTACGTGGCTGGCCACAAACATCACATTTAAGACATTACTTAGTTTACTGAACTATGGTTTTATCCTAAAGCCTTGAAAAAGATAAAATGCCATTTGCTGGCTTCCCCCCAACCCTGGAATTAGGAACTGCCCACGTCTGAGCTCGTGAATAAATGCTGACCATATTGAACAGTCCTTCTGTGGCATCTGTCCCACTGCCAGTTTGAGCTGCTGTTTCCTCAGCATCTTCAATATCCTGTCGGGATGCATTCACCTGCATTTCAGCAAAAAAAAGAAAAGAAAAAGAAAAACAATTTAAAACATACATATCTGGGGACCAAAAATGCATCCAGTGTATATTTACTTTAAAGGCATCCAGATTAACATCATAGATAACACTAGGACACAACAATTATGATGCAAACCTATAAAATTACCTGGGTCTCAAAGGAATTCAAGATTACAAATCAAGCCCCTTTTGCTACAAATACTCATGAAATCAGCATGAATTGTGGCATGGTCTAAATCAGGCAGCTTCAATAAATTCAAAATTTATTCCATCTCTTACTATACACAAGACACATACATATGTATTATATGAAAGCTCGTCACTAAATCAACCAAACAAAAAAATGTTGATATGCAAGTCAAATTTGAATCACTGACCAGTTGTTACGTAACACTTGTTTGACATACCGTTCAAAGCATGCTTTTTTAAATCAATCTATGCATCCATGGTCTTCTTTCCAAATGTGCCTGAAAACAGGCCATAAGCATATAGAAGGGAGAGTCACAAAGTGACTGTGTGGCTGGCCACAGAGGTCTCACTCCAAGGGAAATACACCCCCTCCTGGACCTGTCTCGTCCCCTCCTCCTTTCTTCCTTCCTCTCTCCCTCTGTTGCCTATCGCCTCAGTGCTGAACCACACCTCTCACCCCTATCTCCTGCCCTCTCCACATCACAGCACCTCGCCCAGTCTTTGCCCCATCCCCCAGCCACCCATGACTTCCAGCTGTGTAAGGTTTTCCAGCACATAAAGAGGTGTCCATGCAAAGGATTTGCCAGGTCGGTACTCTGACTTCTTTGTGACTAGAAAGCGTTGGCCTTCTTCTCCAGTCATGAGATGGGTTGGTCTACAACCCCCAGGTTACCAAGAGAATTCAAGAAATGAATTTTCAAAGGTGGAACTGTGTGGGTTCTTTTCCACTGTTGCTAATATGGTTCCACATACTATAAAAATAACAAAAATATTTAAAATATAAGAATCAAGAATAAAAACAGGTTATTCAATACTTACATCCAACTTGAGTACTTTTTCAATAACAAGCTCCAGAATTTCATGCCTCAAGGTTGGAAAATACACACTAATCCTTAGCAAGTTGTGAACATAGCATTCCTAAAACATAGAAAGATAAATATTTCAACAAAGAATATCTTGTAATTATGTAAGCAAAACATCAATCACACGATCTATGGTTCCATTAAGTAGAAGACACACAGACCATCCAGCAACACAACTGCTATACTCACAATGGTCAATGTAATTCCTTTACACCCAGTAGATTAAAATTTGTAATTTATGCACTTCTACAGTGTTGAGAAACAAATTTGTTGAGATAATTCATGCACAATTCACCCATCTAAATGGTAACAGTCAATTTAGTATATTCAGAATTATGATACAATCACTATAAACAATCTTAGAACGTTTTAATCACCCTTAAAAGAAAACCTGTACAAATAACAGTAATGTACCTTCCCCCAGTCCTCTGGTCTGCCTACTTTCTGTTGTTATGAACTTGTCTATTCTAAACATTTCATACAAGTGAAATCTTAATACATGGTGTTTTAACATGTTTTCAAGGTTCATTCATGTTTTAGCAAGATCATTCCTTTTTGCTAATAATTTTTCATTGTATACAAATATCACATTTTGTTTTTTCAGCAGCCAACAGACTTCTGGTCATTTCAGTATTTTGGTTATCATGAACAATGCTGCTGTGAGCATTCATGTAAAGATTTTTGTGTGAGTATGTTTTCACCTCCCTTGCTACAACCTAGCAGCGTAAAGGCTGGGTCATATGGCAAACACGTTCAACCTTTTTGAAGATCGGTCAGATGAATTTCCAGAGCAGCTGCACCACTCCGCTAGGAATTTTACATCCTCACCAGCAATGCACTTGGGTGTCGACTACTCCACACCCACCCACTCATTACGAGCACAACCATCACAGTGAGTGTGAAGTGGCATCTGACGGTGGTTTTGACTTGCACTTCTGACAGCTAATGACCGGGTCTTCCATGTGCTCACTGGCCATCTGTATTATCTATTTTGGAGAAAACACCTCTTCATTCAGAGCCTTTGCCCATATGTAAGCTGAATGATCTGCTTTTTCTATTGAGTTATTAAGAGTTCTCTATTGGAGACACAAGTCTTTATCCAATATGTAATTGCAGATATTTTCTCTTACTATTTGGGTTGTCTTTTCACTTTCTTGAAGATGTCCCAAATGATTTTAATTTTGAAAAGGTCTATTTATTAAGCTCTTACATTTAGTACTTTCACCATTTTGAGTTCATTTTGTGCATGGTGTGAGGAGGGGTTGCTGCATGTGGAAATTCACTTGTCCGAGCCACCAGGGAGGCCCTTACTTCCTCCTTTCTAAACTGCATGAATTTCCTTTTCTTGTCCAACTGCCCTGGCTAGAACATCTAGTACAACACTGAACAAAGGCAGCCAAGCAAACATCCTTGTTTAGTTCCTTAGCTAGAGGGAAGCACTGGGTCTTCACCACTGAGTATCATGTTATCTGTGAGTTCTTCATAGATGCCCGTTATCAAGTTGAAAAAGTTCCCTTGTTTTTGTCATCAAAGGGTTTTAGTGTTTATCAAATGCTTTTTCAGCATTGATTAAGATGATGATGTGGTTTTTCTCATTTATTCTATTGATAGTTTGTCACTGTAACTGATCTTTAGGATTAAATTAACATTGCAATCCTACAATGCATTTCACCTGGTCACGGTGCAAACACCTTTTTGTATGTTGGTAGATTCAGTTTTCTACTAGAGTATTTTTTCTACAGTCATTAAGAGTCGTAGGGTTCGTCATACTCTACTTGGAGCAGACTATCACACACATTAGGAAAACTTAATCCTCTACCTTCATATGTAAATAAGGCATGTTTATAACTGGTAACAAGAACTATTTTAGTAATTCTCCTCTAGATGAAGCCGGGTCAGATAGTTGTGAAATGGACTCTGCCTTTCTTGTGAACATAGCAACAAGAGAAAAAGGCACTGTGAATCCTCAGTTACTTGTTAAGAAAGGAATTTCAGTCAAAGTCTTGTTCTTGAATTTAAAATCTAGAAGACAAAACAACTGTTTATTTTCCTTTTCCCTTCTGTGCTATTGCACAGAAAATGTAGCATAAAATCAAAGACACATGATCTGAATTTGGCAAACAATTAACACTAGATATTTTTATTTCTTAAGTGCTGGCTTCATCTATAAAAAGTATCCCAGTACCAGAGTTAGGTGAAAAAGGCAGCTAAGCTTTGGACCAAATGACTGCACCAAATTCTTTAACAACAGACCTGAAGACATAAACTGGATTCCTCACATTCAAACACAGTTGGACAAAACAACTTTTAAGAAAAAGAACATCTCTTGAAATGAAATCACACAACTGTTGCATTATTATCCCCAAGAAATGATTTCTTACCAAGGTTCTCTCTGATTTTCGAACAAATGGGAATTTTTCTACCAGTATTGGCATAAGAAACCACGGCGTCCTATTTAAAAATAAACATAACAACCAATTCATGTTAACTGGACTTTCCAGAAGCTAACGTTTCTACACTAAAGGGCAAATATGGTTTTGGGAACAAATGGTAACTGCTATCTCAACTAGAATGTGAAATAAATGCATGACTTGAGGGAAAATCTATATTAACTTAGGTGAAAATAAACCTCCTTTACCAAAAGCAAATTAACAGCATCTTCTACAAAAGCCTAACAAAGAGTTTCAGTTTAAAGGCCTGTACCACTAAAGCACACGTTATTTAAGGAAAAAATTATCAACTTGGATTTAAGTTATCAAATAATAATCTTACAGAGGAAACTTGAAATCCACCCTTTCAAAAGAAACCCAACACCTTAAAATTTTTTTCTTAGAACGGCAATTTTTTCCACACGCCATGACACAAACACACAGGAGAGTTTCTCACTGTAGAATCGTGGACATCATGTCTGTTGAAGATAAAAGCAAAATCCCAACCACTATACAAAACTTGGGGGACAATTTGCACACAAGTTTTAAGAAATTAAAGGCAATGAATGGAAAACTGAAATGTTGTCTATAGAATGTAAAGCTACATCAACAGGATCCCAAAAACATGTGGCATAATCTACTTTTATGCTGCTAACATTTTACAATTTTCTACAAATTATAATTCTCGAGACTTAAACACCACGATTCGAAATAAATGACAAAACTATACTTACGATGGGACGTATCTTGCAATTATTTGCAAGGCTCTGTGACATGTGTCAAAATTTGCAGGAAGATCTACAAGGAAAAGAACCTGAGTGTTAGCAGAAAGTTACAAACTTGAAGTTAAAAACAGCTGGCAACCAAAATTGAAACACTCATCAGCCAAAAAAAAAAAAAAAAAATTTTCAACTATCATGAGGATTAAAGAACAAATTATGTAAGGAATGCATTAAGGGTAACTGACTGCCTATTAATGTTAAGTAAAACACAAAGAACCATCAGAGGCTGCCATTTCTAACAGTCTACCGTATCAGAACAGGACCTGGAGCTGCCAGGATACTTAATCATTCAGCACAAACATTCTCCAAGACACAGGACGCAATCTTCGCTTAAAGTCTCTTTATACTTACTGTCATCTTCATCATCAGAATCTGAAACATCTATGTCACCTTCCTTAATGACCACTCGGGCTTTAGAAGGAAAAAAGAAAATAAGTCACTTTTCTCTCATTGCCCAAAATAATCAACAGCTCTACACAAAAAAATTGATTTTTCTATTGTCCAAATTTAGTACGATAATCTGGAAAAATGACAAACCAAGTGATTTAATTTTTAAGCAGCTAAAATTCCTGACTTCTAAGACCTTGTCAGAAGCTCACTCGAGCAAATTATGTCACATAAAAAAAAATCACAGCAATGAAATGAATCTAGACGCTTCCACAGCGCTCATTATAGGGAACAGACATGTACAGAACTGCTGCCAAATATGTATCCTAGAATATGCTATGGTGACAGTGGCGCAATCTCCAAAGTGTACTGGGAGGGTAGTTATTTTAATAAAGAGCTACTTAAAAAATGAAAAAGTAAAGCAAACAAAGAGTAACCACTTACGAGGCACAAAATGAGAAGCAATCATGCTGAGACACGGTCTGAGGAAGACAGTCTGTGCCGATACAAGATTACCAAGGAAAGCCAAGTACTCCTCCACCACTGTTGGGCTTCTATTTAACCACTGCAATTTCTAAAGGTAGGAGGGAGAGAGAAAAGAAACATTTTACTGATACAATATACACTATTTTCTAAGCAGAATCACAAGCTAGTCAGAGAAATAAATGGTGAACTTACCAACAGAATATTGATAAGCTGCTCAAAGTCTTTGGTCAAGTACATGATGGAGGAGCGGAATTCTAACAGCCAGTTAATGATCTGGTCATCCTTAGGTTAAGCAAAAAAAGTACTTTCAAAATCACAATAGGATAAATTGATATTATTGTGCATCAACCATCTATCAATAATACTTAAGGGGGGGGGTCACAAACTTGGAATCAAACCTAAATTAAGATGAAAATTTTAGTTTATATCAAAACAGGAAAAAAGTTTGCTAAATTTTCTGAAAAATAGAGTTCAGTACTCTGATGCACAGGAAAAAGAATTCTATGCAAAACTTCATTCTGATCATTTTGTGTACCCTAAAAAAGTGAAAACACTTCATATGGTGACACCTGTGGACTTTTAAAAACAACCAAATTATAACAGATTCAAATACTATAAGACTACAATGGCCTCTATTTTGACTGCACCCCCACCTGTTCCCAATCATGATAACCAAAAAATATCTTTAATTCATCCTTAAACATGCTTTGGGGTATAAAAAATGCATCTGATTGAAAACCACTGGATTAATGTGGAAGGGACAGCCGGGAGAGCTAGCGCTAGAGGATGGAACTGGAGCCAAAGTAGGAAGCAAGGTCTGTACAAAGCTGCAACAACTTTGCCAATGATCAAACACAAAATTACCTTTATGTCTGGATCTGACAGCTGGTTCTTCAACAACTCAAATTCACTTGTCTCCCCCTTAACAAGAAAGGAAATAAATGAAATTCTGTTTGCTTTGGTTGCCTGCTCAAGAGCAACAGCCGGACCTTTATACCTTTAGCCTCTGATGAAATCACAAAAGGAACATTTTAACTTTTACGTATCAATTATGTGTGAAATTGATTATAAAATCACTGCAAAAACTTTAAAACTCAAGTCAGTAAAGGTAGGGGACTTGAAAAAAGATGACAACTAAAACATTATACACATTTAGGTCTACTTGTGTACTGACATTTCAATATAACAGGCACTCTTAAGAATTTTCAAAAAGTATTTAAGGGTAGAGAAAAAATCACCGTAGTGATCTAATTGAAAGGGAACTAAAATACCATCCATGCAGATATATGGTGACGAATGCTTACTACAGATACAACCATTCATAATTCAAAGATTCTAAAGAGTTGTGAAACCTCGGCAAAGAATAATTACTACTCTAATTTCTGGTTGACAGTATCATGCTGCTATTAAAGGTAAATTTCAAAATTGATAACCTAAAATTTAATTATGTGTACTCGCCTTTCGTATAAGCTATAATTGTATTCTGGCCAACAAAACCCAATTATACCTCAATAAACCTCACGCTATCACCTCTTACCTTTTTGTACTTCAGCAAGACTTCTGTCACAGTTCCACCAAACCGAACAGTTTTTCTTGGGGGAGAGCTGAAGAAATCATTCTCTAAAGCAAGCATATCCGAAATCCTATACAGAACCAAGATTATCAAAGTGTTAAGAGCATGACAGAATAAAAATTAATCTGAGCATCACCATTCAGTGAAACTACTGCTACAGCCTAACTGTCCCCACTGCTTCCACTCCAATCCCCAACAATCAGTCTTCATTCAGCAATATAATGGTCCTTCAAAAACTTAAGTCAGGTCATGCTACTCTACTATCCTGCTTAAACTAAACAAAGGTTTCCCTCTTCGAATACAAATGCAAACTCCTTACAGTGGTCTTCCAAGTCCTCCTTTACCTGGTTCCTGCTCACCTCCCTGACCTCATCTCTAGTCACTATAGTACAGACTCAGTGCCCTTTCGGTTCCTTGAACTTGCCACACCGGCTGCATTTCACTCCATAGTCCCTCTACAAGAAATAATCTTAACCCAGATTTATACATGATTGGATTCTTGCCTTCATTCAAACTGAAGCTCAAACATCAGAGATGCCTTCCATCAGAAATCTGAATTACCTATCCTCTCCCAACTTCCCATCCATTACCCTGCTTCATTTCTTCACAGCAGTTCTCACTATTTGAAAATATCCAGCTCATTTATTTCCTGTCCTATTTACACTGTCTTTCCTCCCCTGCACGATGTTTTGTTGAGAGCAGAGACGCTGTCTACTTTGATAGACTACTGTTCCCAGTGTCTTAACATAGTTAAGTGGGAGCTTAATAAATATTAACAATGATATCATGAGTTTTACAAGGTTTGCCTCTTTTAAACAGAGCAGATTAATGAAAACCAATGCATCCTACCAATGACTCTCAAAGTTAAACTCCAAGTCGTTTTATGGGGTTTAGGGGCTTTAAAAGTTGAGCAAGACACTGGTAAATGTGTCGAAATATTTTTTTTTTTCTAGTGAAGAGTCAAGTGGACATCGGTGACAGCTGTCGGCTGATAATGCAAATAGTCTAGGGAAGTCTTTGCAAATCTCTAAGAAGAAGTGGGGGGCAAGAATAATAGGGCAGAATGCAGTACCCAGGCCTGTGACGCTGTGAGAGCCCGGTGGGGAGGGGGGCGGCTTCTAGCACGGAGAACAGATTCATTTTTCCGGCCCCTCTCCCAACTTCATAAGCCATTTAAGGGGCATGGGTTGTCTCCCGAAATCCTGAGGCGACCCTCGCGCCTCCGCTCCTACCCCCACGGCATTAGCTCTGTGCCAGGCACTTTCAGATCCGCTCCCTTCATCCTCCTCCCGGGCTTTGGCTGCGGAAGCGCAAAAAGAAGCGGCGGGACTCTTACCCGGTCCTCGGGGCGCCCAGCGCCTTGACCGCGGAGGCCGAAGAGGCCCCATCTCCGGGCAGCCGCGTGTGAAGCAACGGCGCCGCCATTGCGCCTGACAACCTGGGCGACGGTGCGGCGCGGCGGAAGTCGTGCTCCTTCTAGTCCCGCCCCTACCCGGAAGACGCGCGTGCGAGCGGCGACTTCAGCCAATCAGGAGCCCCGAGGGGAGAGCAGCGTGAGCGCGGCGGGCCAGAGCGCCGCCAAAACTTCCCGGCCGGCCGCGCGCCGGCCTTGGAGGACTTTGCCAGCCTACCCTGGTGAGGCGCCCTGGGGGCCTCAACCCGGGGAAGAGAAGTCGGTGGAGCCGGTTCCCTCCATCCCTAAGGATGCCAGCGAGAGAGTGGGGACTCCTGAGAGGGTTTCCTGGAGTATTAAGCTTTGGGGAGTCAAAGCGTCCCTGAAACTGACGCCCTGTAATTAACTCAAATAAGCGGGCGGGCTGGGTTCCGGCGAGGCCGCTTGATCCAGGAGCCCAGGCTCGGTACCCGCCGCCCAGTTCTCGCAGACACCCTCCATAATCCTGTCCTCGGGGAAAATGAAGCTTGACCAAGCGACTTATCCAAAAGTCTCAGCGCGGTGGTGATACTGGGGTGAGAAGTCAGAGAGGAGATACCTTGATCTTCATATCTGAAAGGAGCTGGAGCTAGCCAGGCCGACAAGCACGTCTAACACACCTGGAGAGCAGCAGGTGCCCAGGCCTGGGCGCTGGGGAGGAGGGACTGCCCCCCCTCCCTGCGGTTTCCAAGGAAGGGGCAATGTTGCAACCTTTAGAAACTATCTAGACTATCAGAAGTAGATAAAGTCAGCTACAGCAACTTTTTAAGTACGAGGCCCAGTTGTCTTGTGCAACAATGTGAAACAGTAACTGTTTTTCTGCCTGTCCCCGTGTGCTGCCACCGTTTCTTCCCTCTCTGCTTTAGAGTTTCTGCGGGATGTTGGACAGCAATCATCAGAGTCCCAAGAGTAGAGGACATTGCCCTCTAGCTCACAAAGAACCTTCAAGACAACTGTTCAAGTGTGAATCTCTTCCCTTCCACCCCCAAAGCAAAGGAAAAAATTAAATCCCAATTTGATACTCTCATAAACTGTAGAAGTGTATCCTGCACTCTCAAGCAATTTGACAGTTATTCTTTCATTTCAAACAAGTCTAAGGGTCAGTCTTGGGGCATCCAGTAGCTGCTGCCTTCTAAGAAGGAGGCCATTGAAAAGACCTCCCAGGCCCGCACACCAAAGAAAATGAAGCTGAAATTGAACAGTACTGCCTACTGAGGGAGAAGTTCAAGGTCAAGGAAACTGCAGGTCCGGGATCCCAGGGCCATTGCAGCACCGAAGTGTAGGAACCCAGAAGATGACATCCTCCAGACCTACTCTCAACAGAACAGGGATGAAGTTTAACCTCTTGTCCTTTGCGACATTTGACCAGAAATCCATGAAGACTGTCACCTAACTGGAGAGGGGGAGAAGAAAGAAGCACCTGCTCCATGGATTGTTATATCAGATGTCTTCATGGAATATGAAATTTTAGCAAAACTTGTGTTATAGTCTTGCAACTATTGACTTATTTCTGCATGTTATATAATAGGTTCCTTAATTTTTTTAAATTTAATTTATGTATGCATGCAAGAGCTGGGGTGCAGGCCAGAGCTGTGGGGTAGTGAGAGGATTCACCAGAGAGTGGGGAGCAAAACAGGTGATCTACTGAAATACATTGCTGAGGGGAGCAGCCAGCAAGGCAGGAGAGGTCAGTTGTTAGCTTGAATGATATATAGAACTATGTCAAAGAGCTTTCCAAAACATACTCCCAGCAATATTTTCTCCTTAAGCTTGGCCACAGCTCCTTCCTCAATTTCCCAAAGCACAGCTAAGAGTAGGCTGCCAATTAAAAAAATTTTATCAGTGAAAACCTGAGAACCATACAAGAAAAACTTAAAACTAAATCACATAGCCTCCCCGGTGGCGCAGCGGTTGAGCGCTGGGTTGCGAAGCTGCCCGCAGCCTCTGCAGCGCCGGTTCGATTCCCGGCTGCTCCCCGGCCACTGGAGGAGGGTCCCACATGGTGCGCAGACCTCTCCTGCCGCCCGCTGCTCCCCTCAGCAGTGTACTTCGGTCCTTCTGCCTGCTCTGCTCCCTGCTCTGGCTCTGGTAAATTTTCTCACCCTCCCGCGCTTCTGACTGTACGCAGTGCATGTATAAACAAAACAAATGAACAAATAAATAAATAAATAAAACATGCCTCTATAAAAAAAAAAAATCACATGAACATTACTGGAGTTCTTTTGTTGTGTCCCTTCATTGAGAACCCCCTACTCACCGACTCTGTTCCACCCAATATCTCATCTTGCCAGGATAAAAACCTTCTTTATCAAGTCTTATGTTCCCCAGAGTCCTCTCTCTTGTTATCTCCAGCTCTCATGAAAGAAAATAAAGATGCCCTCCAAAAATGAAACAGAACTGACAAGACAGTGCTCATGAATGCTATCTGCAAGATGGAGCCTTGCCCACAATGCAGTCATCCTCTGACATCACGCTGCATCACAGTTGCTCTGAGCTGCTTTAGTCCAGAATGAATTTTGCTTTACTTTCATATACCCAGAAGACCCATTAAACTGTTTTTTCAAAAGAACATTCTTTCCCTAGAGATGAATTTTACAACTATCCCTTGAGTCGTTCTGCTGGTTCAACCCTCTTGGCTTAAAAGTAACAGAAACCATCTTGAGTGAGCTGAAATGAAAGAATTTGTTCTAGGGACACAAGAATATCTTAAGATGGGGCCTCCCTGGTGGCACAAGGGGTTAAGCACTGCACTATGAAGCAATCCGCAGCTTCTGCAGCATGAGTTCAATCCCCAGCTGGTCAGGGAGCTACCCACATGGCGCAGCAGACCTCTCCTGACTTGCCCGCTGCTCCCTTCAGCAGTGTATTTCAGTAGATCTTCCTGTTCTGCTCCCCACTCTGTCTCTGGTGAATCCTCTCACCCCCCACACTTCTGGCCTGTCCCCAGCTCTTGTATGCATAAATAAATATTTTTTTTTTTAAAGAATATCTTAAGATGCCAGAAAAGAACTTCACTTGGGTCAGTTACCCTCCTCCAACCCAATCTAGGAAGCAAAGTCATATTGTACCAAATAGCTCCAAGTAGAAATGATCAACAAATGGCTGAATGGTAGAGACGATCCTGATCAACAATTTCTAAATGGTAAAAACAGTAGTAGCTATCCCATATGTTCCTGTCCTCTTCCCAGAGGCAACAATTACTTTGAGTGAACTACTTTTATAAAAACTCCATTCATTAATGTAAGGTTATCTGAACTGTATCTCTTTAGTGTATATGTCATTTCCCCTCTCTTCTAAGACCACTAACTTGGAGCCTTCCTTGTCCCAGTATTAGAGTAGTATAGGTAGAGTTTCACACCTTTGACACTGTTGATATTCAGAGCCTGATAATGCATTATGATGGGAGGAGCTGTCTGGTGCATTGCAGAAATTTTTTTTAAAAGATTTATTTATTTATGAATACAAGAACCGGGGTACAGGCCAAAGGTGCAAGGAGTGAGAGGATTCACCAGAGACAGAGTGGGGAACAGAACAGGCAGACTGACTGAAATACACTGCTCAGGTGAGCAGCGGGCAAGACAGGAGAGGTCTACTGCGCCATGTGGGTAGCTCCCTGGAAGGGGATTGAACTCCTGCTGCAGAGGCTCTGGACAACTTCATAGTGCTGAGACTTAACATCTCATGAGGGAGGCCCCTGCCGTCACTTTATAACCCAACACACAAGTATAATTACAGACACAACATACCCTGCTTAAAAGCCTTGGAAAGTTTACCTCTCTTTCTAACCTCCAAGTCCCAGGCACCCTCATTTGTGGCATCAGGCTACCCTTTCCCAAAGTGGTCCCCAACAAGCCATGAGCTGTTATACTTCTGTGTTTTGTTGTTGTTGAAGTTTTTCCCTTTGCATGAAATGTTCTTCTCCATCTTCTTCACCTAACAAACACCTACTGTAGGATCCAACTAAAAAATCCCTCACCTACCCCACACCCTTACTCTGAAAGCTCTTTGATTACACTATTTGTTACACTGTGCTAGTTTTCCCTCCCCCTGACTCCCTTGATATACAGTGAACATTCTCAACAGCTGGGATATTTTACTTTACTCTGAATTCCCAGTGCTGTATGTACTGCCTGGAATTTGTTAGAAATTCAGTGAATGTCAGCATTTATTGGGAAGGTCTGCGTGCTTTCATCTTTAGATGGGCTTACAATTATTCCTAGTATTTAGTGCCTGCTCAACATTCCTTTAAGAATTGCATGGGGGGGGCCTCCCCCATGGCGCAGTGGTTGAGCGCTGGGTTGTGAAGCTGCCCGCAGCCTCTGCAGTGCCAGTTCGATCCCCAGCTGCTCCCTGGCCACCGGAGGAGGGTCCCACATGGCGCACAGACCTCCCCTGCCGCCCGCTGCTCCCCTCAGCAGTGTACCTTGGTCCTTCTGCCTGCTCTGCTCCCTGCTCTGGCTCTGGTGAATTCTCTCACCCTCCCGCGCTTCTGACTGTACCCAGTGCTTGTATAAATAAATAAATAAATCTTAAAAAAAAAAAAAGAATTGCATAGGGAATGATTTCAATTGTAGGAATTACCTGGAAGAATAGAATTAAGGGGAAAAATAATGATCTCTTTCAGTAAGACTCTGTCCTTTTTTCTGGAATTGTTGATTTGTTGGTGTTTTGTAGGTTTTTCTTTCTTTTTTTTAAACAGAAATATAAACCACAGAATGGGTTTTATTTTAAATCCAAGTGTCCAATCTGTACAAAACCAAAATAGTCTATGGAGTATCTACAGAATATGTATGCACGCATCTAGAGAGAGAATGTAGATACATTCTCTTACAGGAGATTTGGACAAAACCGTAAGAGAATTAAGAGTTTGACTTCTACCTAATATTCAGTTGTATTCCTTGCTGGAAATGAAGCCAACCAACATGAAATGAGGATGAACACTTTTATGGATAATATATTGGTGGCATTTAAACAACAAGTATAACAATCTCAAAGTCTTGCTCTGCCTCATACTCTGCCAGAATCCTTTTGCAGAAAGTAGGTAACTTAAAGAACAGGAATATAGAGACCAGGAAATTGGTGTTCTGCAATGAATACTATAATGAGCAAATAACATTCACCAATTTTGACCTTCATTTTTCTACCTTTCAAGGGGAGTTGGGGAGTTGGGGAGTTGAGTGAAATTTATCCTTAACAGCCTTATCCATCAGTTCATCAAACATGTGAACACAAAGGATCATGTGATTTAGTACAAATAACCAAATGTTTTCCAAATTTCAAGTTTCACATACACAATTTTTACCTAAAGGTAAGACCTTAACAGTACTCATCTTACTCAGAGCACTAGGTTTCAAGTCTACCAAAGTCCAAAAGGTTGAATCCTTGAAGGTGAAGGCCACTTCACTGCCATTAACTTTAATTTTTTTTTAATTTCTTTAAAAAAATTCTCAAATAAAAGGGGATGAGGAAACCAACAATACAGAGACTTGAAACAAACACAGAATATGGCTGGTGAAGATTCCTCCAAAGGCACTAACTTGGAAGTGGCCGGAGGGGCCCCTGGGATGGCTAGGCTCTGGATCTGTACTAGAGGGGGAGACTTATCTTCCTCTCCAAGGTGGGGACTGGTGCCTTTTTTTGGGGGGGGGGGCACAGACTGCTTGGGACCCAGTGCCTGCAGCAGAGGACCTAAGGAGAGGTGTTGCCATGTCAAGGAGTTTCTTTCTTATCCTCCTGGCTGATCGGTGGCAGGGTCTGGAAAGTCAAAACTGTTTGTTTCTGAAACTCCTGGCTTGATGAAGACTGGCTCAAGGGGATCTCTTGGACTAATGAGCTCTGGCAGGTCTGGCGGCTCTGACACAGGGCCTGAAATTAATGGCCAAGCATGAAGGCCCGCGGGCCTCGCGATCTGTTGTGGAAAACCTGGGTTGGCAGCTGGGGCGACGGATACCTGAGTGGCCGCCGGTTGGTCTCGGGAAGCATGACGAGACTGACGATGGCTTTGGTTGAGGCTGACCTGAGAAGGATTCTGGAGCTGGATTGGGAGGGCTGTGGGCACTTGGAGGTGGCTCTGGACAGTCACAGACACCGGGGACTGGCGCCGAGAGGACACGGGGAAGGCATCCTGGCTCCGGGGGGCAAGCGTGACCACAGGCTGATTGGGCAGAGGGACAGTAGACAGGTTGGCAGGGCGGAGGATGATCTTCGGGGACCGGCCTGGAGTTGAGAGGCCCAAACCCTGGCTGGCCTGGGCAGGGGTGTGCAGAGCCCGGCTCTTAAGCGTGAAATCAGTTGGAGCTGAACATTCTGAGCGGCTGAGGGGCAGGCTCTGGGAGGGCGAGACGGCGGGCGGCAGAGGCAGGCTCCGGTGGGTCCTGATCGCCCTGGGGCTCGGGGAGCGCGCTGTCCTGGAGGGCCGGCCTGCTGCAGCCTTGGGGCGCCCCGACCGGTGGAAGTCTGGAGTCGCGCCGCTCGCCTGGCCCCCTTCCCTCGCGTCCTTGGCTCGCCCAGTTTCCACCCGGGCCCTGACGGTTATGCTCTGAGAAGACCTTTGAAAGCCCCGCAGGCGCCGCCGCTGCTGGTGCAACCGCATGACGGTGGCGGAGAGGCTGCCCAGCGCGCAGGAGAAGCGGTGGCGGAAGCCGCCCCCCAGAAAGTTCAGCAGGTCGGCGGGGGGCGCCGGGAAGGCATCCTTGACGGCCTCCTCCGGAGACAGCTCGATGTTGCCGGTGAACCAGAAGACCCACCAGAGGAGGCTGAAGAAGATGATGATGGAGCCCCCGTACAGCAGCAGGTCGCCGTACAGCGCTGGGGAGAAGACCCCGGCGAACAGCAGCCCTGCGCCCGTGGCGTCGAAGACCACGCCCAGCCAGAAGAAATGGCTGCAGCGGCCCAGGTGCGTGCACGTCTGGGTCTCCTCCACCGGGGTGCTCGAAAGCTCCATGAGCTCCAGCCGCCGCCAGGTCCGCAGGGGAGACCCGGCGCGAGGCGCCCCACCCGCCGGCGGTGGCCGCTGGGTCCTCAAGGCAACGCCGGGGGCGGGGCCAGCCGGCCAGGGGGCGGGGCTGGGGGCGGGGCAGCCCAGCCGCCGCTCACCTGCGCTGGGGAGAAGCGCGCCGCTCGGAAGCGGGCGCATGCGCAGTACGCCCCGCCGCGCGTGCGGCCGTCATCTGCGCATGCGCCCGCCTGTGGCGGGGTTGGCGACTAACTGTGGGGACCATGGGCGGTGTCCCCACCGCCTGGGCGGCGGGGAAAGGTCGTATCCACTTGTCTCACCCCACACCCCGGCTCTCTGGAGCGAGGGCGGGAGCCTGAGGAGAGCAAAGGGCAAGGACCCGCTGCTAGTCATTTGCCCCCTCAGAGTGGAAGGCGGCTGGGTCCCAGGTGCTGCCACTGACCGCGGAGTTCTCGGTTTGCCTTTGGTGAAAAAGCGGCCAGTTTAGGGTCTCTTGTTAGACTGTTTAATTCCGACGTCTGTTTGACTGGTAGTGACTGGGCCCTTCCCGAGCAAGTTATTAGCCGGCCTAGAGGCAAATCCTCTGAGGGTTTCCTTACCTTCTCTCCTCCTGTTGCTTCCCTATTATTATCACTTTTGTTGACCTGTTTGCCAACAGGGTAAGGCAGGAAAACTGGGCCAACACAGAATACCTGGCTGGAGCCTGAAAACTAAGGTAGCTTTTTTAAAAAATGAAGTCCTTTTCAACCTTGAGATTTGAGCGGGAGAAAATTAAAGCAAGTCTAAAACCTGCTGCCATTCAGGTTACATCAATGAAAAGTCATAACCAAGGACTGGCCCGTGGTTCCTCATTTGCTGAGAGCGAAGTTTTAAAAAATAATCTTTTATTACGGAATAGAGCCATATTTACAGAAAATGGTATAGAGTTCCTTTATACCCCAAACATCAGGTAACTTTCCTTTGTTTTTTAATGCATTACAAAGTTCCATACTTCTTTTTGTAGGTGTTTCTAGAAATTTGGGAAGCAGTGTTGCATGAACTTCCCGAACCTCTCAGTACCAGATCACAAGATAAAACTTGGCTTATTTTCCTACAGTTTCAACTTTGCTTGAATAGTGAGTACTTTAAAATATTAGTATTACAAAAGCAAACATATGGAATAGAATCTAAAATGAGAAAACCAAAGTTTTGATCTAAATATGGTAGATGCAAGTTTATCCCTCCTGAGCTACTCAGGAATATTAGGCAATGTGTGCAAAACTGTATATAAATAGTGTATATAAACATGATATACCTTGCAGGAAGCTCAGTTTCTTAGCAAAACTCGAACAATTGTTTCCATAACCTGGCTATTGTAAATAGTGCTGCAATGAACACAGGAGTGCATATATCTCTTAGAATTAGTGTTTTTGTGTTCTTTGGGTACATACCTAGGAGTGGAATTGCTGGGTCATATGGTATATCAATTTCTATTTTTAACTTTAATATTTCTCTTTTTTAACACTTTTTTTGTTTTTTTTTTTAATGCACACAAGAACTGGGGTACATGCCAGAGGTGTGGGGGGTGAGAGGATTCACAAGAAACAGAGTAGGGAACAGAATAGATAGACTGAAATATACTGCTGAGGGGAGCAGCGGGCGAGTCAGGAGAGATCTGCTGTGCCATGTGGGTAGCTCCCTGGCCAGGGATCGAACTCATGTTGCAGTGGCTGCAGACAGCCTCATAGGTTGCATCTTAACTCTTTGTACCACCAGGGAGACCCCTAACTTTAATATTTCGAGAAACCTCCATACTGTTTTTCGTTGGGGCTAGACCAGTCTACGTCCCAACAGTGTGTGAGCATTCCTTTTTCTCCACACCCTCCCCAACACTTTTTTAGTTCTTTATAAACAGGTGCTTGCAGTCTGTTGGCTTTTTTCAAAAAAAAAAAAAGCAAGTTGTAAGCTTTTGTTACAAATTAAAAATCAGTTTCTCTAAAAATCTCAATTTGACCAGACATGAAATAATTTTAAAAAGGTGTATTGAGAAAAAAAAAAAAACAGGTCTTTAAAAAAAAAAACATTTGTCATTACCAAAAGACACATCTTTGGGTAGAAATAATAAAAACCCCACACTGCATAGATAATGCAGATAGTTCTAGTTATCTGGTCATTGGGCAAAAAGCAAGCACTTAAGGTCTTCATTGTCAATCTTTTGTTCATTTCTCATTGCTAGAATTTCATATTCATTTCTTCTTGTTGGATGACAAAACAAGATAATGGTAAAGATAGCATATTGGCATTTACTCAGCCCCACCCTGTTCTGCCTCTGGAACAAATTTTCAGTTGGTGGATTGACTGATTTTGTCTATTTGCCATCTGTGGCTTAGGGTTTTCAGGGCATCTTCTTCAGTTAATGAAGTCACAACAGTGTGGATGTTGCAGTAGCTGCTGACCTTGGGTCTCCTTCATTTTCCTTCTGTTCTTCATTGTGGTCCTCTCTTGGCTCTTTCCTCACCAACACTGTTATTTCTGTTTTTTTTAAAAATCCCTTATTTTTTACTTTATTTATTTTTAAAGATTCATTTTATTTATTTATGCATACATACATACAGAAATAAATGGGGTATAGGCCAGAGGTGCAGGGGAAGTGGGTGAAAGGATTCACCAGAGACAGAGTGGGGAGCAGAACAGGCAGATTGACTGAAATACACTGCTGAGGGGAACAGCGGGTGAGACAGGAGAGGTCTGCTGCACCAAGTGGGTCTGCTCCCTGGCTGGGGATCTAACTTGTGCTGCAGTGGCTGTGGATAGCTTCACAGTGCTGAGACTTAACCCCTTGCACCACTGGGGAGGCCCCTAAAATCTCTTTTATATTGGTTTCTCTTTTGCCATCATAAGGAAGAAATTTCTTTTATGTCACCATGCTATATAAATGTAGCAGTACTCGTCAACAGAAATTTTCTAATCAAATACTCCATGTATCTGACATTTCCAGTGTCAGAAGAAAGCAAGTTCCTACCTTGGAGATACAGCACAAAGCTATTTTTCCTATTATATATTAAATGTAGGGTTTCTATCCTGTTCTGTAATATTCCCCATGATGATTTTGATGCAGGAAAACTATATTTGATACAGCAAATACATAAAATATGCAAAAAATAAGTTATATTTCATATAATAATTTCTTCTTGTTCTTTGAAGTTTTGCATTGCTGTCTTCACATTTGAAATAGCAGTCACTTCTAGTCTAAGTCTCTTAAGTCTAGTCTAGTCTAAGTGCCTTCTGGAGAGAGAGATCTTCTATCAGTCCTGCTAGAAATAATGAGGCTAAGACCTTATGGGTATACCAGTTCCATGATTCTTGCTCCCTCTTGTGGCCAAATTCTTCAAGTTGTATTTCTATGAATCCTGTCTGCCAAACTGAGTTCTGATAGTCTCTCTTGTTTACCAAAGGTGGTGCTAAAGCTCAAGTTTAGCTTCCTTGGCCTGAGTGTTCTGGTGGCTTTGTGTGTATGGTCACTAGCTGTCTCCCAAAGCTTGCTCTCACTGTTCCCATGAGAGCCAAGCATGGGGGGTGGGGGAGTAGAAGGGCACAAGTGGAACATTTGGGGTACCTATGTGCCAGTTGGCAATTGAAGCATTCTCTGTGGCACACAGGTGGTCTTATTGATTTGAATCCACAATATAGTTAGTAGGATCCCCATCCCTATAAGGCCCTCTGAGAATCATATCTACCTCTGGGCCTCCCCGGTGGCGCAGCGATTGAGCGCTGGGTTGCGAAGCTGCCCGCAGCCTCTGCAGCGCCGGTTTGATCCCCGGCTACACCCTGGCCACCGGAGGAGGGTCCCACATGGCACCCAGACCTCCTCTGCCGCCCGCTGCTTCCCTCAGCAGTGTACTTCGGTCCTTCTGCCTGCTCTGCTCCCCGCTCTGGCTCTGGTGAATTCTGTCACCCTCCCGCGCTTCTGACTGTACCCAGTGCTTGTATAAATAAATAAATAAATCTTTAAAAAAAAAAAAATCATATCTATCTCTACCGCTGTCTTCCCAACTTCCAGCAGTAAAGATTGTGATCTAGTACTCTGGTGAGGAGAGAAAAATAAGCCCCTTTGGCAGCATCTTGCATAACTGGGAGAGCCATGGACTCATGTGCATGCTCTGGCTTTACCCTGAGGAGAGATAATCCATCAAGATCTCTTTTGGCCCAAAGTGGAACTGCCTTGGGGAGGGGTAATGCGGGAAAAGTCAAACTGTTCCCCTTTCTCCAGTGCTTTGAAACTTGTGATTTTTTGCTCCAGCAGTGTGTTGGAATGTCTCTGGATACCTGAACTTCCACAAAGGCGCTCTTGTCCATGGTTATTTTCCAGGGACTTCAGACCACGGCAGAGAGAGACTAGAGCAATTCACAGGCCACAGTCAGGACAGGTCTCTCTACCCATTACTCCAGTTCTGCCTCTTCCTGGGGAATAAAATGAAAGTATTTCTCTAAGAAAGGGAGTGTTTCTACTCAAAGAGAAAAAAGAATAGAAGCTCCTTTTCCCTTTCCTTCAGTCTACCTTCCAGAGGTAGTCACTGTTAAGAGTGTAATACATTTTGTTTTAGTTCTTTTTCAATGTATTTATGCATTTTTTTAAAAACTGGGATCATGCATAAGTGGGGTGATTCTTTTAATGTTTTTTTTCAGGTCATTTTCTAGCAAGTACATGTATTACTGCAGAGAAAATCTTCAGTTCACAGGAAAGCAAACATGCTAAACAGAATCATCTTTTAAAATGTCATTTCATTTCAATCATAGTTTAGGTGCAGTAAACCTTGGGCTTAGAATGCTTAACATGGCAATTTAATTATTTGCCGAACATCCCAGAGGAACAGGACAAGCGATGAAACCAGGGGGTGAGCTTACACCATGCTCACCATCTGCAGCTCAACTTTCTTATTCTCTGTCTACATTCAAATAGGCAAAGTTAGCTACTAATGGTATTTGAGAAAGTATCATGACCCACTTTTATTTGTCGAGGTCCCAGCTCTCTGCACAACTAAACTTTGCCCCCTTACCTAGGAAGGACATATAGAACAAGGTTCTTAGAGTTGGTAATACTGACATACATTCCTTGTTATGGGTCGAGTTGTGTCCTACAAAATTCATAGGATCAAGTCCTATGAATGTGACTTTATTTGGAGATAGGACCTTATAAGAAGGAGATGCTCTTGCTTTGACAGTGTGTAGATGCAGCAGACCTAGAGGCATCCCCTTTTTCTAGCTTCCCATCCCACTCCACTTTTCTAGTCTTAATCTTAAGAACCATCTTCCTAGCCACCCTTTGCTTCCAGGACCAGCCCTGATCAACCATGAGCTCCCATATTTGTCAGAATTTTCCATTGCTGTAGAATGGAGGCCACCATTAATCCCCATCAACCTGCATCCGAGGTCTCCTATACTTGCTTCTCTCTGGGCTTTTGTTTTGACCAGGTGATGTGATTCTGGAGGTTATGGGCCTCACTCAGGTTGGCTGAAGATAAGCCCAAGGTTTCCAAGCCTCTTTTGAGAATGCAAAACCAATGTGATGGCCACACCCTTGGCCAGGAAGTAGGGAAACCATCCAAAGAGGAGGGGGCTAGAACCCTAGTTGCTGTGGAAGAAGTCATGATTATGAAGAACAAGCTGAAGCAGGCCTCTTTGGCTTCTGCCTACACAGACCTCCATCACTGTGACTTTGTGGAGAGCTACTTCCTGGATGAGGCAGAAGTCATCAAGAAGATGGTCAACCACCCAACTAACCTTTGTAGACTGGCAACCCCCAGGATGGGTCAGGAAAGTGTTTTTCCCAAAGGTAGACTGTGCAGCACGACTAGGAGCCTCCAGAGCATAGAGGCCACTGCGGGGCCCCTTTGGCATCTCCCTGGTGTCAGGACATTTGCTTGAACCTCCCCTGTATCCATTTGGCAGTTTCTTAAGCACCCTGAAAGCGTCTTCCAAGTCATGGAAAGCAAAATTGTTTTGCAGAGAAAAAAGAGGGGGGGGGCGCAGAAAGAGAAACCAGAGATCTCTCCCTCCACACACAGAGAAGAGGCCTTGTGAGGACATGGCAAAAAGGTGGCCATAGGTAAGCTAGGAAGAGTTGTCACCAGAATCGGAATCTACCTGAAACTGATAGGAGACTTCTAGACTCCAAACTACAAGGAAATAAGTTTCTGTTGTTTCAGCCACCCAGGATGTGGTACTTTCCTATGGCAGCCCAAGATAACTAGTACAGTCTTAGATCATCCTTTATGGTGGGAAGGGTATTTTTTATACTGTAGGATGTTTAACAGCATCTCTGGGATCTATCCACCAGCAACGCCAGTAGCACCCCCCTTCTTACCCCAGGGTATGACAACCAAGTCACTCCAGATATTGCCCAGTGTTCTGTGGGAAGCAAATTGTCCCAAATGAGATCCCTGATAGAGAGGAATTGAAAATTGTCTTTCTGGTCCTAGAGGTCCTGGCTCTGTTGCTTTCCTCTTCATGGGGAAGACTGTGAGGAAGAGAAATTGCTCCTGTTGGGGAAGAGGCCAAGACCTTAGGTTTCGGCAGGACTGAAATGCTAAGAATGACAAAGGACATGCCCATCCTGCAGTAGTTTAACCAACAGCGATCATTGTGCTGATTTTGTTCATGTTTTCTGGGATCCCCCCCCCCCCCGGAACCTTTTGCTACTTTTGCTTTGAATAGCAAAAGCTGTAACAGCTAGGTTGCCCACAACTTTTTCCCTTTAACTGATGCACTGGTTAAAAGTTAAATGGAAAGAGAAAATTTGCCCCTTTTTGTAGAGGGCACTGGCTCTAGGATGAAGGAAAGGTTAGTAACCTGGCTCTGAAGAATATTTCCCTAACCCCACCTCTCCTACTGGTTATTTTATTGATCGCTTACTTATACTTGAAGATAACTTTGAAATTGTTAAGAGTTTTCCCTCTGCCCCAAATGCTATAAAAGAAAGGCTTTTCTAAAAATAGAAATGAACTGAACAGAAGCAGAATCTGTTGTTATAGCTTAAAAACTAAAATTTATTTCAGGTCTTCATGGAATAAATAAAATTAACATACATTTGAGGCCTGGTTTTGCACACAAAAATGGATAACAGTCTTGCTCTAGCTCTAGTCACCTAAATTAAGGTTGAGGTTGATACTGTAGGTAGATACCATAATGCTTTGCTTGTTTGACTCAACCTTCCCATTGCTGCACTGAGATAATCACATATTGAGTAGCAGCACCCAAAGAAGAGCTAGACCAAGGATAAAAGTTACACAGTCTTCAGTTAACAAAGCCACTCCAATAGTAAACAGAGAATATCCCAATATAAGAAGAGTAATGAATTCATGGGGTTGAATCCAGAAATTCCATGCTTGTTGAATCTCTCGTAATATGGTGACTAAGTGAAGAGCACGTAATATCTCAGGCATGGTGTGTTTTTGCTGGTGGCAGGAAGAAGAGAGAAAGAATTACAAACACAGCTTAAAGGCTCACTAAAGAACTTGTGATTCTGGGACGACAGTGTTTTCCACATAAATGTGATTTATATTCATAATGAGCATGGTAGTCAGGCTAGAGTTCTCTCTTATCTGGTATTCTGGGGAGAGTATAAAGGAGATAATGTTTTAGATAATCCAGAATATCTTCCTTGAAAGATCCTCAAGGCAAGAGAACATCTAGCTTCAGTTCGAAATGGCTTTAGGAAACTTCAGAAAACAATCTGCCCTGAATGTATTGAACAAACCCAGTGGAACTTTTTTTGAAACTGGAATATACTATTTCCCTGAGGCACGCTAGGGAGTATTTAAAACAAAAATACATTTTTTATGTCTTTCTGAAATATCATCTTGACTATATGTCAAGTCATTTTATACTTTGTAAAATAAACATATCAATAGGAAGTAAAACCCATATAAACTTAAGACTTAAATCAACAACCACAGCCACAGTCATTGGGTATCTATGATTATGTTACATGGGTGAAATATCTATACGGTGCTACTCTGAACATTTCTTAAATTCTCAGATATATCAGCTCTAAAAACAAGCTAGGAGGCAGGCAAGATAGCATAGGTATTTAGTGACTTCAGAACAAGGCAAAGAATGCTAGAGGCCCAACTTAGACAACATCTATGGGGGGAGGGGGTGACAGAAGAGACAGCCCCTGCCTTTGAGCACCTCAGCTGTCTAACCTCAGTGTCTTCATTAGTAACAATACCCACCTCATTTGGCAGTTGGGAGCATTAAACTGGCAGACTTAGTAGAATGCCTATCTTTACGGCTAATGTCTATTAACCTGTTTCAGACCTGTCTATCTCCTGTAGAGCCAGATCTCCCAGTCGTCTGAGTAGAGAAGTGAAATCTCTCTTCAACTACCATTACTTCTAAATAAATCAGATTCTTCATTGAGGAACAGGTGTCAGGGAAGAAGTTTGAGGCCTCATTTGATGACCTGTAGGTAGACTCATTCTAAAGACAAAGTACATGCAAGTTCAGGAATAGAAGCAATATATATAGAATATAAGCAACTCAGAAGGCTAGCCTTTTAATCTTTTAATATTGAGCTTGGAACCTTTGAGATTTGATTTCTGACACCTGGTGACAGGTCTCAAACCTTATGGCTCAGTGGGCAAATAGAGAAATGGAAACTCAGAGCTGTCTCTGGTAGATCCCTTTTTTGTGTTCTGAGCTACCCTACCTTGTTTGTCTCAAAATGCACTCATGTGTTCCTTCCAAGTCTTCTGGACTGTTAAACTTCAAATTTTGTCATTGAACAATTGCACTTATGCACGTCACCTTTCTCAATAAAATTCTGATACAGAGAAATGCCCTAGACAGACCCTTGGATAAACTTACAAACTGATGAGAAACTTACTTCATGAGGTTCTTTTCCAAAATCATAATGCATGTCCGAGAAGTTTGAAGATGTCCTTTACATAAACACTAGTGTAAACATGAGTGTTTTTAAAGTTTAGGACAACTTTATAATACAGTTTAGAGTTGTAGACGGTACATCAGATTAGGAATCTGAAGACTGGATTTCAAAATTCACAAATACCTGACTGTTGAGATCCCAGACAGATCAGCTATATCAGCCTCTGCCTTCCACCAGCTTAATTTTTTTTTTTTAAGAAGGATTTGATTTTTTTTTTTGCATTTGTCATTTTATTTATTTATGAAGTATCATTGTCTTATGTCCTTGTTAATACTTTAGCAGTGTAGGATTTCTCCTCTCAGATGTGGTCACTGTCGCTTTCCCACCACCAAAGCTACCTCAGTCCTCCACCGCAGTCCATTGTGCACTTCCCCTTTACACGCCTCCCTCTGCCCTTCTGGATGCCTCAGATCTATGGTCAGCTTTCAAGGGTTGGTTCTAAAGTTTGTCTTTGTCTGACTCTTTCAAATGACTTAATCTTGTTGAAGATAATAGTAACTTAATTAAATCTGTGCAGTAAAGTTTTATTGCTGTGCCCATAGATACGGACACAAGTGAAATGTGAGAGAATGGATGGAGAGATGCTAGGGAATGAATAATAATGGATTCCTAGGGTTTAGTCCTAAATGTTACATTTTATATGCTAAGCAGAAGTGTGGGGCATTTTTCTAGCTAGAACAATAGTGGACACAAAGGCAGCATGAAGTGATGCAGGATCATATATGGGTAATGATTTGTAGTAATTTAGTATGATAATAATAAGTAATTTACTTATTAATTTAGCATGGACACAGTGGAAGATGGATTCTGTGAAGGGGGAGAGATCAGAAAGGCAGAAGAAGAGGTAAGCAATGCCCAGATTATTTAGGACTTTAGTTTACCCACCATGGCCAAATGGGATTTATTCCAAGGATGCAGGGAGGGTTCGATATATGAAAGTCCACAGTGGGATTCATTAAATCAAAACAAGGTAAAAATCAATGATTACCTCAAAAATAGATGCAGAAAAAGCATTTGATAAAACCTAGCATCCATATATGATATGAAATCATTCAATAAAATGGATATAGAAGGAACATATCTAAAGATAGTAAAGGAGGCCTCCCTGGTGGCACAGGAGGTTGAGTGCAGTGCTGTGAAGCTGTCTACAGCCTCTGTAGTGCCAGTTCGATCCCTGCCAGCCATGGAGATACCCACATGGCGAGCAGACCTCTCCTGTCTCACCCATTGCTTCCCTCAGCAGTGTATTTTAGTCAGTCTGCCAGTTCTGTTCTCCACTCTGTCTTTGGTGAATCCTCTCATCCTCCTGCACATCTGGCCCATGCCCCGGTTCTTGTGTAGATAAATAAATCTTTAAAAATAAAATAAAGATAGTAAAGGCCATGACAAACCTATGGTCAACATCACACTCAATGAAGAAAAACTAAGACTTTTCCTCCAAGATCAGGAAAAAGACAAGGACACCCACTCTTACCACTATTATTTAATGTAGTACTGGACTACGTTAGAGCAATTAAGCTAGAAATAGAAATAGAAAGTATCCACATTGGAAAGGATGAAGTGAAACTGTCTTCAGATGACATGAACAGTCATGACATAATATATATAGAAACCCTAAAGAATCCACCCAAAACCTGGTAGAAATAAATATTATCAAGTTGCAAGCTTTAAAATGAATATACAAAAATCTGTTGTGTTTCTATTCTAGTTCTAAATAATGAACTAGTAGAAAGAAATGATTTTTTTTAAATGCCATTTAGGATCACAGCAAAAAAGAATACAATGTCTAGTAATAACTTTAAGATAAAGTGATGGACCTGTTCACTTAAAACTGTAAAACAATATTGAAAGAAATTGAAGAAGGCAAATAAATGGAATAGACATTCCACACTTACAGATCAAAAGAATGAACATTGTCAATATGACCATTTTAATTGAAGCAATATATAGATTCAATACCATTCCTACTAAGATATCAATGGCACTCCTCACAAAAACAGAATAAAAATTTTTTAAATTTATATGGAACCATAAAAGACCTTGAATAGTCACAACAATCCTGAGAAAAAAGAACAAAAATGTAGCTGTTCTATTCTCTGACTTAAAACTACAAAGCTATAGTAATCAAAACAGTATGACAAAAACAGGCATACATATCAGTGAAATAGAACTGAGAGCTCTGAAATGAAACCACACATATATGGGCAACTAATTTATAACACACGTACCAAGAGAATACAGTGGAAAAGTCTGTTCAATAAATGGTGTTTGAAAAACTGACAGCCACGTGCAAACTAATGAAACGCGAACATTATTTTATATTATCTACTCGAATCAATTCAAATGGATTAAATACTTAAGGATAAGATTTGAGACTATAAAATACATAGAAGAAAACATAGGTAATAAGTTCTTTGACGTCAGTCTTAGTAATGTCTTTGTGGATTGTCTTCAGCAGTAAGAGAAACAAAAGAGGATATAAACAAATGGAACTCCATCAAACTAAAAAGCTTCTAAAAGAAATGATTGTTAAATGAAAATGCACCCTACTGAATGGGAGAAGATATTTGCAAACCATATCAGACAAAGGGTTAATATTCAAAATCTATAAACAACAACAAGCAAAAATTACCACCTCACTAAAAAAAATACACATTCTAAATAAATATCTTCAGGACTGGTCCTTAATCACTTGGGAGATAACTTCTGAGCCTGGGGTCTATGATGCCTGATAAAAAGATTTTTATATTCCTTGGTTTTAGGCCACATTGTATGAGTTCAAAAGAAGGGACTGGAGACTGAGTAGCTAAGGTCAGTCATGTACCCAAATGCCTACAGGACTGACCCCAGCCAAGAACCCTAGACAGCAAGATTGGGTGAGCTTCCCTGCTTGGCAGCGCTTCACACTTGTAGAATTGCTGGGGGAATTAAGTGCTGTCCACGTGACTCCACTGAGAGGGAACAGTTAGAAGCCTGTGTCTGGTATAGCCCAGATAGGCCATTTTCCTTTGCTGATTTTAATCTGTATTATATACATTCATGATATTAAATGCTTTCACTATGATAAACTAACCATTAAAAAAGTAACCATGAATACAAGTTTTTCTGAAATCTTCTAGTGAATTATCAAACTAAGGATAGTCTTGGGGACCCTTGCACACAAGAAGTAAAAAAATATTTCATTTTTAAGTTTATTAATACTTACTTGTTCTTGAAAATGATGGATTTGGAGGGCGTCCGAGAAGGAGGTATAAGGGTCTCAACTAAGGAGAGAAAGAGAACACAAATGAGCAGGCTGGGATGACTGATGGTGTGTGGAGACTAGGATCAGCTGGATTGGGGACTAGATTGTAGTAGCTACATTTTCTAAGATTGGATGCACGGGGCAGGGCAAGGGGAATGGTTCTAGGGGGCAAGAGGATGAATCATAGATAAGTCAGAAGTCATGTGCTTGTGCAAGATCTAGGTGGAAACTTCTAGTGGAGTACCATATCCAACCTGAAGCAGAGGTAAGGTTACCAGTAGACAGAAGTAGTTGAGACTATTGAACAGAGAAGCTCATCTTGAAGGAATATCCAGAAAGTGATGAGAAGATAATCAAGGATCTAATGCACAACGGCTGGTTGTTTAGTCTCTGTGTTTTCTGTAAGGCAGGGGCCATGCAGGCTATCACTACAAGATTTCTCCTTACTTTGGAAGGTTAGAGGTGTACCCACTACTTATTTCAGGTCATCTGGCTCTACTCCATGAGCAGAAACCTTGTCTATTTTTTATTGCAGCTAGAGTGCCTGCACATGGTAGCTACTCAAATACTTCATTAACAGAGTGATTCTGAAATTAAAAATAGCTCCTATAGGAAAGATAAACAGGGTTTTGGCTAGCATAGTTGAAGTCCTATGATTAGATGAAAACAATATCATTCATTCAAGTTCTATGAATAAGTGTTCGCTAGAAATAATTAAAAAGGTTTAGAAGTTGAGTGTGGAAGGGCAAAAAGATCTGCACAAGCCAGAAGGGCCAGGCTGCCTAGCTTTGAGACCTGGTAAATCTCTTACAGGCCAGATGCTCTGTTACTTCTAACAGCCATGGCCAGTGCTTCAGGCACTTCCTCAGTGGTGTTCCACAGAATGCTCATCCCCAGACAAATGCTTCACCAATAAAAAGTTTCTTTGTCAAATTAGTTTGCCAAACACTCTCTTGGGTTCCGTAGCACACAGGAGTACTCTAAAGGCTCTGAGACATTTTGAAATGAAGACATGGGCTTGTAAAACCCAGTGTTCCCCTAAAGCGCCTGGCCATTGAACCACTTCCTACCAAAGACCTTCTAAAACCCCACTGAACTCATGCCCTTTGGAGTCCATCTGTTGTACAACTATCCCAGGCCAGGTAGGTTCATTGTTGATTCAGGCAGACGAAAAGAGAATTTCGGAGTCTTTGGTATCTCCAACATGCCTTTAATGCTGAAGCAGGGGACCAGACACAGGCAGATGGGCAGGCAGGGAGGCAGCAACTGAGCTTCTAGGCCCCTGGATTCTCCCCTTTTATCCCTTCTGGTATTGTAATTACATGTGCACATGCCCAGTGCTCTCTGGTAGTAGTAGCTAAGCCAGGACCACTGCTCTCACAGTGCCCCCTGCTCATTCTCCCAAGCATGTTTTGCACTGAAACAATATCACATGTGGTTAATGACAGCAAGGCCACAGGTGGTGGCAATAGAGGCTAGTGACGGGAGGTGGGGAAAAAAGGCTGACTTACTCCATTTTCCCTACACCACCTTATCAAATACAGAGTTTCAAATGCTTTCCACAGAATAGGCACAATTTATCAGATCATTCTTTGACACCAGAACATCTTAACAGTAAGCAGAGCAAGCTTTCCGAGCTGGTGGACCAACAATTTCCTCTGGTCTAAATTAAAAATATGGCAGTTTTTATAATTCAGGGATAAACCCGAGTTTGTACCAAATAACATTAGTGAAGGTGGCATGGGTCCTGGAGCTGCACATGTGGGCTCAAGTCCTTCCTCTGCCACCTTCTCCCTCTGCTCCCATCCCTCTCTCTATAGAGGGTGATGATCACAGTAGAATTGACCTCATCGAGCGGTTATCTTGCCCAGCATATCCCAACGGCTCAACGAGTGCTGGCTATCTCTTTTAAGTTAATGTGTTTTTTAATCACACATTATAACGAAATCATTTCAGGAGGTGAAGGGAGTTCGGGTCAATTAAAATTATTTTCATTAAAAATGGATTGGGAAATCAGCAAACATTTTCTGAGACTGACACACATTACCCTGCAGATTAAACAAAGAAAAAATAAAATAATGATGGGAAGCTTCATTTTCAACTATAAGAACAAACTTTCAGAGAAACGATATAGCAGTCACTATTCTAAAAATCCAAATTTACTGATCTAATATGAGACTGTCAAGCAAAGATCAAGAAATAGTTTCATAACAAGTATTCTTTAAAACGAACAATAAACCTGAGAATCACCGGAGAAAAATGACACCTCTTCTAAGGAGTAGGCTCTTGATTAGAAACTCCATAGGGATTTCTAAGAAGAAATTGGGTTAGGATTTTCCCCAACAGAGTGTATGATATGTGCTGCTCACCTATATTCTTGTTTCAGATATAATTTTCAAAAGCTATGAACACATACTAATTAGATACTAAGTAACTTGGAAGTAAGTATTCATAAAATAAGGTAATATATACACTTAACTGGTTTTGTGACTCAGAGTTGTAACCTCTTCCTTTGGTGTTCACCTGCTCCTAATCCGTTAAAGTGAAAAATACTAAGACAAGTATAATTGTAAGCTACTTCATGTTGAAATCTCCCTAGAAAGTAATTATAGCCATTATATTTTATGATAAAAAAAAGAAATTTCATGAATGAAAACTTGGAAAGCAGGATAAGAGAAAAGAGAAAGGAAAACATGTAAAATAGACAAAGGCTAGAATACAGCAAAATGTTAACTACCATTACCATTCTAAGAGGCACTCAAAAAAAAATGTGAATTGCCTTATCTATCTATAAACTTTTCAGTAGGAAGAATTCAGAATACTTCAAGTTACTTTCTGACAGTGTCCCCATGTCAGCAGTAGAAAAATCAAAGCACCAAAAGCTGTTTGCTGTTGTTACTTAAAAGCAATGTCAAGAAGTCTGGAGGACTCGGGGGGAAGTCAGTCTTCCTGACAGGTCTGAAGGATCAACTTCAACCTCCTTGTATCAGGACTCAAGAACAGGGCACTCGGGATAGCTTTCCTTTTTGATAAATTCAGAACAGTTATATATTTTTAAATCCTGGTAACCTTTATTCTGGGTCATCAAGATAGTGATAGATGCTAAATTCAGACATTTCAAAAATTTCTTTAAAAAGGGTTCTGGGCCTCCCCGGTGGCGCAGCGGTTGAGCGCTGGGTTGCAAAGCTGCCGGCGACCTCTGAGGTGCCGGTTCGATCCCCGGCTGCTCCCCGGCCACCGGAGGAGGGTCCCACATGGCGTGCAGACCTCTCCTGCCGCCCGCTGCTCCCCTCAGCAGTGTACTTCGGTCCTTCTGCCTGCTCTGCTCCTCGCTCTGGCTCTGGTGAATTCTCTCACCCTCCCGCGCTTCTGACTGTACCCAGTGCATGTATAAACAAAACGAACGAACAAACAAACAAATAAATAAATAAAAACATGCCTCTATTAAAAAAAAAAAAAAAAAAACATTGAAATGCTAAAAGTATTTTAAAAAAAAAAAAAATATAAAAAAAAAAAAAATAAAAATAAAAAGGGTTCTGACCAGTTAAGACACTATATTTATTTAAGGCTCCTAAAGTTAAAGAATATTCTGGGAACCCACAGTCACTACAATGCTTTCTAAGCAGAATGTTAAGTTCATACAAGGGAAACCTTAATTTCAAGAGAAAAGTAAAAAAGCTTCTGAATTATACCACGCTGTTTTATAAGAAACATTCATTTCGCTTACCTCTTATAAAAAAGTAGCTCTTAGGAGACAAATTAGAAGACTTTACAAGTAACAGATAGCCATTAACCTTCCGAAACAACCTATTTCTTCAAAGAATGAACGCATCACTTTTTGCTATCGCTCATCTTTTGAAGTATGTGTGATGAATTATCGTTAATTGCAGCAACGTGGATCTTCAGCGGGAACCACTTTTACTCCTCATTTGTGCATTTCCCCCCTAATTAAATCGTTGTCTGCTGCCCTTCTTTAAGCTCAGAAGGATTTCATTAAGAAGAGCAGCGAGCAGTGCTTGTTATTACTATACCGCAGTGGTCCTTGATCCTGTTGCCCAGAAAAATCCACCACCTAAGGAGTTTTGAAAATATAGATGCCTCTGCCCTGCTCCAGGTCACCTGAATGAGAATCTCTGGGGGTGAGGTCCTGTAGCAATTAGAAGTTCCCAGATTATTCTAAAGCTCATCCAAGGTCAGACGCTATTGCTGTAAACGAGGTCACCTGGAGAGAAATATATATACAAATATGAAATAATCCATTCCCTGTTTCAATTATAAATTATAATTGCCTCCTTATTTGGCTTCCCAGATACTATTTTGATACAGGTGTCACTTCTGCAAGACGGCAATTGCAGTGGTTCTCAGAATGTCATCTCCAACCAGTAGCATCAGCATCAGCTGGGAACTTGGCTAGAAATGTGAATTTTCAAGTCCCACCAAGACTAGCAGATCAGACCTGTGTTTTATTTATTTATTTATTTATTTATTTATTTTAAATAGAGGCATGTTTTATTTATTTATTTGTTTGTTTGTTTTTGTTTATACATGCACTGGGTACAGTCAGAAGCACGGGAGGGTGAGAGAATTCACCAGAGCCAGAGCAGGGAGCAGAGCAGGCAGAAGGACCGAAGTACACTGCTGAGGGGAGCAGCAGGTGGCAGGAGAGGTCTGCGCGCCATGTGGGACCCTCCTCCGGTGGCTGGGGAGCAGCTGGGGATCGAACCGGCGCCTCCGAGGCCACGGGCAGCTTCGCAACCCAGAGCTCAACCGCTGCGCCACCGGGGAGGCCCTCAGACCTGTGTTTTAATAAGCTCTTTATAGTAGCCTGAAGTTTGTGAACCTCTGAGCTATTGTAATACTTCATTTTTTCCTCCACTGCTCTGATTTTATTAATTTCTAAATAAAGTAACAATGGTTTACAACATTATATAGGTTTCAGGTGGGCCTCACACTAGATAAATATCTGCATATACTACATAGCAAGTCCCACTAAAGTCATCACTAAAGGTTCAAGTCCCTCCTTTACCACACAGCTGACCCCTTTTACCTGATTTACCCTCTCCTTTTCTCTGTCCCTTCTGGTAGCCACTAGTTTGGTCGTATAGTCTAAATTAGGTAAATAATAATATTTTGCCAATCGCAATGGCTTCATAGTCTCATTAACTGATACCTTAAGGTATAATGCTACTTAGGGTTTAGGTGAAGTCTGTGTGTTTTGATTAGTTTCCACCTCCTGCGCTGGAAAACTGTGGGGAAAGGTGCTGGTAGGTGGCGGTGAGGAGAGACAGTGTCAGCTGTGGAAGTGGGACACAGGGCTGGTGCCTGGCTCTTGGCATTTTAAAACCTATCTAAAACAACAACAAACTTCTGTAACCCTTGTTCTGATCATCAAGATAATGATTTAGGAAAAAGAACTTCTTTATGAAATCATTTTTCTGATTAGGAAAGAGAAAACTAGAGAAAATCACAGTAACAAGCAATGGAGAAACGTTAACATTTGTGTCTAACCCATGTGACTCTTCTTAAAACTATGTAGACATCTCACAAATGTGGGGTACATGACTGCACTTAGTGTTTACAGCCTGGCTTTGGCTCCATGAACATACTGGAATCTGTTTTTATTTATTTATTTTTAAAAGATTTACTTATTTATGCATACAAGAGCTGGGGTACAGGCCGGAGATGCGGGGGCGGGGAGGGTGAGAGGATTCACCAGAGACAGAGTAGGGAGCAGAACAGGCAGACAGACCAAAATTACTGCTGAGGGGAGCAGCAGACAAGACAGGAGAGGTCTGCTGTGCCATGCGCCCTGGCCGGGCATCAAACTCATGCTTCAGTGGCTGCAGATAGCTTCGTAGTGCTGCGTCTTAATCCCTTGTGCCACCAGGGAGGCCCTGGAATCTGTTTTTAGGTCATTATATTTTTTTTCTCACAGCATTGCACAGACTTACCATTTAGTTATAGGGATGGCTATACACATACAACTTGAATTCCCTGTTGTTGAGTATTCATTTTTCCCAGTTTTCCCCAGTTGTGAATATAGACTACCCTTGGATCTGGGTCTTATTGTTTATATCTGATTATTTCCTAGAGGTGACATTTCTGGGGCAAAGGGGATTCTCCCAAAAAGCCTCAGGAGTTTAACAGACATCATTCCCTTCCTTAGTCTGTAGAAACTCACCCGGAAGGAGAAAAGCCAGACTTAGGAGCTTGGGGAAGTTGCTTGGGGAGGCTATTACTTATAGACTCTGAGGAGGGGGCCATAAAAAGGACACTGGGTGGGCGGAAGTGTGCTAAGACTGGACAGGAGACAGGACTGGGAGCCAGCAAGGCAGGGCAGACAGCATCCCCACGACTCCCTGCGTGAGTAGGATGTGGGTGGCTTTCCTGATCAGAGGGACACTGGAAAGGTAGACGGTTTTAAGTACAAAAGTGTAAGTTTTGAAACACTGAGGTAAAGATGAAGTAGATAAATAATAATATTTTGCCAATCACAATAGCTTCATTCTCTCATTAACTGATACCTTAAGGTATAATGTAAATTAGTCTAGGATTCGTTGTTCACAGTGGTGGATCTAAACACTTTATTCAAGAAGGCTTCTTGATAATGTTCCACTTGCTTGATTTTTTTTTTCAGATGTGATTAGATTATTATTTTACCGAATATATAGCTGGAAAAGAACTCCTTGTAAGAGTCAAAGAAGCAGCCACTCTATCTTCTGTTTCTGCCCATTTGGGACAGTTTGTTTGTTTAGCTATTACTGATATCACGTGTAAATCCAATAACTGGACATTGGGATACATCACCTGATGCTGGAAGTGGAAAATGAGCGAGGATGCCACTGTCCACCCTTTGGGGTGTGATTCTTCCATGCTTCTGTCTGCTTTTTATTATTGTGTATTTATGCTCCAGCTTAGCACAAGATGGACACAAGGAAAACAAAGACCTTTCCTGGGAGCAAAAGGATCCGTTCCCAAGAGTTCTCAAGCAAAAATGACCACCACCAACACTGCCATCAAGATTTTCTTTCCTAGTCTTGATTAGGAGAGAAAAGTCTCAACACTTTGACTTCCAGTGGCCCTGGAGGACTGAGACGCAGGAGGCTGACATGATAGATCTTCATCCTGCTGTCAGAAGTCTTAGCATCTCATGCTGCAGCAGCCTTGGTGAGGCAGTCCCAGGGCAATGAAGGGTGACAAACTCTCCTGGAGGAGGGGAAGTCTCCCTGTGCCCCTCTGGGTCCTTCTGGGGCAGGTGAGTAATCACACACCAGAAAGAGTGGTGGGAGAAGTCGCCAAATTGAATTACTGTGTAACCAGGAATCTACAATGAGATAAAGGTTCCAATATCAATGAGGCCAAATGGGGCTCCGGACTTACAAGAGAGAGGCGGGATCCCCCAGGGAGGAGAGAGGCGGGGTCCCCCAGGGAGGAGAGGAGCCATCATCCCTGTGACAGAGATGAGCTGCTCTGATACCTAGTGCTTGCTCTGCCCCCGAGGCAGGTCTTTCAAACAGAAAGGGAGGGAATTTCTGGTAATAACCCTAGTTCTAGATAAAACCCCCAATTTTCTTTTAGGTAGTTAGGGTAAAAGCAGCTATTGACTTCAGCTTAAGATAATCCAGGCCTTTGAGGGAGGCCTAGCCTTCACCACTCCCTGTGACCCCGACACATTTTTGGCCGCCTCGGTGGCCTCGGTGGCCTCAGCATCCCCAAGCTTCCTCCTTTTAAAATGTTTAAGATCTACTCGGTCCCTCTCCCTCCCGCTCCCCCAAGTCTCCTCCTTTGGAGACTCCCGGAGCGCAGGGAGGGGCTGCAGTTAGTCCATCCACACGGCACCTTTGATGCACATTTACTTGGCGACCCGACCTGAGCTCAATGCCTCCCCCCCGCAGCTCTACCGAACCCTCAGCCGGAGCTGCCCCGCGGCCGGGCGGGCGGGGCGGGAAGCTCTTGGCCCCAGGCTCTTTCAAAGACGCAGAGGAAGCCGAGGGACTCGGTCCTCCGCCCGGGGGCTGCCGGTGCTGGCTCCGCCCTGCGAGCCCGTCGGAAGGGCGAGGCCGGGGGTGGAGCCCGGGGAGGGGGCTCTGCCCGGGCTTGGCCGCGGCTCTGACCTGCCTGGCCGTCCCCCACCTGCCACCATCCCACGGGGCGGCCGTCCCGGAGCCCGCCGGCCATGCAGCCGCTCCTGCCGTCGACGCTGCTGCTGCTGCTGCTGCTGCTGCTGCTGCTGCTGGGACCCGCACCTGGGTCCGGCGCGGGTGAGTGCGGGGCGCGCCCCCTTGGCTGACCAGGAGATCTCCGGATTCCCGCAGCCCACCCCCCTCCCCTCTGCAACGCACCCCCACTTACAAGCCCTCCCCAGGGTCCCGGGGCCCTTCAAACCCCTGCGCTTCTTCTGTCACTCACTCCCTCACTCGCTCCTTCCTCGTTCTCGGCGTCCCCAGCCCTCTAAAAGCTCCCACAGTTCACTCCTCTCAGGAACCTGGGATAGCCAGCCCTTCCCCAGGATCTCCCCCAGGGATGCCCCCCACTCACTGTAACCCTCTTTAGCACCCAGACCACACCCAACTGTCCTGGGGATCCTGTGAACTGACCCGGCTGTTCCTGGGACCTGAGATGGGGCTGTCCTACCTGGAACATGACACCACCTGGACTCACCCTCGGCCTCCCCTCAGTGACTGTCCATTTCTGGGGTGCACCCACATGCTCACAGGGGACTATATGGACATTTCTGGGGTGCACACACATGCTCACAAGGGACTATGTGGACACCACAGAGTCACACACAGGCACGAAGGCCCCTGCCCTCTGGGCACTTGGTAAGGGCTCAGGGACAGGCGCACACCCAGATGCAGGCAAAGATACCCTACAGGGCGGGCAAACACACACACACACACACACACACACACTCAGCCCATGGGGAGATTAGACAACCCTGGCACTCCTAGCAGAGGCCACCATGGGCAGACAGAACAAACAGACCCCAGAATGACCTGCCCCGCCTAAGTTGGCACAGAGGGAGTGTTTTTCTTGTTTGCAAACCCAGTGCCAGGGGTCCGCCCTGTGTCTGCCATCCCCATAGAACTGTGCCCTGCACCCTGAGGTGCCAGAGTGTGGTCAGGTTGGGGGTGGGGGTCCCTCAGGGACAACTTTGGGTCTGGGGTAAGGACAGGGACTCTGACAGGTGTGTTCACAGTGCAGCCACATGTGTGCAGGACAGTCAGGGCTGCCAGGGGCTGAGGCTGCCCCCAAAGAGCTCCTGGGCTGGAGGGTCATTCCCATAGACAGCAAGGTGGTGGTCGGGCAGATTCTGCAGGAAGGTGACAGGTGAGCCAGGTTAGGAAGAAGTGAGGACAGCTGCAGCCCTGGTGTTTGTGAGGGCAGTTAAACGGGAGGAGGAGGAAAGGGCCAGCAGGTCTGTGGGAGCCTTGGGAGCAGACGCTGGGGAGGAGAGACCCCTGAGCTGTATCGGGAGAGGGAGGCTGAGGGCATTCCAGAGGCTCCTGGCAAAGGTGTGGGCAGCCGGGAACAGAATTCTCAGTCCTGCAGGAGGGGATGCTAGCCCCCCCCACTCCCCCCCCCACCAGAATAAGGGAGACTTTGCAGGCTACACTCCCTTTCACATTTCGTTTTTGTTTAACTCCTATCTACCCCTTATACAAATATGTCCCTTTTTCCACTGAGAAGAAAATGGAACTGGGTTTAGTCTTAGCTTGGACTATCCAAAAAAGTTAGCATGCTGAAAACATGTTCTAGATAAAGAGATGGCAGGGCGTGATAACCCAGTGGAATGCGTCCATATCACAGAGGCTGTGCTTGAGCTTCTGCTCTGCAGCTCACCTGCCCTGCAAGCCCAGGAGCCATACATACCAGTGACAGCAGACGATGCTGGTGCCCCAGGGAGAGCAGTGCCTGGTGCCAATTTACATGTGGCATCTCCTTACTGCTGCTCTCACCTGCTTTGACAAGGGCCATGGTGGCCTCAGCTCCCTCACCAGAAGGACAATGCTCTGGGACACTCTGATGCCTGAGTCACTGTGGGTCTGGTGGCCCTAACCCTGAGCAGTGGCTTCCTTAGTGGCCCCAGTGCTCCTGGCCAGCCTCCTCCCCCTGCTGCCATTGGGCAATGAGGAAGGAACACTGTACTGGACTGGGAGTCAGAAGCCTGGGTGGAATCCCCAGTCAGGTCAGGGTAGTGTTGGCTGTAAGGCTGTGGGAGTCACCTTTCCCATCTGGGCCTCCCCTTTCTCACCTGTGGACTGCAGGGCTTCCTATCATACCTGCCATGTACTGCACTGCAGGTCTGTGCTGCACGGGGATCCAGACTGTGCTGAGACTCGGGATTGTCCAGTGTGAGGAAGCTGTACCGGGCAGTGAAATAAGAAGAGAGGCAAAGGGCCCTCAGCCTGAGTCTAGAAGGGAGAGTTGGGGGGTGGGAGAGAACCAAGGACACAGAAGTCCCCCCCACATACCCTAGAAGCCCTCCTTGGGGGCAGCAATCTTGTTTAGTGATCCCTGAGGTCCAGCGCCCAACACCGGCAGCTGGACAGATACTTGATACACGATTTGCAATCTACACCCTCTGGAATTGACAAGGGGAGGCATTGAACATCAGTATTCCAGGAATAAGGACCAGCCTGTGCAAAGGCCCTGTTGTGTGATCTCTCAGATGCTGTGACTCTATAACATGTTTTCCCTTTCACAGCTGCCTTGAGGATATTGACAAGAATAGTTAGAACTTATTATGTGTGGGGGCTTTGTATGCATTATCTCATTCTTTGAAGTAAGGCCTCCTTATATTCCTATTTTATGTACAAAGAAACTAATGCACAGAGAGGTTAAGTAAGTTGTCCAAGGTTACACAGCTGGGACATCGGAGAAGCAGGATTCACACCCATATTGTCATTCAGGTCCTTTCCAGGGTAATGCCCTTTTCCAGGGCCAGGATAGCCCTGTCTGACCTTTGTCTCCTTCAGCCTCCAGGAGGTCACATGTGCACCGACGCGGGCTCCTGGAATTGGCAGGGACCATGGAATGTGCTGGTACCCACAGCCCCTTAGCCTACATGACCTATGGTTGCTATTGTGGCCTGGGTGGTTCTGGCCAGCCCCAGGACACTGTTGACTGGTAAGTGTATGCTTGGGTCCAGGCCAGAAGGTCCTCCACCCCCCAGATCAAGGCTTATGAGGAAATACCCAAAGCTTAAACCAAGAAGATCCTAGCCCATGGAACCACCTTGCCGGCACAGGCAATATGGCCAGTAAGGCCAGACCTTGGTGCCACCTGCCCTCTGACCTGGCCATGGTATGATTACTTTGATTGAAAAAAAAAAATGACATCAAGTTGATCAGACATAGTTAGCACAAGGAACTGCTTTGAGAACCCTAGTGAGTCCTCATAACAAACCCATTTCATGGGACAGGAAGCTGAGGCTCAGATTAAGTATTTTGTCTAGAGTCACATGGAACTTAAGGGGTGGAGACTGGGATCTGAACCCAGGAAGCCTGGCGGGATGAGGCCCCCCTCCACTGCTGTCTGCTGCTGAGTGAGCTGTGCCTGTTCTGTGCAAGGCTGTGGGCTTAGAACTCTCTGTGACTCCTCCCCTCCAGCCATCCTTGGTGGCTGGCATGATGGTGAGCCACGTGGTACAGATGAGGCCCAGCCAGGCCTTCTGCTCAGCTGGTAGTTAGTTGGCTGGGGTAGAGTTTGACTATTTCCTACCTCACTCGGAGGATGTGATGGTCACCTACAGGCTGTCTCAGCCCTGTGCCCTTGCTCTGGCCACCTGGTCACCTGGTTCCCATGCACCCTTCAGGGGCAGCTTAGGCATCCCCCATCTAGGAAGGCTTCCTGCAGCCTGGCTGGGCTTGGAACCTCTTTTGGCTCCCAGAACCCCCCTCCTTAGCCAGTATCTCAGCACTGTTCACCTGCCATGCAGGGCAATGTCTTCTCTGCCTCTCTCACCAGGCACCTGGGGGCCAGAGCAGCATCTGGCTGACCTGTCAGGTGTTCAGCACAGCATGGCAGTTGACTAGATGGAAACAATGTTAGTGAAGGAATAAGTGAGTCATCGAATGAATGATGGGCAGGTCCAGGGGCAATTGTGGGTGTTTCTTAGAATTGCTCAGCTGTGTTTATTGAGGTCCTGGATGCAGGGGACACTGGAGAACAGCAGAGAAACAGAACAGCCTGTCTTGCCAGGGCTCTGTCCAGTGAGGAGGACAGATGTTAACCCACCTTCTCCCTAAAGGGCCTCTTTGTAAATCTGCCCAAGGGAAGGAATCTGGGGTTGTGAGAAGGTGTTACTGTCACATGTTAGGGAGGTAGGACCCCGGATGACATCTGGGCACAGGGGCTGCTGCTTAGTTTGAGACCTAACGAGGAAGAAGTGGCATGAAGTTGTCCCAGGCAGAGGGCAGGACTTGGGCAAAGCCAGGCAGTGGGTAGGGCATCTCCAGGAATGGAGGGAAGGTTGGTGCTGCTGGAGCAGAGACTGAGTGAAGTGAGTAGGGGCATGGATCGAGCATGACCAGGGGATGGAGGCAGTCCAGATTGCATTAGGGCCAGCAGAATGCTGTCACAGGATGGGAATTCTCAGGGACCAAGGTTGGACCCCAGGATGTGCTTCCCTGGTGGGTCCTCCCTCAGCCATAGCCCTGGCATGGGAGGATGGCTGGGAGAGCGTCTCCGCCTTCACCCACTTGCTGGTCTGCCATGTGCCACCCCCAGGTGCTGTCATCGCCATGACTGCTGCTACGCACGTGCTGAGGAGGCTGGCTGCAGCCCCAAGATGGACCGCTACTCCTGGCAGTGTGTCAACGGGAGCATCCAATGCGGTGAGTCCTCAGCCCTGCCCGGGCAACCTCCTGAGCCCCTTGGGCACCCTGGGCCCCCAGCCAGAATACTTTCTCCTGCTTCCAACTCTCCAG